CGCATACCATTTCGATTGCCTTGAAAGCAATGAAACCAGCGCTATTTCATGAAGTGGTCCTTCACGTATTTCTTGTCCATCCTCACCTGTTCTCAAAGCGGTCCGAAGACTTTCTGCTTGGGGGAATTGTAAAGATTTCGTTGATGCACATAGTTGAATAAGTTTCTGACAGACATTCGTTTGAACAGATGAATGGAAACGACCAAAGACAACCAATGGTATTACACTATACCCTTGATCCAGCAAGGCTTTTGATATAGGATCGCGAAGTTTCTGGGGAAGTGTTATCGTGATTTTAGTTTTGTCGGAGATAACAGAAATATAAGCCTAGGTAAGCACAGCCACCAGAAATTAGCATACAATCTTGGAAACTCCGAGAATCTCACGTGGAGAATTCAACGGTATTAAATGTGGCTTTGTGACACCAGCCACATAATTGTGTACTACAAGGACAACTTACTTCTGGAAAATCCTTCAAGAACTCGTAAACATCGCAAACGGGTTTATTCTTGTCACTCCAAGAAACCATGACAGCCGTTGTCAGATTCTCTCCCGCATTCGACTGATCTAGATCAACATAAGCGCCTATGCAAAGAGCAAGTCGCAAGGCATTTGAGCACAGTTTGACCAAAGTGTCTTCGTCCGAAGCACATGTCACAGCGGCTGCGGTCAAAAACCCGATACAGAAGCCCTGGGCCCCAATCGGAGTCGCAGATGCTAGGAAATTATCATATGGGTGAACAGGCCCGTAGTGGGTCTCGAGATAATTGAAAAACTGCACAACGTGTATGATGACTGTGAGGGGCGTGCAAACCATGTTCGGTAAATCCCGATTCATTGGCTCTGGTACTAATGAACCGGTTTCCAGCCATTGAATCAGGAAGGTGCAGTATTCCACTGCGGGTAGTTTCTGCAGAGAAGAATCATGAGCGAGTAGTGTTGGTAAGAAGTCGGGAAGCTCCGTAATGGCGTTGTAAAATGGCTTCAGCCGTTTGTTAGAAACTAAAGAGTTTCTAACGGCGGAGAGGTGGGCCGCGTCAAAGGAATTTGTCTGCGGTCCAAAGACTAGCGTTGAATGTTGAAGTTTCATGCTCACTAGTGGCATGGTATTTTTGAAATCAGATTAGCGGTTGTGTAACACCGTGATCAATAATCGAGTAGGAGAGTCTTGAATATAGCTGGTCATTGACCCCTCAACAATCCAGTCAGTGGTGGGTATATTCTGAGGCGATAATCAGTGTTAATCGACCAGTTCGTGGCGATTGTCAGTCCAGGGCAGGCTATAAGTGTAATACGCCAAGGCCTAGCAGGTTCAGGTTCTCCCTATCCACCTTTGTCGATCGGTGGTAGGACTAGATGTTCCTGTTGAATGCAAGGGAAAAAAGATACAAACTACGAAAGTATCAAATGGAAAGTTCGACTATATGTATGCTCACCCACCTATCTGGTATTTGGCCTCATAAACTTTGACAAATTCATCACAGTTAGATTATGGGGCACATCACTCGGGTTTTCTTTCAGGGGAAATAGCTTCTGTCTCCCTAGTTGAATACTCCGCTCCCTTATCGAATCTTACTGGAGCTTATCTCCTCAACGGCAGAGCGGGGTTGGTGATAAGAAGCCTTACACTGTCAGAGTATGATGGGGGCGTGTTGGTGGACGTGTTGGTCTTGGTATTTTATGTACTCCGTACTCGTTTACTCGGAAGAATCCCGGATACAACCGTCTTGGTGGGCATGGGTTTGTAGGATCGTTACCAAATCGCGTAATCAACGTCTTTGGGTGAGCTGATACTGAGTATACGTGATTATAACGCGCAGTTGAGGCAAAAGTGAACCATGTACGTATAGACCAATCGGGGCCACAGATTCTGTAGATCTTTTGTTCAATCATATACATTAGGGTATCATTGCTTCTGCGGTTCTCATAATTACATATTGTACACTCAAGGGGTAACCGTTCCCTTCCATGGCCGAAATACATATAAAATCAATTACCTGCCCATTCCTACAGAATGCGGTCTTTCTCTATCTCCTATCGATAGAGAGTCGCTGTGTTCCTGTATTGTCGATGTCCTCTGGCCTTCCAAGTCTACTTCTCTCCCAGGCAATGGTGAAGCCAATGGCTTCATATCGTAGGTCACTCCGTCATATTGATGGGCTGTGGTTCTAGATCGTCCACTACTAAACTGTATGTACGACGAACTCGACGTCTTCGTCTGGCCGGTCTTTTTTGAGATATAACGATCCCAAAGGATTTTCAATGGTGGTATGCTTCCACAAACTATCAGAATGAATGCCTCAGCGCCACTCCAAACGAACAAATCGTACGTTGCCCCTATTTAAATGTTAGAATTCTCGACTTTCGCGCTTGCTTGTAGTATGGAAGCCTTACAGGTGATATCTGCTCGAGCACTGAGTTCCGTTAAATAAGATATCTTGATTGATCCGCAAATCGCAGCTCTAAAAAATAAATGTGGTTAGCCGAGAGTTTTACAGTGAAGTGAGGACCGTAGCAGGTCACATACATAATACCTCCTCCCAAGAGTGCACAAATTCCAATCTTTTTCCTCATACTCATTTTCAACCTCCCAAAGAACATTATGGGAGAAATAGCAAGAAGCGCATCGATGAAGACAAGCCATGTAGCGCAGAAGATCGCGAAATCTGATTGAACTTTTGGCTCCCAGCAAGTATGTGGGACGGTTGGGTCCCAAAGCGCCTTTGCAGGTGTACATTGAACGTATGTCAACACAATATCGACGAAAACGAAGACCAGGCAAGAGATGATGCAAAACCAAAGGAACGGCTTTGGCCATTTCGGAGTGGGCGAAAGGAGTCTCATTATCAAGAAAGCGACCGATACTTTTCCCAGGCAAATTGCTAGAATAACAAAGGGCTGCAGTAACCAGGTCATTTTGATCGCGAATTCTTGCTCTGCGGGAGGAATGTAATACAGATGCCTATCGCCGCCATGTAGAGCCTGGACAGTGACAAACCCACAGAAAACGAGAAAACTAACAGTATCATGGTTAACAATTGCCATGATTGATGGGTACCAATACCAATACATACTTGATCAAAGTGCAAAGCATAATCCAATCATCTTTCCCAAGCGCTTTGATTGTAATTCTTGCCCAAAACCTCAAAGCTACCACAATGCAAGAAATAGCAGCTTGCACCCACATAATTGCCATGATAGTTGGTCCTCTATCGACATCTCCTCCAGCTGGGGCCTCCATTGTCGAGTTCGCCATCTTGAATCTGTGAGTGCCGAATTGCTGGAAAGTAGATATAAACTTTTCCCTAAAGATCGGATCAGTCAAACAAGTCAATGATCACAATTTGTGGAAAACAATGTCTATCTATGTGATGTGTAAGCATGGCTGGTGTGATAGCGTATGAGAATAGCACAAACTGAGGAAATTGTACTGTTCCTTCGATCCTCTTGCACACAAATCCAGCACATTAGCAAAACCAAACATAAATCTTGTGCGTGTATCGAATATGAGAAAATTGGACCTAGATGTGATTGTTGCCATGACATGCCGAGCTGTCCACGTGTCCCAGTGTGGTATCCATTCACGAAGGAAGATGGGGTGAGGAAATCTGACAACTAGGCTCAGGTTACAACAATGGCACAGTCTATGCGCCACCCAATTGCTCGACATAGACAGAAACTGCGCCTATTATTACGAGTACCTGGTAGATTACCAAGAGTGGCCATTCAACTCCGCGGCTAGAGCGATACTTGCAGAGAATGGTATGCAGCGTAAGAAAGATATTCTCTGGGCCCGTCCGTGCTTAATATATCACCATTGAGGACATTTCCTAGAGAGGAATCAACATGTGGCATTCCTGAGATTTCGGGTACACCGACACGGAGCAGAGACCGAACAGAGAATGTGTATATCCCACTCTATTGAGCCATGAAGTCGAAAGTGGATTGTGCGGAGAGAGAAGTACCCCTCATTCTGAACACACACAGACGATAGTACGTCGTAATTTATTCCTTTCGCCACTCTAATATAGAAACGCTCAGTGGTACTATTGTCCCATCATCTTATCACCTCACAAAAGATGGCATTCACATCTGAAGATAGTGATAGATGTGTAGCGCTTAATAGTGTTTGCATAAAACCTGCCGTAAATGCTATGGGGCTGACCGCCAATAACCTTATTATATCAATAAGCCGTAACGCATATCGAAGCCCACAATTTATAATGTGTTGCCTAGAGCGCTATGCTGAAATGATCAATACATCACCTCACAATAATTTTGTGAGGTGATTGACATAAAGTTCTACGCCGGTCTGCCCCAGTATGTGCCTCGACGATCGAAACGTGGCCATGCAACCCTCTCAGCGATAGACTGTCACACAGTCACAGTAGAGTGACATTGAATTAATAAAATCAAATGAAAGAGGGGAATGGCAACTTCCGACTGCAACTTTGCAACGTGCCTTGAATATTCCAGACTTTTCCAAACTGCAGCAAAACCAAAATGCTATTATAAGCCTGAGCATATAATTGGAAGGATCGCCGAGACCTGCTTATGCTTGATGCTGATAAACTTTGAAAAGAAATCCTGAAGGAGTCTAATAAGCTTCCATAATCATCGAGAGAAAAGGGCTTCTTCAACTTCCCTTATTGGATAAATTTACACCAAAATAAGCTGACATGTGTATTCTGTAATTGCTCACCATCCTCTTATTGTAACCCTCAAAGGGCTTCTTACGAGCGAAGGTTACAACGTAAAGGTGTACTATTGGATCCAAAGAAGCAAAATAGACACGTTCCCCAGCAGCCCCAGTACCAGCTTCATGGTTAAGCATGCTTAATCGATGCAATTTTATAGGCCATTATAACCTACCCTTGAATAATTTAATTTGGGACGACATGTGGAAAAATGGGCGATTTTCAATTTACCCCCTGTCCCAAAGCCGAGGCACCGTCTTTTACCCCACGCTTCAACTCCTTAGCTCCATGATGTTCAAACACCAAAGATTAGATATGAACATCATTAAGGGTGAGGTCGCCGATCTTTGAATTTTATGCTTATCAAAGGTATCATCAAATGGCTTGCCGCCCAGTTATGTGATAAATAATATAGAAACGGAGATTACAAGCAAATCTCGTGTCTGCAGTTGTGATATGGAATTTCATATACCGGCCTGGCTAGCGGTGACATGGATGTCTTGATGCCGGAGGTCGTGATTCACGATTGATCTGGAACAAGGGCTGTATGCTGTCATGCGGCGTGATAACATCTGAAAGATACGACCAAGAAGGAGATTGATTCCGGCGGTATTGTGACTGTAGATAGGTCTATGTTGCAACAAACTCAATTCTCCCCACTAAACCGGCGATGTCATTTCTTGCCTATCAAGTCAGTGGAGTCCAAAAATGGTGAGCAGGCGAGGCTCTGAGAGGGGCTGTCAACGTCGACGCTTGTGTTGCTTATTCGGTACGAAGTACGAGATTGCTAAACATTTCCGATCAGAACGAATACCTCGCCTCCCAACCGTTGGCCGTTTTTTGGTATATATATGTAAGTCCCGAGGACTGTATCCAAGTTGTCATTGGCGTTCTGAATATCTTCCTTTTCGATACAATCGTTGTACCTCTCGAAATTCAAGATTTCCGTGACATTACTTTAAAACTAAATATCAAGATGGGTTCTGTTGGAGATCTCGAACTTGCGCTTTCCAGAATCACGGAGGCAGCCAAGGTTGCTGATGAAAACACGCGCAAGAATCTCATTAATCAACTTCGAAAGACGGCTGTGTCCCTTGAGACTTCTGGCGAAACTATCCAGCGTCTCCTCTACCTCGTACGTGTCCATGCTTGACGTATGATATTCATATAACCACTTGCTGATGCGTTCCTTTTTAAGGCAATTCAACCCGCACTTTGCCGTGCTGGTAATGATCTCGATCTTTTCAAGATTTTAGCCGATAACAACGGTCCCATGACTACAACAGAATTGGCAGAGAAAACCAAATGTGGCCCTCTACTTTTAAGTATGTTCCTATCCAACGAACATATTTACCAGACTCTAACTACTGTAGGTCGAATTTTGAGGTTCTTGGCATCAACAGACATCGTAACAGAGGTCGGAGAAGAGAAATTTGTCGCAGACAATATCACAAAAGCACTTGCCAAACCTGGCCTTAAAGCTGGAATGAACCACACGTAAGTACATTATCGCAATCAAATATACATATATTAAGACAACCCGCCTCTAGCTTCGATAGTGTTGGCCCGGCATTTCAAGCCCTCCCAGAGTTCTTCAAGGCTACTGGATACAAGAACCCTGCTGATGCATCATACTCACCATTCCACATGGGACACCGCACAGATCTTCCATTGTTCGAATGGTTCCAGCAAAATCCAGAGAAACTCGGCTTCTTCATGGAGTGGATGACTGCTCAGCGAGAAGGAATGGATGTCTGGTTAGACTTGTTCCCCTTCGAGGAATATGCCAGTGACCTTGACCCAGCCCAAGTCATGTTCGTTGACGTCGGTGGTGGAATTGGTCACAAATGCTTAGAACTTAAGACTAGATTTCCTGCCCTTAAGGGCGGGGTTATTCTTGAGGACCTTCCAATAACTTTGAAGCATGCTTTATCCATCGATGGCGTAAAAGCTTTACCACAGGATTTCTTCACACCCCAACAAATCAAGAGTACGTACTTCAATAATGCAAAAATCTCATCGATCATACCATACTGACTTTGAAATTAGATGCCAGATTTTACTACATGCGTAACGTAAGTGATATTCTCCATGCTGAGCACGCCGGAATAAGATGACTAACCTTTCACAATATAGATTTTACATGACTGGCCAGATGACAAGTGTAAGATCATTTTGGACCATCTCCGTGAGGCAATGGGCCCAAATTCTGCCATCTTGATTGATGAAATGGTTCTTCCCAACAGTGGCACCAATTTCCAAGCCATGAACATTGATTTCACTATGATGGCAGCCTTGTCGGCAATGGAGCGTACTCAAAGTCAATGGGAGAAGGTCTTCGACTCAGCTGGCCTAAAGGTATTGAAGACATATACCTATACCGAGTCTTTAAGAGACAGTGTCCAAGTTGTCGTGGCAAAATAGACATTTTGGATAATTTATGGATGAAGAATCTGCCTTTGTATAATAACGTTCATCATCTTGTATGGAGGGGGCTCATTTGGTTGACAATGTATATAGTAATTCTGTTTAATCGATCAAATGGTACCCGTCATAAAGTGGTGTGAAATTTTTAATAAGTGATCTAGGCAGTCTTTTGGAAACAAATACCTGCGGAATCCGACTGTCCAGTGCATATTGTAATATTTAGCCGCCTATCGTAACATTTAACTACAGATTACATATTGAAAGCGTGTCTTGGGTAGCGCAAAGCCTAATTGGGTAGCGAGTTAAATCACTCTGTAGACCAATCAAATGATGAGTTCGAGCTGTTTATAATTATGAATGGATGATAAGTGATCTGTGATGAAAAGTTACGATTAACAGTGAGATACTGCGATTTGAGGCTAGATAGTCCACACGATATACAGGAATCTGTCTCAATACATACTGTGTGATTTTGTTTGCTTGTTGGAGGTCTCGGTTGAGGTGGGGTGACCAAATACACAGCCGACCATAGAAAGCGACATAACATTTCAGGTTTAGATATCATTTCGCAGGACATTCAGGCTCACGGTCGCACGGATTAGAAATTATAATCTCCTCTTTATATGAACATTGCCCTGCCACCACCATCACCATCTGCAATCCACAATTAACTCTTCATTTATACACTTCAATTCATTTAGCCCTGACGTCTGGTACACATGAAAAAAGGTTCGAGTTGAAGCGTACCAATCGTTGCACAGATGCTATTCTCTTTTGATTTATATGTCGTCCAGTCGGTACTTTGCTGCGTCTGAATGAGATATACAGGTGCGCTCCTTTAATGATGTAATATCGACTAAATGCGTTGTGTGGTTGCATTCCTGTACCTCTATCAATCTGTTGTGATGGAAACGCGAGGAATGCGGGGTTATAACAACAGCGAATGCACCGAATTTATTCTTTATTCTCACTTTTACACTCGAATTGTTGTACCCAAGAACTATCACACTGTCCGCTTTTAATTGGAATAGCGATCAAACAAGCCATGAGTCGACGACCTATAAGAGATGCTGTCAGTGGAATCATTGGGTTCGGCACTGACGCATATGCCTCCTTCAAAGAAAAGAAAGTCAGTTCAGGGGAGGGTGAAGAAAAGAATGTCCAAAGAGCAAGAACTTCAGAGTCTTCAGAGTCCTCCACAGTTGAACATAATAGCTTTACAACTGCCTTCGACGCACATGGATATGAAGGTTATGATGAAGATGACGAAGGAGACTGGGTTCGAGACGATACACAAGCCGAACTATCTCCATACGACCAGGAGATAGTAGATGAACCCGAGAGTGTTAAGCAAATATTTGGAGACTTTGGAAAACAACACCCTGGTATATCCTCGTCAGCTCGGCCAAACATAAAGCAAGGACTACCTGTTCCAATAATTATACCTGAGCGAAGACCCGGATCTAAACATCGAGGATTCGTAAGAGCTTATGCACCAGTTTTGATAGATTGTGGTATAGATCAGGATACATTCATGGATTTTCTAGTAGGATTTGAAGCATCTATCAAGGTACGATCTATCTAGGTAGCAGTAAACAGCACGATGCACGGAAAACATGCTAACAAATTGCTCAGGCGTCTCCATGCTTTCATGTGATAAACTTGGCCGTGGCTGCGAGTGTGATGGCCGAAGGACTTGCTGTAGCACCAAGTATCATTGTCCACGCCGCAGCATTCGCAGTACACACCAGCATTGAGTTTGGCAGAAGGGCATATATGTCTAAAGAGTACGTACCATCAGATCCGTTGATTGTCAAGTTGGGAGGTATGAATCTAATTCTACTCCCTAGACAGAACAAATACCTTGTCGGAATGAATGAGAAATTATTCAAACCACATGGACTCTATGCTATGCTTATGACCTGGAAATCAAACAACTCCACCAATTCTCAACCACTTGTCTCTACTGTTGATATGAACACCAAGCTAGTCACATCTGTAGCCTCACGTGAAGTTCAAGGCCGCAGTGGTTTCCATTCCACCTCTGGTAAAACAATTGGACAGTCTCAGATGCCAGAAAGTGCAGAATTAATATTCCCATTATTGGAGACAGCTACCGATGAACAAAAAGTAAATGCTATGAAAAAAGCAGGAGTTTGGTTTGGGGAGTGGAAAGACAAGAGAAGCACGGCTAAATTTGTATGTTTTTGCGTCTTTCAATCTAAACTTTAGGTTATCAAAATGATATAAGAAGTGACAATCTGATATATGCATTAGGCGACTGAAAATCCTTCAACGACATTGGCGACAAATGCTGGCGAGCAACAAGTGCCTTCATCGCGTTGGGCAGATCCCTCTCACCCTGTAAATCAAGGTGGGGTCATCGGAGTATTGTCCGGCGGTCATCTAGGGAGAACTGCGAGAAAAGAGAGAAGAAGAGAGAGAAAAGGCTTGCCCAAGGATGAAAATCCCAAACCTCAGAGAACTGGTATTTTGAAAACGGCGAAAAGAAACCTTCACGAGGTTAGTCTAGTTCGCATTTATAAAGAATAGCATTATGCTTACATATTAATAGGATGTGCTGTATCTCATGATCGTCAATATGCCTTCTGACGAGGAAATGAAAATTGTAACCAGCATAGTGAAGGAAAAGAAAGCAGGAGCTTCATAGCACTGTCTTCTCATTGAAGAAATTCCGTTTGTCAGAAATTGGTGTACGTACCTTAGCTTATTGTTTTACCAGTGCTATGGGTATATTAGTTTCGAGTGCATTTACCCAGTCCTCAATTTCCTTTACGCAGTTTTCAATACTACAAAATTTGCACGCAAATTCAAGCTCTCTCCTGATTTTTCCTCGATTGATTTCTTCTTTCCAAGCGACCACCCTCTTGGCCATCTCCTCATCGTAGAGACGCCTTAGCCTCACAACCTCGATTCTTTCCTCTACATTTTCATGGATGCTCTCTTGACATTCTGTACTTGATTGTTGTGTATGGTCAACACTCAAGAATTGTGGATATTGAGTTGCTTTCCATGTCGGCATGGCCGCCGCATTTTCCCACCCTAGAATGCCTGTTATATTTCCCATATCGTCAATCAAGATATTTCTCATCGATAAATCGTCATGGACAAGGACTGTAGATACCCTTGTTTCAGAGAAGGTCTGAAGAATCTTAGCATGCACTTTTTGAACGAGCTTCTGAAGACTTTGTGCTTCGATCATTTCTTCTTCATTGGTCGAGGTTCGTAATGTAGTGGATAGCTCCTTCCATATAGGTACCAACAGAGCTTCTAAATAAGAACTGCTATCCGGGAAAGAACAGTACGAATTCCTATCACTAATCGCAGCGATGGATATTAAACGACCAACAAAAGGTCGGACTTCTCTTGACATCTGATGCGAAGTACTGAAATCACCGTATCTATAGTCTGTGACATAATCATCCGCGTCTTGCGCGTCGAAAAGGTTTCCAATGTCGTCAAAACTAGTTGCATATAGTTTTGCTTGATATTTCGCTATGCTTTTCACCACTTTCTCCCTTCGAGCAAATGACAAATCTTCCCATTCATCCTTGAGGTATTTTCCCTCCAACTTTCTCATCAGAATCCATTCGAATCCCAATTTATTCCTTCTGTTCGCATCCCAAGCAATTACTCGGGGGGCAGGAACCCCTGATTTTCGCGCAAACTTCATGGTTGCTACTTCACTCAGCGTCTCGTCACTCTCCTGCAAAGGATACCGAACGCTCAAGTAATAAACCCTCTCTTTCTTCTCTTGCCACCCTTCTCTCCATTTTACCATCTGATAAACAATGACTTTGTAGACTTTCTTGAATGCCGTTCTGTTTTCAAATGATACTATGCAAGGATTATCCGCTCGTAAGCCCAAACGATCCAATACGAGGGTGCGTATTCTCTCCATTTTTGGTTCGAATGGCCAGCGGGGTATCCCCCATACTGACAAATCTCTGGTATAGGCGGAGAGAGTCATGACCTTTGATGCCGTTTTAGGCAGTGGAATGGGTGATTGAGCTGGGACGGCATTGAGAGTGACGGTGGTGTTGACAGAAAGCTTTTGTATTTCACGCTTTTTGGGAAATCGAGGAATCACATCCAGATTTTGAATTGCCATGTTTTTGGCCGTGTCTTGTGTGAAGCAGTGTGAAGTTTACAAGCGGTGACAAAAAACGAGCGACTAGTGATTATTCAAGGCACTCAGCAATTACAATTATGCGATAAATAAAGACAAAAACAAAAGAAAATCGAAAACTTAGAGAATGTCTGAATCGAATCTTTGACTTCTAATTCTCTACATAGGGTTTCAACGTGTATCTTTATGTCAGGGCTCGCGTCTACTCAGCCTCAAGTTGGTGTAGGTCTGGTGGGTCGGGACAGGGCAGTACAGTACATGCGCGCGCTTGTGGTCTTTGAATACCGACTATGAGGCTTCTGGAGTCATTGGGGTCGTATTTGAGCATTGAAAAAATCTGAAACGTACTAAATCCACGAAGAACCTCGACACTACGACTAAAATTTTGAATCAATGGTTTGATGCGGGGTGGGATTGTGGGGTATATGGGATCTCGCGAGAATCCACAGGCATCCTTTGGTTTTGAGATTGAATTATGTTTTACTTTATCTCACGTTGACCTTTTCATTCGAAAATTGTGCAAATATTCCTATTTTTCAATTCATTGAGTATGATAAATGACCATCATGATGTCCATAAAATCTCCCCGCTAAAAACTATCGCCAGAACTAAATAGGACTATCTCATACCCTCCAGGATGAGACATGTAACGAACGGACGAAAGGTGTCCAACATAGACCTTTCGGGACCTCGGGAGGTTTAGTTAGCTTCTGCACCTAAAAGCTCAATCTAGTGAATAAAATGAGCGGAAGTAAGTCTATTGAGTTATGCCGACTAACAATTAGTAATTCAGACCAACAGGGGCAAGGCATGCTTCGATGGACTACAGATGTGCAACACTGCTCTTCGAAAGGTTGTAATCGTAATTTCAATTCGAGAAATCCATTTAGAGAAGTACAAGACGATGCCACATAAAGTTTCATTTCAATACAATCTTACATAAAGAACCGATCTATCCTTAGGTACCTATCCTCCAAGTACAAACACAGCCAGTTAAAAGCACTCTCCAAAGCCGGGTCTTGTCCTTCTCAACTAAATATACCTCATCAATTAACCGCTGATCCAGCAGCCGAAACAAAGCTCTTCTCGACTAAAATTCTCTCCTCGGGGTAATTGGGATATCTCTGACTCTCCAAATCTCTAGCTCCGCCCGTAACAATTGAAGTTGGTCCTGATCCATCGTCATTCCAAGGTGACTTTTCGGAGAGAGGGCTTGGCAGATTGTTGGACGTAGAGTCAGAAGAGTGTTTTCGAAACAAGGAGCTGTTCTTGCTGCGAATAGAGAGCTTGGAACGCACACTGCCGATCATAGAGCCGAGGCTGCGGCCGCCGCGGAGAAGAGGTGCGAGACATGGAAGACATGCAGTTATAGTGCTGGCGTAGGCTTCGATGTGAGCCCAGAGATAGACTTCTTCGTCGAGTTCTAATGGTAGTTAGATTAAGGCCGCAAGACGATTGGAAATAATGGACTTACTGAGATCAGGTGTGCTAGTTCCAAAAAGTTTCTGGGAATAGTAAAGCCGAATGCAAGATGAGATGAGACAACTATAATACTCGGCATCAGCAAAATATAACCTTTCTTCTAGGGTAACACTGAATTCTCACAAAGCACCGAGAAGGAAGACACCGGATACATAAACTTTCTTCTCTGTCGGCATATGAAGGCCTTTGATCACAGGGAATGGAAGACTGAGAACTGCGATATCAAGGAAGATATCTACAGCTGCGCAGGCGATGACGAGATTTGGAACATCCAGAATAAACTGAGTGCCAATCAACTCGGGTGTAGTATTCCAATATGCTGCGACGGGATGAGCCGAAAAAAGGAACAGCTAGATGGGTTATCTATTTAGCGCCACACTTCAAGTTGATATCATTGATACTTACGAAGAATGACAAAATCATATACAACGAAATCATGCCCAATACAGTATTCGCACAGATGATGAAGGTCCGACTGGTGAAAATGCGTTTATAGAAGACCACGACTGATATCTTGATAAGTCCATACACAAAATGGCAAATCAAAGTATCCGCAAACTGGACTTCAAAGAACCGTTCGATATCTGGGAAGCTCAAAGTCGATAGATGAACTCCTCGGAGTCCACTCGCCGCTGCATAGATGCATTCAACACATAACGCAATTGAGCATATCTATCATAAAAACGTTAATGGTACGCATGATGAGTTGATTAGAAGATGAACATACCAAACATAAAAGAATCAACCAATCATCAGCTTTCAAGGCCAGCTTACTTCTCTTTCTCGCATAAAAGCGTAGGGATACTATAATAGTTGCGAGCACAACAAGAATCACATTTGCGACGACACCGCCGATGGCAACTTCTGGGATCGCCATAATATGGAAGTTGACTATGATGGTTGTTGTCTGGAAGATAATATCACGTAGATGTGGGACTATACTTCATACACAATCTCTCTGGACTCGAGTGGGGATATTTTTTTTTACATATATGAATGGGTTATTATCCGTAACGCCGACAAGTGCTGTGCTACACACCTACCATATACTATTAATTGGAATCTTCCACCCCCTCGACGCGACGCATGGCTAGATGGTACAGAATTGTGAGGGGGGTATAAGTGAAAACGGCTGAGCTGGAAGATTCTTCAATGGAATGCATTCTCTTCACGGACGCAACGGCTCGGACATTCTATTACATGACTTGGCAATTTGTTCTGCAAGCGCTCCAGGAAATGAGGAGTTGAGATGCTTGGATACATTACTTAGACACGAGGTTTTGAACTTCGTGGCCAAATTGGTACTACATGAGCAACAGCATTTGGTCTTGGTGGTCGTACGTGGAAGTGTCTAGTCCATCACGATTTACCTTTTTTATGTATCGCTGAATGTTCATGTTCGTTGAGGATGTGCATTTAAACTCCACAATCCTCCATTTTTATGTCTCATTCAAATCCTCTCCGTCTATCTCCAAAACTTCTCATACTACTCTTTCCCTCCAAGAAAAAGCCCTAGATTTCACCCAATAATACGCATCCCTCCCTTTCGCGTGGAACAATAAGCACATCTACGCTCATCTCGCCAACGAATCACCTTTTCTTGGAACCATACTTGTCCGCACATAAACATCCAATACTATCCCGTCCTTCCAAATGCCGTGGAACATTGCTACCTAAATTTTAACTCTCAATAAATCTCATTTGCATCAGATACAGAGACACATTTTCTCTCATCTCCAATTATCTGATCCCTCATCACGCCATAGACACAGGAGAGAAAGCGACAACTGTCGGCTTGAAGGCCTAATGACAATTTTCCGGAAGGTAATTCAAGAAGTTGGTTGTCGCCATCAAGCTGCTTACAGGATGGCACTTCCGGCGGGCTGGCTGATTAATATTACGGGACTCCGCTTCCTTCCTTCTTCCAAGTCGGAGAGTTTCAGTAGCTTCCGAGAGGAATATATTTTCCGGCGTATGGTATGTTCTTGGGTTGTTATCTATAAACTTCGGCTTGCGCCTCTTTCTGTATCGTGGAGATGTATTGATGATACGATGGCAATGGATATTTCAGAACTATCTTGTATCTGCAGTATTTTAAATGTATGAAATAGATTTCTGTTAGAATGTGGAGGAAAAGGAATTCTCAAGATTTCTATTGTTATAGACGGCTTATATTATGGTCGCACATGTGCAACATACCAAGGCTCCAAGACGATAAGAACGCGGTTGGTAGTCGTACGATCCCCTTCAACTCGTGCTAGAAATACTATCGTGCTGAAGAAAATGTCGCAGATATTTCACATGCAGTATCGGAATTTGGGCTTAATATGCTTTAAAGTGGTTGTGCATAGAATCAAAGACCATCGTGGACGCCTCTCTGTATACATGACTTCTTTATCTCGTACCGCCACGAGCAATCTAGTACTTTCTGTGATACTGAAAGAGAAGATAAACAATTGATATTGTGAGTGAACATGCTGGGTCTGTCCATATACTTTATTTTTATTGTATGGTAGAGTGACGCACAAATATGTTCAAACTTCTTGGCACAATGTGGTTTCCTTTAATCACGAGACAACCTGTCTACACACCCGTCACCGTCGATTCTGACGAAGAAGCAAAACCGAGGCTTCATAAAAGTTCTGAGAACACACTGAGCTTGAGATTGAATATTCTAATACTCTTTGCCCTTTGTTTCGGATCTTGTGCACTAGGGTTTCTTGCTGCAAGATTACTAGACACACAATCGATCGCTGACCGTGTAGGACCTCGATGTATACACTCTTTCCCTGAAGTTATGAGATCATGATGGAGCTAACGTTACATGATTAGTTGCTAAAGAACTGAAGAATTTCTCCTATAATCGCAATTTCTCGTATCCCCCATCTGATACTACAGATGCTGCTTGGAATGGATTATTTATGACGAAAGGTGATGGGGGATTCTTCAATCATCCTTATGTGGAAGGAGAAAGAGCTACACTGAGCGTCTTGCATCAGTTACATTGTTTGGTACGAATTTAGCCCTGTATTTGTTCTTTGATCCCATATCTTATTCATCATCTCCCCATCTTCATTAATTTTCCTTTCCATCAAGAATGTATCCTAGGATATTCCAATGATAGTCATTAACGGTAGCCTAGGATGGTATACGTCACATTTACTACCTCAATAATGATGCAGCGACAACAGGAACATTACTTCTTGACGAAGAATTAGAACCTCATATGAGAAGAAGTCACATGAGGCACTGTATTGATTTTTTGAGGCAGAGTTTGATGTGTTGTGGGGATAGCAGTATTGAGAGGGTCAATCCTGAGTTGAAAGTAAGTTTGTCTCTTCTTCGCTTAAAGTGAGCTTTCTTTTGTACTATAATTGAAGGTTGATGTGATTATGTTTTGGCCCGAGGATAAGAGTAGTTGTCATGGCAAAGAGAAGGAAAGATGTGGATGAAGATGAGAAAGAATGCTTGCTAATGGCAGCGATGCAGGGTGTAACGGGATGGGGTACTGAGCATATGTGTGCGAATTGGGGAGAGCTGCAGGATTGGGTTGGAGAGAGACAGAGATTAGATCGCGAGGGATGAGGGGAAAATATAGGAAGAATTGACTGTGATGAGTCAAAAACGAAGAAAAACTTCGGAGAGATCGGAAGAAGAATGCCTGAACTGCTGGAATTCGTAAAAATTCAGATAGGATAGTGGCAACGAGACAGAATTTGTATGATAGTCGCATCGTTAAAGATTGGGTAGCACGTAGCTTAAATTGTTGTCTCAAGAGTCAGGAAATCTGTCATAGAATTTAAATCTGACAGAAGCTGAGTTTTCAAAATTTGTTGGTTCATCTTTTATACACAAAAATCCTGACGATGGAACTCCCGATAGTTACAGTATCAATCACGCCGCCCCAAACTTTGAACAGGTCACTAAGGCGCGTCAATTGATGAGAAGCAGCTGTCTCAAAAAAGTTAAACACAGCTTAATTCTCTCAACCAAGAATATTATGTTGTACCAAAAGCGTTAAAGATAAATGTGTTTCATTGCCACTATCGTCCATCACACACCCACAGCCCAACGGCTCTGAACTCCATCCCGATTATGCACCTTCTTCCAATCTAGGATTTACAAGCGCAGCCATCTCTTCCTCACCGACTACACGATCGGCGAGAGAGTCCATTAGCGCGTTCCAATCCACACATCGATGTTCTGTCGATTTGACGTGCGGCTGTGGCTTAGATAATTTCTCCCATCCGAATGTTGTGAGCGTTGTGTCGCCTTGACACATTACTGCACTGCGTAAAATATCAAAACAGTGATCTGACTGCTGCGTCAGTATCTTTATCTTAGTGATGTAGAGGTAGAAAGCTACCTGCATGGATATCCCAATGTTCAATCGTTGGATCTGTTATGTTGGGATAGTAGTAATTCCGATAGTTCCAGCGTCGAAGCATTTTCTGTCAATGTGTTAGTTTCTGAGCTGAAATAATAATTCAGATGAAACTTGCAATGCAATGCAGTTGATGATGAGCTCCAATCCAGACCATATGACCACCACCTTCTGGTAAAGATATGGACTTTTGATTCCTCTTTTCCAATTCTTCGGTTGTGACCCGTATATTCATGTCTTTCAATAGATCATGCCATGCTTGGTCTACCGACTCGCTCGGAGGCCCAGCGTAAGGCGAAGATGGGAGATCGGGAGGAGCAACTGGTACATATCGTATTCTCACACCTGGCAAAGCTAGAATGAATGAGCACAACAGCACCTGAAGGTCATTGGGAAATCATGAAGCATACGATAAACTGAGGTTGATTTAGAACAACTTGATCGAAAGAGGGCGAGTACAAAAATGACAGTATATGATAATATGAGTGAAAGATGTAGGAAGACGGCTCTCAGAGTTAGGTTGGCACTATCTTGTCTATTCCCAAGTTTGCCATCTTCTGATCTTTCCTCATCCAATAAAAACGGGTTACTTTCTGATGACATTTTGCGTTTATCGTGAAGATAAAACTGTTTACTGAAGATTGACATGACTGATCGTACACATCTTGAATCTAAGCCAAGGAGATTACATATCGGCGACTCGAGCTCAGCATTATCAGATTAGACTGCATAGGACCTTGGTATCGTTGCTACATAGAGCATATCGTATGATCTTCGGAGTAGCAATAGGCTTCAATGCATTGCCAACATAGCCAAGAATGGTAATCTCGACGACCCAATACCCGATGAGATCCCCGCAGACGGTGGGTAGAATATTGATATCGGGAGATAGTCGTCTAACCAAGAACTTACGCGCAACCAGCTGAAAACTATAATATCCAATAAAATTGATACCGGCCTGCTTTTGGTCACCGGTTAAATGCAAAACCGTCGAGATTTGCTGCAGCAAGCATAAATGTCCGACATTTGTGCTACCAGATTGAGATAAATATGATGGGGAAACCGATAAGGCTTCTTTCATATAGGGGAAAAGATGAAATCAGCTGGGAAATTCTCCTCTCCACCAATAGTACAAGCAACCTCGTAGGGCAGAACAGCGAAAATGGTATTCGGTACTTATGTATGTGGAAGGCGAAGCCTTTTGCTCCTTGTCATCATCCAATATTTTGAATCTTTTCGGAGGAATCGATTAAGAAATGGAGAAAAAGATGAACTCCTAAAATCATAAAACTAAACTATAAAACGATTGACTGAACCTACATAATTATCTGCATTTTCTCGGATGTCTAATACAATAAAAACTCAACCGAACCAATATCCTCAAATAAAAATGCGCGTCACTCTTCATCAACTCATAGTCTTATGCTTTGGATTTATGGCCATTGCTGCCCCTCTCAGCCATCCTGGTAAGAGACCAAACGCACCTTACTGACATATTACCCCGCTAATGACCATTATAGACTCTCTTACGATCAGATCAAAAGGTTTGCGAAAATTCCTTTAAACTATGCAGCATACTTTTGCTGAAGTTCTATTAGATGGTGATGAGTTTGTGAGATGGCCTGACAACGCTATTGATACGAACGGGCTATCTGTTGCCGCATACCAAGGGGACTAAAGAATCCAGGAGTTGTTTGACAGATCGGAGGTCGTTTGTGGAGTTGAGCGATAAGGGAGTGAATTGGAAAGTGGCTTAAAGAGGCTGTGTTTTGATAATTTCTTTTTCTCAATAGCATCATTCTGGATGAGAGAGCGGGATCGAATGTTGAGCTCGTTCGGCATTTGGCGGCCAAGAAATCTTGATCATGTAGCTTGAGAGAATGTAACCCAATCACTTGTCGGAAAGATGTTGCACATTGTCCCACCCGTCGTGGTAGTGAATAACGTGCCAATCGGAGCTACCCCTTTCTATTCCATGTTAGGAGGAGAGCCAATAAACGACATATCAAGCACGTGAAAACGGCGGATATCCTATCAGTTTGCTATCCGTTTCCGTTTGTCAAAGTTGTAAATATGTAGTTACACAAATGAAATGCCTTGAACTCGTGGGAATTGTGAGCTGTTCAGATTCCTTCCAACACAGTAAAGAATAACCTTTCAAATGAAAAGGGCACAGAGCACTATTAGTTATGGCCTATTTACTCATAAAATTGCTTTTATTGTTCTCAGTTATTTTGTGCTATCAGCTCTACACAAGATGGAAACTCAGAAAAAACACACCTGCAGAATGTCAACCGGCTCCAAGTTTGCCCGCAATTGATCCTTTTCTTGGTTTGGACCTGTTCAAGAAATCTCTCAAGATACGAAAAGAGCATAACATCTTAGAAACCCACGCAAAACAACATGATATCTACGGCAAGACATTCCAAGCTTTACGTCTCGGGAGAACCACGATCTATACAGCCCATCCAGACAATCTAAAAGCAATTTATGGAACGCACTGGAAAGATTGGGGTACAGGTAGAGCTGATGCCATGGAGCCTTTCTGCGGAAGAGGATTTGTCACTAGAGATGGCGAAGAATGGAAAGTTCATCGAAGTTTGTTCGTTTCAACCTTGACAGAAGCTTATATTGTAAATCTGAAGCTCCTCGGCGAAGCTTACGAACATTACATACAAGATTTGCCGTCAAATGGACAGAGTGTTGATTTGGCGCCAACCTTCGATAAGTTGGTGAGTTGCAGCCCAAAGAAAAATGTATAATGTCTAATTGACCATAGTTCCTGGATCTATCACTCCAATTTCTGTTCGGTAAGCGCATAGCAGAATTATATTCAGGGGACTCGCCGGTGGATATGGACACCTTCGAGAAAGCATTTGATACTGCACAAAATTGGATGGGTATACGATTAGCATTTGGAAAATTTGGACGCAGTGTGTCTCTTCTCAGCAATAAGTGGAAAGATTCATGCAGAATAGTGCATTCATTCGTAGACCATCACATTGCCAAAGCACTAGACAAAACGTACAGCTTAAAGTCAGAAGACTATCATTCAAGTCTTCTCGAGAATTTAGTGTTGCGGGGAAAGAACTTGGACGATATTCGCTCGCAAATTATTCAGTGTATGCTAGTAACCCAGGATACAACGGGCATAGTTTTGAGCAATACGATATTCCTGCTTTCGAGATCTCCCAAAATCTGGGCACGCCTGCAAACGGAAATTTCTGCTCTAGGTCCAATTCAAGACTGGAATCCAACAAATTTGAGGAATTCAATACTTCTTCATAATTGTATAAAAGAATGTAAGCTTTCTTTGATCTATGGCTTGTAAGGTTTATCAGAAAAGAACTAATAATAGATAGCTTTACGCATCTATCCTCTATTTCATGCGAACAGCCGTATAGCTCTTGTCGATGCAACACTTCCAGTTGGCGGGGGTTCTGATGGTGCAGCACCAATATTTATCTCAGCAGGCAGGAAAGTCAGCACAAACTTTTACACACTTCACCGAGAAAAATCGGTATTTGGGGATGACATTGAGATATTCAATCCCGACCGATGGAATCATATCTCTCCAAGTAATTGGGAATTTATGCCATTCAGCCACGGTCCGCGTAGTTGTGCTGGTCGACACAAAGCTCTAGGAGAGGCCTCGTACATTATTGCCAGAATGGCAGCTCAGTTTCAACGAATAGAGAGTCGTGATGATAAGCCTTGGACCGAAGATGTGAAGCTGGTGGTGAAAAATGGCAATGGTTGCCAAGTAGCGCTTTTCTCTGCTCATGGAGTAGCTTCGTCCTAGTTTACTGTGCCGCCTTCACTTCTACTTCAATTGCCGTACAGAAATTGATGGTGAGACTTTTGATAATACCTTGTTGTCCGTGTTACCAATCTAAATGGAGTTTGCAACAGAATGAACGAGACTGCCTGCGAGTGGTTTTAAATTGGTATCCAGATCAATTGGTGCCAAGACACAATCATCCAACTGTTAGATGAGAGAAATAAGCTCTTATGTTTTGAACGCGAATGAGGAATAAGGTGAAGCTGTTCTGAGAGTCGATCTGACGAGTATGCTTGCGACATTGCAAACACCACCAACTGTTGGAGTTGAGCGGGGGCATAGAAAGACAACAATTATTTGAAATATCAAAATATGAATGATAGGATATATCTTGGCCGAGTCATGAATAAAGCCCTCATCTGATGCCAAACAGATTTTCTCTTACCGTCAAGCTGATTCCAAAAAGATAACCACCACATTCCCTTTCCTTCTAAACTACCCTACCCCCTCTAGCAGCAAGACCGAGATCGCACTAACCTCCCCAATCACACTTTCTCTACATCTCTACTTCCCAACAATCGAGTAAACACAATGGATCAACCTACACTTTCCATCCCCGCTCCCTCCACAACCTCGCTTCTCCGCGGCACCAAACCAAACCATCCAACCAAGCACATCACGTGAGCCCCCTCGCAAGCGTGGCAAAACTATTTGAGAGACACATGGGGGATTTGTTGCATATCGTAGTCAAATCAACACATGTAACACACGCATTAGCGCTTACGTACAAGCTATCTGGTATTGGTTCGGATAAAGATAGTAGTTGTCTACTTTGGTTTGTGGGTGTGGAGGTACATGGATGTTTTTCGATAAATTGGGAGGTTGAATGTCTAGGTCGTTGGAAAGTGAAAAAGAGAATCAACACAGGTCGATCACTTCGAAAAGACTATAATCTATATCTAAACCCTCGAGTCTGAAAATCCGTAAGATCCCCGCCCATGGCCATTTCTCCTTCTGTCCCCTCACCCTCGCCCGCACCCTCGGACTCCAAACCCCATTCCTCTCTGTCCCTCCTCGCGTTAACCCCCTTTAGATAAACCCTTAGTCCTACCGCCATTGCTGCAGACAGAAAGTAACATCCTAAACAAACCGCAAAACCTCTCCCAAACCCCATATCTCTCTCCTTACCACCAAAAATATGCGGACCCAACATATTCCCCACACAGTATGCCACAAACATACAAGCACTCATTGTCATTTTTTTCGTCGTTCCTCTTGTATTGGCTCCTATAAGACTCATTGTTAAAGGAATAGTTGCGTGAGAAAAGCCAATTAGGTAGAAACCTGTTAGTTTTAACGAACTGAGACGAGCCCAGTTCATGAGGCTGGCACCGATAATAGGGGGTAAAAGAAGAGTAGAGAGAAGGAGAGTCGTAGTATTGCGATAGCGGGACGCGAGATATCCGGACAGCACAATTGTGAGAAAAGATATTAGAGAAGATGGGAGGGAGATGAGGGTTGATTGAAGACCAGTAAATCCGAAGCTTGTTATTAGGATGTTTGCGAAACTGGTTGTTCCTCCATTCGGAATCTAAGGCTCGGTTAGTTCTGTTTCCGGGAAACGTAAGACTATTGATATACCATGGTAAAAAGGGAGATGAAAACGCAAAACCAAGTTTTCGGATCAAGTAGACACTCGATAGCCTGTTCACCTTTCCACTCATTCTTGACAGACATAGTAATTCCAGTCCCCGCCACACGAACTCTCTCTTCTGCACATTTCTTCTCTTCCGGGGTGAGAAACTTGGCTCTGGAGATAGTATCTGGTAAACAAATCAGGACAACAAAGCCCCATAAAGCAGTCGCTGATCCGAATATCTTGCGATCTGTTAAGAATGAATCTCAAAGGCTTGGTTCGGACTACACTTACAATATATAACAACTTCCAAGGTTTTAATGAAGAATGAATCTGTCCTATCCCAAAAGAGAGCAAACTAGCAACGGCACCTCCGAAAGAATTACCCGCATACCTAGAACAATATCAGCCACCTCATTATAGAAATCTACCTATATCATTCACAGATCACTTACCACAGCCCCATACGACTAGGCATTTCATCCCTCGTATACCACATACTCGTAACATACAAAAATGCCGGACTAATGCTTGATTCTACCATCCCTGTGAACAACCTCGCTACCATCAGTCCCTCATAAGAGGTACAGGAAGCCGTACTCGCAACAATAATTCCCCAGATCACAATATCCGCTGCAATGTATTTTGCAACAGGGAGGGTTTGGATCAGATAAACACCAGGATATTCCCATAAGAGATAGCCGAAATAGAAGACACTCGAGATGGAGCTAAACTGGCCGTTCACTAGATGCTTGATCGGCGTCAGTAACGATTGGAAATACACATTTCCAGTCCTTATAGTCAGAATTCCTCGTAGAGCAGAGAATTCCGAATCTCCTTATTCACGAACGAAACATACATACCGTATCTCCAACCAACCCAAACACAGCGGCAGTGCTCAAGATACTCTTATCGATGTAATTAAAATTAAACGTTATAAACATTAATGACATGAGTCTTAAATCTATTTTTCTGACCAGCCTTTTCGCGAAAGCTGTGTTTTCAGGAAAGGCAGCGGCTGAAGTCGGTGAAGCTGTGATTGTGTCATCATTAGATTTGGTGGGATTGAGGTCAGCGGAGACCTCACCTGAGCTATTGAGAAATTAGTGATGAGTTTGACGATATATGGGACCAATGTTGAGATCAAAAGAATGCGAAATCGTAATACAGTAACGGTGTATCTTCCGTCGACATCTTCACCATCCTTTATTATTATCTTTCTTTTGTTATCAAGAAATCCAGCGAGGAGTCCAGCCCGCCACTATCAATTTCGAAGAAGAACAAAAAGCATCAAGAAAATGAAGAAACGCCGTCACAAACAACCGTCTAAATGGAGGCTACAGTAGTGTATTAGTATAATGGAAAGGAAGCTTTCTGAATCATAATTGTGATCCTTGTGACAATCGATGTCACGAGCATGATAACGATAGTCGGGGGATGTGTGGGTCATTACAGGGGCTCATCAACACCAAGCTGAGATATGAAGATGAAGAGGGCACCTCAAGACGTTTTGTGTATCTTTCAGAGACATTTATGAATATACTAAGATAATGCTGAGGATATCTGGATTATTTTGGTAGATCAATGATGGTTTTTATGTATTCGTGTATTATGTGCTACGGAATATCTCTTTTTTCTTTTGGTGGGTGATTTGATAATGCTCGCAGTGTTTTCCCATCCACTGACTTTGACAACAAACGCCCCAGCGCTTCCGTTATTTCGCAGGATATGACTTCGAAATTCAAATCAACTCCTGCTCATCGTATCGCAAAATGCAATGCAGAATCGTAAATACATCAGTTAGCACTGCGTGGTACAACCCATCAGAGGATTGCGGATGTAACAATACACAGCCCCTCCTAATCTTTTTTCCCCGTCCCAAACTCCCGATGAAGAAATACATCAATTTCCCCAATCATCCTCAGACTCTGTTCAATACTGGGAGATCTGTTTTCCCCTGGTATCTGAACCCACCTCTTGATTAATGTTTGAAGATGTGATCCAATATTTGTGACGTCTTGACCGAGGAGATTACGGAGATATGGAAGACGGGAAGCGGCGAGGAGTACAAGCATCGCGCCTGTCATTCTAGATGGACATCAGTAATGTGATTGAATGTTTAATGGGATGAGAAACAGGATGAGTGGGATGGGACTCATTATATAGAGAAGAAGGGGGAGAAATACGATAAAGAACATATCCAAGTATCCATCATGACCGTATGTGCAAATCCTCGTAAATTAATTATGTGAAGTAAACAGGCATCTAGACAATTTCGACACTTTTCCAGTACATTTTGTGCGACATTTATGTCTTGAGAATGATTTGTAAGAACCCAAGTTAAGTAAGGTCGATAAATGACACTTCTACATGTCAAATATCTTTGTCTCAGAAATCCTGCGTGTTGACCTTGAGCAGGTTGTGTATCAACGACGAATTGTAAAGCTGGGGGTAAAAAATCTCGCCATTCTTCGAGTTGATGGTCTAATTCTTCTACAATGAAAGGGAATCGGGCGTCATCAAGGCTTGCTCCGGTTTCCTTGGCATAGAGAAGGTTGTGAACGCGATTCAAAAGTCGACGCATTGAAATACATGCTAGAAAATAGAGTGATGAATGTTCTTCATCTACTTGTGAGTCATGTGTATTGTAACTACCTGGAAGAGGTATAGTCGATTCGATTGATGCGAGACCAGACTCGGGAAGACCAGATAACTCCGCAAGATAGTCACTTGTATGTGTTAACTTAAAACAAACTCGAACCAATATCTTAGACTTTACCTCTCAAGAATATAACATGACCAGAAGATGCGCCTCAAACATTCGACATCTTTAGCCGATTCTCCAGGTGAGTGGTAAGATAAGAGTAGTCGACATTTTGCCGCGGTTGCATTAATGTATTCCCATGCTTGAAGTGGTCGCTGAGAAAATGCAAAGTATACTCTGAATTTCACAGTTAAAATTGTTCACATCCGAAGAGAAGGATACGTACGCAGTGTAGAAAAGACATTGAACGGCAGTTGAACTCATTTCAGTATGAGGAATGTACAGTCTCTTCAGAACTTCATCGAAACAGATATCTGCCATTAATTTTCGTCCCCTGTAGTACTCATCCTCGTCCGATGTTAGATCCCTCGAAACAGCAATATTCATAATTGATTGACTTGCGCACCCCAGTGACATCATCAATAGAGCCAATACAGATAAAGTTGTAGGTTGCTCCGATTTTCGTAACAGAACACAATCTCGGAGTTGATTTCTTTTATTATTTGACATCGCAGGATACCAAAAATTTATGTTTGCTTGAAATGACTCCATGATGTGATCCAGCTCTGGACCTCCCACATATGGATGCACACTAGACGATCTGCTAGAGATTGGCATAATTGCCTGTTCCAAATGAAAGATGGAGGTGTAATTTTGTCTGATGGAAGGGAACACATCGAATAGTTGCCATGACAGAATGGACTCGGTAGCAGAAGTATGAAAAGAAGATAGAACGGCATTGTGAACAATTTGTTCATCATGAAAAGATAGATGACGAGGTCTAGTTATCTGTTGTGGTACTGGTGATGAAGTGGTTGCACCTCCTGAGTATGCCGTTTGAGGTGAGCCTGAATTGTGATCATTGGTGGCATGGTGATTCATAAAAGCAGGTGAAGCAGCCTAGAGACGAATAAGCAATGGGATTTCGCTTGCACTGACATAGCGAAGAATCATGTACCATCATTGCATTCATGTCCTGTAGATATCTTTCAATACGGAGAACGCCCTCCAAAATCGAGTCATTCTTGCCTCGACTAGAATTTGATTGTGTTACAGAAGGTATAACTCAAGATCGAAGTGGAGACTTACGGATTGACATCAATTCCATACGAACAATCCTGATCCGTCGCAATGCATGTAGCACATGGATTGTGCCCATCGCATCTACAATACCACTATTCAGTATGTGAGACTCCTTTGAACGAATAAAAATCACCTGATTTTCCTCAATCGGCAAACATCGCACTGTATGAATGGTCAACAACTTCTCACATGAATATTGACCGAGGTTCTTACTGCATGAGCTGCCCGTCGTCTTGTCCGTGGGGCAGGATCTACGGCCGACATCACAACGCTCGCAGGGAATACTAGATGCTCTCAACGTTCGATAAAGATATTCGGGGCATTCGGGATAAGACTTTTGGGATTTAAATTACAAGATATGAAAACGATTGCTTGGTGGACTCGTATCCATTTTTTTTTAATAATTGGAACGGATGTTTATTCCTCTCGAAGAAGAATGGCTCGAATGGCTAATCGTCGTAAAAAGCCTTTGTGATTATGTGGAGTGTGGGAAAATGAATATGCGGTTGGGATTAAAATTTTGGGTCATGTGGGGTGGTAAATTATGGTGGGTTAGCGGTTGTAATCTTACATGCATGCATCAGGCATCAGATATCAGAGACGGGCAGGATAATTTGTCTCTGTAATCTTGAGGGTAGAAATCGAAAAGAAGTGTACGGCGTATACATTTTACAACCTCGGATACGATGATATTTTTCATATGCGTTGCGTGCTGGCGTGAAATCCAATATCAGAAATTAGATCATAATTCATATTAAAATAAAAATAACTCAAACACCTTGGATTCACAAAGTCCCACATCCTTTCCAATCAGCAGATGTAACATAAACTGCTTTAAACTTCGCCTTTCGCAATCGTTGTATCAACTCTGAGTGTCCTGAGAACAGTAGTTGCGTTTCTCTTTTCCAAACTCCTTTGAACTGGATTTGGAGCCTCAAACACTTCAGCCAATTCCTCCAATGTTCTGTCCTTAGTTTCTGGGAAGTAGAAGTAAATGACCGCCGCTTCGACCAAATCCCAGAAGACGAACACGAGGTAAAAGTAGTAGTGAATGTTCTCGAATGCTGGTCCAAAGCTGTATTGAATGATAGTGCTCGCGACCGATGAAGAGAAATTGCCAATAGCTGTACCCTTGGCTCTGGTTGAAGTTGGAAGCGTCTCTGCAATGTACATGCTTTGTAAAGCGGTTCATCCAAAAGAAAAGACAAATCCGAAGATGTAGATGAATGCGATGACTGTGTTTACAGCAGTGACGTTGGTTGTGTCCTGGGTAGCCAATTTAGATGTTCCCGTGATGATTGCGAAGCACCCCGAGCAGAACAAGATGGAGTAGAGTAAAAGTGGTCGACGACCCCAATTGTCTGTATATCTGGCTCCAGCAATGGCTCCAATAAAGCAGATAGGAGAGTGTATGCCGTTCATCAAAAGCTGTCTTTCTTCAGATACAATTCCAGCATTAAGTAACATCTCAGGTAAGCAGTAACTGGTAACGGAGTTTCCGCTCAATTGACCAAAGCATGCCATTCCGAGTACGCAAATAAGACGGCGGCGAGCAGAGTGAGTTTCCACTAGCTCAGAACAATCCCACCATCTTTTGTCAGAATCATTAAGGCCAATTTGCTGTTGCATCTCTTTGAGTTGCAAAGTCACCATTGGGTGATCGATTGAACCTTCCCCATGATACCTTGCCAAGACCTTAACAGCCTCATCTGCATTGTCTTGCGCCATCAACCAGCGAGGAGATTCGGGTAACCACCAAACGCCAATCGCAACGAAGCCAGAGGAAATCAACTGGCACAAAATTGGTATTCTCCAACTAGCATCGCCATCTATTGTTCTACAACCATAAACAACTCAAGATGCAACAATTGATCCGATGTACCTGATTATGATCAGCAGTTGCTAATTTTCAAGGAATGACAACATAACGTACCAGGTAGTATTGTACAGTCCAGTGAGAGTTCCTCTCCAAGCAGGATGCTAAACTAGTCAGTCACTGCCATAATCCTTTCATGATTGAACTTACAGCCATCTCGCTCACATAGCAAGGAGCACTAACGCAGCAAAAGCTGACTCCAAACCCAAGAACAAAACGGCCAGCTAAAAACATGCCATTATTTGTTGAAGGCGCTTGAACACATGTACCAATGATAACCAAGACTGCACCAGTGAACATGCCCATCCGCCTTCCAAAATGATCGTTGACAGGACCAGTGAAGAAGACTGCAGGAATTGAGCCTATGTTGTACATGGCAAAAACAAGGCCGGTCGAAGACCCTGCAGCGCTCCTTTAGGCCAGTTAGTATGATGATACTCTATGTTGATGACGCAAGATTTTGAGAAAACAGAAGAATGTTTCTAAAAAGCCAGATTGTACATGATTATCTGTAGCTGGATTGATCCCAGTGAAATGCAGTGAAGCGAATAGATAATCACTTACATGTGGAAGTAGGTTTGATAAGTCTTCATAGCATTAAGACCACCCATTAAAGAGCCATCGAATCCATTCAAACATCCACATAGATATGCGACCATCAAGCAACCATAAAGACGAAACATGCCCAAGGTGAATGGACGGGGCTTCGTTTCGTCAACATCGTGAGCAAGTTGAACTGCCTCACCAACTATACCCTCAGATTTTGTTTCGTGCAGTTCAACATCCTGCAAGTGCTTTTCGGCCATTGCTATTGAGAACCAGTAGGCAATATCAATAATCCAAGAGATAGATAGGAATTAACAAGAACGACAGATGACAGTAGAGTTCATCTCTTCCTCCTTTCACCCGCAGCGCGAGGGCGAATAAATAGTCCCAATGTCTGTCATCTTTCTCTATGAAGTCTACCATCATTGGCCTCATTTGATTGCTTTCCCGTCGTATCTGATCTCTCATCCCATCGAATCGTGAATGTAGTCCATTTTTTGGCCTACGTCCCGACGTTGTCAACCACATGAAGCTTGAAGCTCTGGAAAATACCCCAGACTCATAACATGGGGAAACAGGGGAACTTTGCGGCGAGGAATCAAAGGACCAATAGCGGTTGAACCTGAATCAAGATTTCGTGTGGAGAAGTAAGCTAGAATTCGCGGTGAGAGTGGGTTGGTGCGCCAAATTCAAATAACGGTATGGCCTCGTGTTTGTGGTGGTTTTAATTACCGGGATTTCGGCTCCGCGTTCCCCGAATCAAATATTTCCCCAAACTTCACTCAATCTACCCCCCATCGCCCCCTCATCGCCCCTTCATCGCCCTCATTTCATCCAACCAAAATCACGAAGATCAATAAAGGTACCAAACTAATGTAACTTCTACTCCTTCGCGAACTCATTTGTTTGATTGATCATTCGGAACATGTATCCCCGAGGCCGACATCCGTCACCTGTCAATCTACCTACGCATTTCTGTGCTCTCCATGTAATGAGGGGCTCCCTGGCACGCTCAAGAGTGGTGCACTCGATGCCAACTCTGGGCGAAGATGAACACTGAGTCAAGATAGCCTTGATATCAATGCCAATGTAGTATAATATATGCCATAGACAGATCAATCCATTCTTTCTTACCACACATAGCCATTCAGTTCTCAAGGCTTTTTGCATTTCTCACAGCTACGATACCACCATGGCTTCCGACTTGGATATCTGCGACGAGAAGATCTTCCAACGAAATCGATTTCCAGCGAGATCATACTATATTCCACCTTCTTCTCTTCTGTTAAATGGCACGTGGGACTTTCATTATGCCCCAACGCCCAAACATGCACCACTTCCAGCTCAATCAAATACACCAACCTCAGAATTGGGCACTAAGGAAGGATATGTGAATGTGCCACCAACGGCAGATAAACAAATTGAAACTATAGCAGATGATGAGGTGAAATGGGGAAATATAACAGTTCCGGGGCATTGGCAACTTCAAGGGCATGGTCGACCTCAATATACAAATACAATATTCCCATTTCCCGTCTGCCCTCCACATGTCCCGACCGAAAACCCCACGGGAACTTATCGCAGATCGTTTCACGTTCCAAAGTCTTGGGATGAGTCTTCCCAATTGCGATTGAGATTTGATGGTGTAGATAGCGCGTTCCACGTCTGGGTCAACGGTCAATTCGTTGGGTATTCTCAAGGATCCAGAAATGCGGCGGAATTTGATGTTTCGACATTTGTGAACCGGGGAAGCGCAAATGAAGTCTGGGTTCGTGTATACCAATGGTGTGATGGGTCATATATTGAGGATCAAGATCAATGGTGGCTTTCTGGTAAGTCCGAATTCTGTGGGAGAGGCATTACAATCGAGTAATGTAGACTAACAATTGTATTCCAGGCATATTCAGAGATGTGAATCTTTTATCATTTCCTACAACGGGTCGAATCGACGACTATTTCGTTACACCTAAGCTTGATGAAAAATATAATGACGCGACTCTGGAAGTTGCCTTGGATCTGGTTGCTCCATCTTCTGGAGAGGTAAAATTGACCCTACGTGGTAATTCTAATGGCGATGAAGTAATATCGAGTGGTTCTAAATCTTTTGAGTCTGACGCGAAGAAGCTCTCATTGAGCCTGTCGGTATCACAACCTCAGAAATGGACTGCCGAGACACCCTATCTGTATCAGCTTGAGATTTCAGTTCATGTGAACAACAAGGTTACTCAGATCATTTACCAAAACGTCGGTTTCCGTTGCGTCGAGCTCAAAAATGGTCTTATAACAGTCAATGGCAAAGCTATTCTTTTTAATGGCGCAAATCGTCATGATCATCACCCGCATCTAGGACGTGCAGTGCCATTATCCTTTATCAAACAGGATTTACTGTTGATGAAGCAACATAATATCAATGCACTACGCTGTTCGCATTACCCATCACATCCGGGAATATATGATCTTTGTGATGAGCTTGGTCTATGGGTGATGGATGAAGCAGATTTAGAGTGCCATGGATTTTATGATGCTGTAGCATATCCTGCCGATATTCCAGAATCGATACCTTATGAAGAACGTAAGAAATTGACTTTTCCACAAGCCGCCAAATTTACCTCCGATAACGAAACTTGGCGCGACGCATATATCGACCGAATGACCCAGCTTGTGAATCGAGACAAGAACCATCCTTCGATTATCTTGTGGTCCTTAGGAAATGAAGCATTCTATGGGAAGAATCACAAGGCAATGTATGACTACGCAAAGGAGGTGGACCCTAGCCGGCTGGTCCATTATGAAGGTGATGCGGATGCAAAGTCTGCAGACATGTTTTCTTACATGTATCCACCCATCGATATTCTTGTCAAGCATGCGGAGACTACTGGTGTTTCTGATGGCACCTATGACAAGCCTATTGTGCTTTGCGAATATGGCCATGCCATGGGAAATGGACCCGGAGGTTTAGAGGATTATCAGGCTGCATTCAGAGTTTACGAAAGGCTCCAAGGCGGCTGGATTTGGGAATGGGCAAATCACGGATTGTGGAAGACAGAGCCAGGAAAAGAGGGCTTTTATGCCTACGGAGGCGATTTTGGTGATGTCCCGAATGATGATACCTTTGTCATGGATGGCTTGTGCTACAGCGATCATACGCCTACACCTGGTTTGACAGAACTCAAAAAGGTGATTGCTCCAATTCGTGCTTGGGTTGAGGAGGGTAAAATCGTGATCGCCAATGGTTATGATTTTATAGGACTTGATCATGTTGTCGCTTCGTACAAGATTGAGTCGTTCGGAAAAAGGTTTGTTAATTTCTATCACACTTCAATTAATCAAATTTGCTAACCTTTCAAAGCCGGAAGATTGTAAAATCTGGTGATTTGGCACTTCCAGATGTTCTCCCAGGAAAGTCTTCTTCAATAGAATTACCATCTACTCCTTCTAGGAATGGATCGGACGAGCTATGGATTACAGTCACCTTTCAACAAAAGTTTTCGACTGCTTGGGCTGATGCTGGTCATGAGCTTGCATGGATGCAAGAGCAGATCTCGAAGCCTAATGCAGATTCTATCTCTCAAGTATCGCCTAGAAACACTTCTCATCTCGACGTCGTCTCATCTAGGACGGAGTACAGAATTACAGGCTCAAACTTCCTATTTGCATTCGATGCAGCTCGGGGTAGTTTGTCTCAATGGAATTTCACCAGTCCAGTGACCTTGAAGTCAACCGAGATACTAATCTCATCAATTACACCGGGATTCTGGAGAGCTCCGACAAACAATGATATGCCTTCTGACTTTCCTTACTATAAACGGTATGGGTTGGATGCGTTGACGTCGCAGCTTCGATCTTTCGAGGTGAAGACCGATGAAGATCTAGTTACCCTCACTGCTGTAACATTCATTTCACCTCCAATATTGAACTGGGGCTTCGAGGCTACTACAACATATCAGGTCTCAGCAACTGGCTCTTTGAAAATCAAAGTCAACCTCAAACCTACTGGATCAATGCCATCAAACCTGCCTAGAGTTGGCTTGGATATTAAACTCCGCAATGATCTCGACAATGCAGAATGGTTCGGTATTGGACCAGGAGAAGCGTACGCGGATAAATGCTCCTCACAGAAGCTCGGTATTTATTCCGCTGATGTGAATGCGTTACATACTCCCTACGATGTACCGCAAGAGAATGGTAACCGTATGAAGACTAGATGGGTAAACATGACAGATTCCTCCGGAGTGGGAATTAGAGCAAGTTCGTCTGGAAACCCCACGTTTCAATGGGCGGCTACAAGATATTCCCCTACTACATTGCAAAAAGCGAGACATCCAAGGGATTTGGTGAAAGAAAAAGAAGTATTATGGAGGTTAGATGCTGAGTCTGCTGGTGTTGGGTCGGCGGCTTGTGGACCAGGAGTCAAAGAAGAGTTTCAAGTGAAGTGTGAAGAGAAGGAATTCGCATTTGTGTTCGAGAAGATGGGGATATAAGCATTTATGATACGGAAATTATATGCATATAAAGATTTGGATACCAGATAGACAATCACAAATGCTAGATCGTTCATTTACCATTTATATTGCTTCCACAGCTAGGTCTTAAGCACCTACACTACCTCTTTTTTTTCTTCTCAAATTCCCTGCTTGCTCTGTCAGCGTCAATTACACATACACATTCTTGAGAAATCAAAATTCTTTTATAAGCAGCCATTTCTAGACTATTATCTTTCATATCTCCAGGTGCTAGCTGTTTTATGAATTGCATTAATCTTGTCCTTGCGAATCCTATGCTTACGGTATCTATCCAATCAAGCCTGTCAATAAAGTGGACTCGAATACGGCATTCACAAGGTTAATTCGCTAGCTACTAATACCAAGGGCTTGAAGTATGCTGTTGATGAGTGAAGTGAGAGTGGGAGGCGCATCGCAAGTTGAATGTATAATGGAAGTTCAATGTTCAGGATTAAAATCGACGGGTATACCGCAATTTATTTGGAGGACCTAGCAGCTTCAAATTATGTATGTGCTAGTAAAAAGCGAATATCAACTACGTGGTTCCATGTGGTTTGGCTTGATCGGGTTTGATTGATTAATCTAGCAGAAAGAATCATAGGCTATCTCGAGGCTATCTATGGTAGACAAAGAGATCAAAATTTCGTGTCTCTTCGAAAATCAAAGGAATGGCGATTTATTAGGCCATAAATTTCCTTTGTTCGTGGTTTCGGTGATCAACATCCTTCCATGTATCATTATGAAGTTTCATTATGTGGATATACTAGCTATATCCTTCGAGGTGAACTTGCTACATCATTCCAAAATATAGTGCCAGTTTCTCATTCTCAAGTTTGTACAGTAACTCGGTCAATGAACTTCACTATGCAGACAAATACTTTCTTTCTGAAGACCATTCCATGGCTTCTCACACTACTTAACTCTATCCAACTCATTACTGCTGACCTCTCATCGAGGGACTCAAACCACCACACTTCTCCAAGTCGCTATGTTTTTGCACATTTCATGGTATGCCCTCTTCTCTAGCGAAATAATGAAAACTAATCAGCGAGTCTAGGTCGGCATTGTAAGCAACCGAGCCAGCGCCACCGATTATGACAGAGATATGCAACTCGCCCGTCGTGCCGGAATCGACGCATTTGCACTGAATATCGGCGCCGACGCATTTACAGATACACAGCTCGATTATGCCTATGCTTCCGCAGCTACAAACCACATGAAAGTCTTTTTGTCCTTCGATTTCAATTCTTGGGACCCGGCAGAATCATCAGCAGTAGGGGCAAAAATAGCAAAATATGCTAATCAGACTGCTCAATTGTCTGTGGATGACAAAGTCTTTGTTTCGACATTCATAGGCGATGCTCTCAATGTCGCAGATGTGCGTGCGAAAGCTGGAGTTCCTATCTTTTTCGCACCGAACTTTAGCCCTGAGTCATCTAATTTTAAGGAGCTGGATGCCGCGTTTAATTGGATGGGTTGGCCTAATAATGGTGCGAACAAAGCGCCATCATCTTCTTCGAATCTCACTGTTCGTGATGGTGATGTGGCTTACATGAATGCGTTGGCGGGGAAAGATTACATTGCGCCTGTTAGTCCGTGGTTCTTTACGCATTATGGACCCGAGGTGTCGTATAGTAAGAATTGGGTGTTTCCGGCAGAGGGACAGTGGGTCCAAAGGTGGCAGGATTTGTTGGGGCTGGGAGCGAGATTTGTAGAAATTGTCAGTTGGAATGATTACGGTGAGTTGCCTTGCGCAGATCTGGAGATTCAAGAGACTGATTCAGAGTAGGCGAAAGTCATTATGTGGGACCGCTGTCTGCACAACATACTGATGATGGAAATTCGAAATGGACGAATGACATTTGAGATATCTTTTACAAGTACTAATGAGTCTTTGTTGAAGTGCATAGCTAATAACTTCAGGCCTCATGGAGCATGGCTAACCCTTGCCACCCCATTCATCCGTGCTTTCCACGCCGGCGCCACCTCCCCTTCCAAGTATATCAAACACGATCTCATAGTCTACTGGTATCGTCCCAACCCTCTCTCTCTCAAATGTGACGCCACAGATACAACTATGCTCGCTGCATCCAACTCATCCGGCGATTATTTCAACGGCAAACCCAACGGCTGGGAAACCGAAACCGACAGTATCTTCGTAACCGCCTTTCTCAAATCTCCCGGCAACGTCACCGTGGTATCCGGAAGCGGCGCCTTCCAATTCAACGCAGCACAAGGTGTGAATATCTTTACCGTTCCCATGAGAGTCGGAAGCCAAATCTTCGGACTCTGGAGAAAAGGAAAAATAGTGCTCCAAGAAACGAGTCCCAGAAATGTAACAGAGATATGTGCGTGTGGAAACTATAATTTCAATGCGTATTTAGGACGTGTTCCTGCGTCGAGAGGAAATGATCAGTTGCCGTCTGCGGGAACGGCGTTGTTGACGAAGGGGATTAGAGTCCCTGCTGATCAGTGTGTGGCTGTTACTGGAAAGGTGGAGGAAATTGCGGAGGATGTGGATGGGAGTGTGAGTCTTTCGGAAAGTACGAGTGAGAGCTCTACTAGTAGTGAGAGTGAGAGTGAGAGTTCTAGTAGCACGAATCAAAAAAGATCGTGGAGATTGCCGAATCGGTGGGAGTGGATTAGGGGGTGGAGGGATTTCGTGGATTTGGGTTGATGATGGATATGAAGATTTGATAGATCATTATTGAATTACAGTCCGGAGTATTGGACACTCTGATTGAATATTATTATGTACAATCAAACCTGATGAGTCCCTTTCTCACCCTCAACATACTGATGTTCACTGCCCACGCTATGCTTACTTATACTCTCTCCCTTCTCCATAACACATTGGCCCTCCTCGTCGCTACTTAAAGCTCCAACTTTCCATTCTCTAACCTCATGTCCTTTCCACACCAGTATCACCACAAATACAAAACTCGCTACTTGTAAGAATGCCATCATTCCATATGTCCATCTAAACCCCAACTCCTGAACCCAAGGCGTGATATATAACGTCACCGACAATCCGAATCCAACTCTATAATTGTTCATCACAATAGCTGTCTCAGCAGGAGCTTTCGTGAAGAGTTCACACGCATAGTTCACAGTAATCGGGGTGATGGATAAAGATCCGAATGTCACCATTATCTGTGCCCAGATGAGGACTCCCCAGCTCCAATGATTTTGAAGCGTTGCGCCAAAGAGACCGAGACCGATTGGATTGAAAATCAAGGCGGGGAGAATGAGAGCGTATAGACGATATTCGGGCTTCCAGATACCGCGATTTCGAGAACAAATCCAGAGAGGGAGACGATCACTTACAAAGTGGCCGTAGATCAAGGCTATTATGATTCCTGCCCAGTGACCGAGAGAAACTGGCGATTGTTAGATAACTTTTCATGAGAAAAATCCAACAACTGGAAAGGTACATACATAGAGCGTTTTCCTTGGAGGTGAACCCGTAACCTCCTTCTTTCACACCCTTCTGTAACCAAACCGGAGTAATTGCATTCATCGCAACATAGAAACCAAAACTAATCAGAGTAAACATTGCCAGTAAAATCATCGACGGATTAGCCATGATTAAAAATGGATTGGCTGCGACCCTCAGGACCTGTTTTAAACTGGCTTGCTTTGTGACTTTTGTCCCCGGGAAAAATGTCGCAAATTTACTCGCAATAAATCCATCGGGCGTCGCAATCGCTGAATTATCTGCCCCGTCCGTTCGATCCCAGGAAGTCTCATACACGAACAAAAAGACCATTATCGCTGCCAAAGCTGCCAGCGCCGCTGTCCACCAAAACGCATAAGTCCATGATCCCTTCCCAGCTGTTGATATAAATGCCGACAGCGTTGGACCAGCCACCGTGCCGAAATCGAAAGCCCAATAAAAGTAAGTAAAGACACGGCCTCTCTGGTGCAAGAAGAAGAGATCAAAAAGTATACGAGGACCAAGTATACCAGCTATGGTTCCAAAGAATCCAGCCATTACTCTGGAAGCAAGGAATGGGGCGTATTGCGTGGAGTGTGTCATGCATGCTGCCCATACTTGGGTGACAAATACTCCAACGGTAGACCAGAAAATTACCGATGAACGACCAAATTTGTGAGATAGTGGAAAGAGGATTAAAGATCCTGCTATCATGCCAGCATTGGAACAGGATGTCTATATTCAGTTTGTGTCAATTGAATTTCAATCATCTAGAAATCTCCTGGTGCTTGTTCGAAAATCTTCACGTACCTGATAAGCCATCTTTGTGGTCTCAACCCCATACAATTTTGCTTGTGGTGCCGGTATCAACTGACCAGCAAGGCCACTCGCGCAACCGGCGAAAGTCGCGAGACATAAGGCAGCGACGATAGGTACTTTCTTCCTCATTGGCCAATTCTAGTGAACATACGTTAGTATCATAATTTTAGCTAGTATGAGGGTGTGTTTACCAATGGATCTCGTGGATCATCGCTGGGATGAGGAATGAGTGCGATTGTTCCTTCATCGCGCATATTGCCGACTTGCTGTGCGTAGAGCCCGGAATTGAATATCTCTGTATCAAGTATACTGATCGACAATATCTCGAAAAATCTTGCCTGACAATGGAAAATGTCACAACGTCTCAGAAGTCTTCAACACGCCAAATATAAAACGCAGACCGAGAAAGCTAAAAACAAGCTCTTGCCACCAATTATATATTTTCTGCCCCTTAGACCTTTTAACAAATAATCTTAAAGCCATTGCGCGTATCACCTTATCGTCGTCGCCGTTCATCATTTCCATATCCAATGATAGTGTGGACAGCACGCGTCACCACGAGCGATCCAATTAAAATATATCGAAACGTTCAATGGCAACTGGTTCCACAGATGCAAGTGGATCTTCCAGTGGACACTTCAATCTCTGTACCTTGTCATTTATTATCCTGGGGTTGAAACATTGTCGCATCTAGAATGACTTCATGGAAGCAATAGAAAAGATGAGACTGCAAAGAAATCGGACGGTTTAACTGCATTTAGAAATAGGGAAAGACCTTTCGATTCCGGTAGAAAAAGGGGGGAGCAAACATGATAGATATATGTTCTGCATACCTAGTATGAAAGGTAGAAGCACGGAACCTCTCATCCGAGATTCGGTAAAGTAAACTGTTTGTCTGCACAACATCACGTGATGAAACATAAATCTTATGCTCGACGATGAAATTTTCACTTGTCGAAAGGCCACATGTCGCAGATTGCAAAGTGAATATCTCTCTTTTGGTTCGTATTCCACCGTATTGCTGTTAATAAGACGGGTTTAAAAGGGATCTCATTTCTCATAATGCCATATCACTAATCTCTTAATCCGAAATCTATTGTAATTCTTCTATCTTCCTGGGATCTCCAGAGATTCATCTACATTCTCAAGGAACAACAACGGCATCATCTCAACACCAAACAAGCATTGTCAAGATGCTACCATCAACGCCCTACCCTTCTCCAGGCCCAGGATACTGGGGCCCTGTAACCTCAACCATCAATTGGTGCGAAGAAGCACGTGACTATTCATTCTTTCGCATTTTCCCTGATCTCTACTAACATTCCATTTAGGACTACTATGCTACAATCTATTCGGCCGAGATCGTGAATACGATTACCAATTTGATGTTTGTGATCTTGGCTTGGAAGGGAATCTCTAGCTGTATTAAATATGGACATGACCGAGTCTTCCTTATTGCCTTTTTGAGTTATCTGGTTATTGGAGTCGGAAGCATGTTATTCCATTCTACGTTGATTTGTTCGTCAATATTTCTTCTTTTTCTTCCTAATTGAATGGAAGAAGTTAACAACCTCTAGACCCCATGCAACTCGTGGACGAACTGGCCATGATTTATCTAGAGTGCATCCTAGCCTACTCCGTTTTTGCGCACCAAAAATCCCCTCTGTCGCGTTTCATGCTCGCTTTTTCGATTTCTGCGCTTGCGATATTTATCACTTTATACTATCATTACCTCCAAGATCCAGTCTTTCATCAAAACATGTTTGCACTCCTCACCGCCATTGTGGTATTCCGAAGTATGTGGATAATGGAGCATATACTCAATCCAAGGCGTCGCGTTAAAGACGAAAAGGTCAATACAGTAGAGCAAAAAAGAAGAGACGAGAGAGATAGCAAGATCTTGAGCCAGATGTGGAAGTTGAATTTTATAGGATTAACTTACGTAGCTCTCGCATTTTTCATATGGAATTTGGACAACATTTATTGTGGGACAATCAGAAGATGGAGGAGGGAAATAGGTTTACCGTGGGGTATTTTTCTGGAAGGTCATGGATGGTGGTGAGTTCTTAATTTTTTTATTTTCAATTGCCGGGAAGAGAATGCTAATGTAGGTAAACAGGCATATTTTGACAGGAATAGCTGCGTACAATAATATCACCTGGTCAATTTGGCTGCGATATTGTCGCAATGGTAAGCAAGATCTGGTGGATTTGGAATGGCCATCTATGTTCACTTCAATGCCTGTTGTGGTGGGAATCAAGTCGCAAGGAAAGAAGCTTTAAGTGGAGGAGCATGTTTGGAATGTCAGGAAATTACTCGTCTCACATATTGAGTTCGACTAGAATCTTGCCTATCCTCGACATACCATTAATTGTATCGACAGGCCATACTGTCAATTCAACAAGGCGCCACCAAGTCGTGCCTTTTGTTGGCAGTACGTTTTGTAGTACCGTCGCTATTCAAGTACAAGCACAACTCTCGTCTGCTATTTGTCCTCATCCCTTTCTTTCTCCCTTCAGGATATCAACCATATAGGTGGCGTATATCGGAGTCCTCGATAATCTTGTTGTCCTTTTCATATTTCCTCTTCATCAGCTGTTCCATCGAGAAGCTTCCCGAACTTCAGTGTCATGTACCATCGCTTTTCTTGCCACGTTCCAAATGCTGTTGGCCTACAAAGGAAGTCCTGAAACTTCCAGACGCTGGTAGAGTTACCAATGAATTTCTGTCGAGCGTACATGCACATGCGAATGATGAAAAAAAAAATGGAACAGAGCAAAGTATTGCCATTGCCTCAAAGGGCACCACTCTATGATAACCTCTCTCTTCATCGTAAGGATCAAATTCGTTCAAAGAATTCCGAAAACCCATGAGGCTTTGCAGTAGGACGGTTGCCGGAGGGCTGAAGAATAGAGAGGTTATCTTTTCGGGCACATCAGCAGTAGTATCGTGACAAAACGCCTTCAATTCATCGTATCGTGCACTGACCATTTCAATGAAGCGGGGATTGTGGAAAAAGAATGCTGATGGTAAAACATCGATATGATCTACCGAGTCAGACATGAACTTTCGTTGAAAGCTAGTGGAGAATTGAGATGGAGCACCGACTTTGAGAGCAGCATAACACTGTAAGGGGTTTTCTGCAAGTAAAACATGCTCAAATGAAGACCGAAGGACATTGGCGAGAAGGTATGATTGACCCAGTAACACATGATTCCATTGATTATCGTCGCATAGGAACAACCCAAGAGCGAGCTCGTCTAGAAAGCTTGCAAAGATAGGATGGCGAGCCAAAGTAACTCGTCTTAAATTTTCACCCTTCGCAACGCTGATAGTGCCAATTATCAAACATTTGAGAGGCTCCTCACTATAGAGAGAGTCATTAAAGCTACTCCGAAGATGAACTATAGTATCTTTACTAGTTCCGGTATGACCAGGAATATCTAGGATGTCATACTTGCCCTTCTCGATGAGCATGGAACCCACTAATATCATGATTGATCCTTTGACCGTGCCAGAATCGCGCAAATGGGCGGCTAACTTGCACTTCTGATACGTGTCTATCGTCAACTTCTTCGAGCTAGGCATATCAATATAGGCCACATCATAATGCTCGTCGAATTCGTATTCTCCGGTGCCGGAATACCTGAACCCTCCAAGTTCCATCTGAGGGTCGTTGTCTGTATCACGATGTCTAAGCAATGTCACGTGGATCCCTTTCTCCCGCAAAGATGTACCGATCTCTTTCGACGCATTGTGAGCAATTACGAGTGCTGTTGAAACCGCACTTCCTCCTCTGCCCCCATGTTAGAGTGCTTGGACAATTGAATCATCTTTTCCAAAACAAGATCTTACATCGCAACGTGAATTAGCCGTAGCACAGGCGTCAAAAAGTGGGGAATCAGAGGATACCGAATAGTATGCTTCCTTATCAAGGGGAATAGTAGAAAGAGATCTCGGTCCAACCCTATCATTGGAGAGGTCGGAGTCTCCATCAATGGGCTTCGTTCTAGGAGATGACTTGGGGGAGGGTAATTCAATCTTCAAGGAAGATGCCGCCATATCAATAAAGTCATGTGACGGCTGAGTTGTGGAAGGTCCTGGGTGCAAAAACAAAGGGAAGTTCTCGTCCTCCACTTTGAAAGCGGTACTCATATCGAAGAATGGACCATCGCCGAACTTGATTGCAATATGAACGGGTATGTTTGCACCCTGCATCCTACGGCTTTCGCCAAGCATGAATCTTCGAAGCGCCACTCAAAGTGAATTGGCAATGAATGTGACATGTCCATCGACCGCTATTGAGTTCGTGTATGAACCAAGCATTGTCAACGCGAAAGCTGCTCTTAATTCCGCATGTTCAGATCTGGAATAGATGATCTCTTTGGGGCGAGTGACGGTAAAGTTGTAAGCGTATCCATCGTTCAGGGAATTTATGACGATCGTCCACATTTGTGCATTCTTAGGTAGGCTAGGAAGACCATGATATGAATCGACCCAGGCAAGAACCACGGTAGATTTCATTTTGCTTCGTGTAGTGGCAATCAATGAAAATATCTAGTAGACTTAATTGACATCCGAAATAGGAAACTGGCGTTAATATACAATTATTGTTCTTCTAGAAGAGAGCAGAAGTCTGCAACGTGAAAGTTTACTTTCTTTGTGATACTGCTGCCTTTGCTAGGTAAATAATTCCTAGGTCTCACTGCTTGAAACTATGCGCGGTTCATTGTCGCGTTCAACACATGAGCCAACTCACTCCATGTCGTGAATTTCCATTTCTACGAGATTTGCATGTACTGAAACCAAAATCCTTCGCTCACAGACAAAGCAGGCTCCAAGTGAAATTCCGCCTGCTTTCTTGAAAAAAAAAGAAAATCTTGGCGTGGATGTGAGGTTAGATTCTTCCTATTTCTCACAAGAAATTTCGAAAGACTTCTGTTTCATGAATCCTTGGAGCAATATGAATGTTTCTGTTCAATTGATAAGCAAACACCGTGAGGGTACTGGCGTCAAAATTTACACGACAAATGGTCATTTTCATTTCATCTTCATTTCCGAACACGACTACTTCTAGATTTCTGAATACCACTGTTATTTTGATTGTCATCTCTAATTATCTTTGACCTTCACTTACATATAGTGAATTATTGAGTCAAAGAGGAATTATGTACATGGCATTGTGTTATGTTCAACTAAGGCCTTGATGTGTGGTTTTTATCTTCTCTATCTTCCGATGGTAGTTACATCGATAGAATTCAATTTTCAGGCAATTAATTTGCTCTTAGCTTAGAACCCACAAATTTGGCCTCCGAGTGACTATGTTAACTTAAATTTCGAATGCTTTGGGCTCGAAATCGTAGATAAGAGTATTCTAGCCGTGAATAATATTTGAATATTGGTATTTTTATCCTCATAAAAACGGCGACCATACAGGAGTACATTTGATCCTGCTTTCTACTTCATACTCGTTCTTCTTTGGTATGTCATCTAGTATTTTCTTGAAAATATTTCGAGTCCTAATTTCCGGCTTTACTACCCTTCGAATCACTCATGATGACAGAGCAAAAACTTCGAATTGTGTGACTTCAATTTGGAAATCTAACTTTACTTGCCTCGATGAATCAAGCGCGGACATATGATTATACTGTAATATTTCAATAAATAGGTCTACTATATAAAATGTTTTCAAAATGACGAGAAAAGAACGTAGAATGTACAATTAACGGTTGTATATTTATATTATTATCTCACTTATCTGATGATGGTAGTTCATTGTGTGTCAACAAAATCTATATCAAAGAAACCCTCGTCGTACATTGCTGGCATTATGAAAGTGCGCATTTGTAAGTCTTCGACCTCGCTAGAAACTTCCAAAACATATTTATTGTAACTAGTAGTCGATAGCGATCTTAAATATTAGATTTCTTTCCAAAAAATTAAGCAATCAGACTAGATGGTATAATATCATTTAATCAAGAAACTATTTTCGCGTTGAAGACGAGGTTAAAGTATACTAAACTAAACATACGCGAATCGCAATTATCTAAGCGACTCAAGATTGGTATTTCCACTACTACTTTGTTAATCATATGGAGTCTATCTCGATATCAATCATAAATCCTCTAGTATTCTATGGTATATAGCCAAATAGACTCTATATTTCTTTAATTAAGTACTTTTCAGTCTAATTAGCTCGAGATTTAGACTCGGAAATTCCAAAGCAATCGAGGTATATAGAATAACTAATAAATTTCATAAATGATTTATATCACTTGTTGTTTGTTTTGATATTAAATAATTGAACTTTTCTTTTACAAGAAAATAAACTTATTACTCCCGATCAATTTGAAAGTTTATTCTAAATTGACGGACTACAATATTATCTCTTAAAGATTTGATAATAGTTTTATAATCAACAAGTCGATAGGGAATAATAAAAAAATTGGTTTTATATCAATTAGATTGTATAATAGTATACTCAAAGTATTGATTATCATTTAAAGACTTAAGAAGAATTATTGGAAGCATTAGATGATAATTCTCTAGTGTAATCCTATATAACAAGCATTAGGCGAATTATATCTTATATCGTGAAAGGATCGTATTGTTATCTATAAGCGTTAATCTTAATTATAGACATTAGACTCATTCAAATTGAGTAGATTAGACGTTAGTAACGAGAACTTGGGTTTAACTGTGAATATTCAAAAGACTCTCGTCCCATATTTCCGATCGATGAAAGATGTCAAAATGATCGATGAAAGCTCAGTTGAAGGCCTGTAAATATAGGTCTTATACTCCAAGACATAGCACGTAGCGCTTAGACTACAGGCTTCAGGCCCTATATTTGCAGGCTGGTACACTATAAATGTGGGCCATCTCGCTAAAATTCCCCGCGAAATTATCTTCATTCTGATGAAATATGCAGGTCATTCCGTCGTAAAATGACAAACTTAGAAATAAGTGACTTCAACGGAGCCCAAGTTCAGCCTGAAAATTCATCATTTTAACTGTATTCGGTGTGTAATTGGAGTCATTTTGAGACTGATTTCTCCAAGTTCGATACTTTTACATTCATTTAACGAATACTTTAGGGTTAAATTGTGGTTGATTGCTTCAAGTCACCTAATTTTGCCCTGAATTCGACCTATTTCTATCTAATTGCTGTTAGGTAATGTCTTCGTTCCAGAGAAATGAGCATTTCACAGTAAGACTTGGTTAGATAATTGTAGATAAACTCAAGTCCATTTCCTACACATCATTACCATAATCTGGTTCCGTAGATTATTTTCAAATAATAGCTTATCGTCCATTTCAATGCATTAGAGTACTAGTTGTAATGGCCAAAAGGTGTATATTAGTGTTAGACAATCTATTATCTAATCTGTCTATCTCTCTTCGAATGAAGGTATCTCTAAAGAATCCAAATGTACCAAAATTTCTACCCAAATTATCCCAATTTGCTTGGAATGTGTTTAGAACTTTAAAGCATTTCTTCTGACCTCCCACAAACTAACCCAAATGTCATCAGCAAGAGGCGCAACCGTGTTGGGATTAGCCTTCAGATGGCTTCCACCCTTAACCTCGACCAAGAACGACTCCATAGCCTTCTCGGATAAGCCGTAATGACGTAGCTTCGCATCAGCTCCAGCTACTTTGACGATATCAAAGATATTGACAAGCATATCATGATGGAAGTCCTTGCCCTTATCTTCAGACTGAGGATGTAGTCGACGAAGTGTAGTATACGCAAGATATTTTCGAATCGGAGAGTCCTTTGGTGTCTTATCGTAGACGGCACGGGAGATCTCTGCTGGAACTCCTTGTAGCGGAGTGAAGAAGCGAAGAAGCTCAATAGCCTGGATAGCGGCATTTTGTAGCTCCGGCATCAAGACCTTGTCGGCAAGGAACCAGAGATCGATAAACTTGGTGGTATGTTCGAAAGCAGTTTTTTGTGACTTGCTGATATATTTGTCAAGGTCGCTACCCTGAAGTGTGCTTAGGCCAATTCCGACGGGAAGATTCTTGCGGTCATCTAGCTCAAAGGTGGCAAGAGTGTTGAGCTGCTTCTTGTATACCCAGTCGATAAGCATAGCAAATATCTCTCGATTAGACTCAGCGAAGTGGAGAGTTTGTGTGGCAGATTCGGCAAAACTAGAGTTGAAGACAGCGTCGAAGTATGGGGAGAGGTGTGTGAAGAAAGATTTGTGAAGGTTGAAAGGAGGACCGTCTATTGAACCGTCATCTCCCTTGACATAGATAGTTACCATGTCCATCGGTGCGTCTCTGTTTACATTAGTTAGGATCGATTTTATAAATGGGATGGGTAGATATAGTGGAGAGAAAAGTGATGCTTACTCCCAAGTAGGACCTTGACCACGGTTAGTCGCATCAAGATCTAGACGGCTTAATCCTCGCATAGCTTCATTGGTATCGGTGGGGTTAGCAGAAACTGTACCAATAGCAGGAGAGGCGGTTGTACGGCTAGCTACCCCGATCAAGCTGAAAGAGGTAGCCCTATGCTCATATAGGGTTCCCCTGTAAGCAGGAGGTGAGTGTGATGTGGACAAGTTGCCAGCGAGGTAATCTCGAATAACGAGGTTATACGAGCGATAAGGCCCAATTACAGCGCTTCGGTCGAAGTTAGCACCATGCTGACCACGACTTGGACTAGTAGAGAAGGCGCCAACGGGGACAGCAGCAGCGTGCTGCCCCCATTGCCAGTTATTGACGTTGCTGTTCATATTTGAAAAAGTTTTTGTATAGAGGTGTGAATGTGAGGAAGTTGTTGTACGACGGGGAGTTTCAATTGTCGAGAGGTTGTAAGGGCCTGGCACGTCTTTCTAAAACCAGGTTAGTTAAGTTGACTGGAACTAATTGATAAATAAGAAGTACTTACAGAATAATTGAAGTATCTTATGGGTCTGTGGGTTTGCAAGAGGTGATTTAGCGCTTGCGTCGTAGCAAATTGAGAAGAAAGTTCTTCAAACCGATCTAGAGGAGGAAGATATGAGTTAGCGACGCCAGCGAGGTGCAAGGTTAACAAGGAGTAGACCTGGAAGAGACATACTAATAGACCGCAGACAAGGCACAATTGAGTGTTGGCGTGCTGCTTGACCGTTTAATCGACGTGGTTGCCAGAGAAGCGTGTGGTTTCAGTCTAAAAGAGGACAAGTTAAAGACGCCGATGAGATGATGAAAGGGACGTCAAAGATGATTCCTGTGCTTACCAAACAAACAAGAGCCGAATACTATGCACTCGGATCAAAATATGTTGCGATGCAGAAAAGAAGGTTAAAATGGTTTGGAAGTTTGAAGTTGATGCGTTGCAAATCGCGTCTCAGCAAGAAATAAGATCTAAGAACACAAAAACGACCTCACTTTCCAGCTACTAAGAGCGATTGATATTTCAAATCTCAAGAAATGGCCTTATAGATTGATGTTTTGGTGTTAAAGAAGGTGTTGATCAATTTATTTCACAAAGTGGTGATATAAAAGAGTTGTATAAAGGTTGGAGGAAAGGGAAATCTTTCAAAGGTTGAAAATTTAAATAGCTTGAAGAAATGGCATATATAGAAGGCTGTGCACCTGGTGAATTCTTGAACAAAGTTTAATGAGCAGCGGAGATTTTAAAACATTTGATCCGAGTTGCATTGACTCCTATACGTCTCTCATCTGATCTCTCATCCTGTAGCATGTCTCGAGGCTGATAAAGTTGTTGTCGGGATATCGATCATGTGATCAAAGAGGGCACTGTATTAACTAGCGTCGCGCTAGCGCTACCCTATATTAAGTACTAGCTTCCCATAGATAATAATGATCAAGAACGAATACAACCATAATAGACTAAAGTACTTTACACTTATCAACCAAGTTGATACCAACAGTTGTTCTTTGGTAGATGGTTGTTCATTTTTGCAACAAAAACATGACAGTAAGTCAAGTTCAATCGAAGATTCACAATGCTTCCCTTTGCTGACTACTAGAATGCTTCAAGTAGGAAACAAGCGAAGTTCCTCCTTTATAGCCCCCTTTTCAGCGGATCTCCAAAGCTTTCCCCGTGGTACTACTGTTCGCTCTCCACTACCAGCTGTGGCATTCCCGGATCTTTATCAATTGACATCATCACTACTTGATTGCTCATTTCGATAGCAGCGACTGAAGAGCTGAGAGGCCATCTGCGAGGATTGCCATCATCATTCATGAATTGATAAACCAGAGTAGTCATTCCGTGGAGCTGGTTAAAACCAGTCGCTGCAGCAGGTTCCTGCGATATTCCAGAGCATCACTCGCGAGACTTCGAAGTCCAATAATCTGGATATAAGCTGCAAATATCCAAAGATCTATTAGACACTCCACGGTCATCCCCAAGCTCTTTAGAAGTCTACTATACTTAGATCAACAGAATCAGGTTCCCTCGACCAAACGATCATGCTCAGTCCCGTATGTATGATAAAGCTTGTATATATATAAAATCCATTCTACGAATTTGCCGAAATATAACTTCGCGGTATGGTGGAGCTCGAATGAACGGGATAAAAATGGTCTTTCAGGCGTCTCATTTTCATCACTTTTATCCAAGCCATCGATTTTCACAAACTCTTGGTGTGGATGTCTATATTTGTGTTAGCACTCCTGCTTCAGTTCTTTGAAATTTTATCATTCCGTCTTACCGCGCAGTGAGAGCAGTTCAACCGTCCTTCAATCCAGTGTAAAATCGAGTAACACTATTTGAGAAAATAAATGGTCGTCCTCACTCTTTTTGAGAAGACCTGACAGTCTTTTTCAATTCCCAGCCAGTCCTCGCAACCTTTTGGCCTTTGCCTTTGAGTACAGTCGAGCACAACCGATTTAAATCCGGAACTACCATAAGGAGAAGAACAAAGACTCCGTACCATAATGCTGGTTTTTTTGAGTAAGAAGCGGCCGCCCCTAATTTTGCTATCAATGGTGGTACACAATGGTGAGTCAAGCCCCCTCCAAAGCTACGTGATAGATATTGCCCGGTGCATTCGATGTCTTATATCAAGAGTATATACTCCGACCAAGAAGATTGCACTCTTGACACGATGTTGAGTAGTCATCAATCATAATGACTGGAATCAAAATCTTGGGATGTTTCTATGACCATGTTCAGATATACTTCTCGACTCATCGTACAAACGAGTAACAATCTTAGTCATTTATCGTTCGGCAGAATGCAAACACATCTTGCCTATGACAATCAAATCGTTCATAAAGTTGAGAAAATGAACTCTTTACATATAGCAATCCGTCGCCTATCACAGCAAGCTTTTTTATGTCCCCTATGGTAAGTATAAATCAGATCGGAAATTATAGATCTTTCGGTCAAAAATTTAAATAATTTTTGGTCACTTTCACATGAACTCACTTTACCCGAGAATTGAGGAGAATAAATATCGATGTAGAATCAATATTGTGATTTGTTTGGCTGCATTATCTTGCTCAAGATATCTATATATTCTATGCCATTCCGTATAAATGGAGCGGACCAACTTTACTATTAAAAGGGAAACCTTCTTACCATAGAGGCCTGGCATTAATGCTTCTCTCCCTCCACTTTTGTTCCCTTGAGCAGTCGTTTCTTTGATTTCTTTGTACAGAACTTTTTGGCTTGGCTTTGGCTGTATTGGATCTAGCCGCTTTGTATCTTCTGGGATTAGCTTTCTTCGAGTTGGTTGTAGCCTCTATGCTGTCTGGGGTTAGGTTTGCGTGGATTTAATTTTTGCAAAGATTCATCAATCTTTTTTGTAGCTGCTTTGATTGTTTCTTTCCCGGATCTAGCGGGATTTGATGGAGCTCCATTAGATTTAGCTGCTTTAGGTTTATCTGATCTAAGTTTGAGTAAAGGGGTTTTATCTGGCGTGGATTCATATGCTTCTGATGGTGCTGCCTTGGATCTATCCGATCTATCCGATCTATCCGATCTACGCGTAACTAATTTGGGTCTGACTGGTGTGGATATAGCTGAATCAAATATCTTTGATGTGGATTTCTGTGGGTTTGGCGCGGTCGCTTTGGATATTTCTGATCTGGTTGTAGTCAAGTTGGATGTAGCTACCTTGGATCCATTTGTTGTGGGTTTCTTTGAATCTGGCGAGATTGCTCTGTGTCTATCTGATCTGGATGTAGTTGTTTTGGGTGTAGCTGAATTGGATCTATCTCGTGTGGGTTTGCTTGAGTTTGATATAGCCGAGCTGGGTGTGGTTGAATTGGATCTACCTCTTGTGAGTTCCTTTCTGCCTGGTGTAGGTTCCTTGGATATTTCTGTCTTGGTTGTAATTGGTTTGGATGTAGTTGTTTTAGGTATATATGCTAATTCCCTTCGTCCAGATCTTTCGGAATTATCTTTACCTACAAGCCATATATCTGCCGTGAATATTCCTGACTCGAATGATCCAGATTCAAAAGCCCTGGGCTGGAGTCTAGAGGCCTTGTTTGGCTTTGCGCCGGTTACATAAATGGCACCTCTTCCGATCTCAAAAGGATTTCTGGAAGCCTCTTCATACTCAGACTTAAATAACTGCTTCGAATGGTCTCTGATTATCTTTGTAGTACATTCCAATAAGATTTCGTGTCTCGATCTCCCTGTCTTAAGCATAGTCGCATGCCAGTCTGAACCGCGAGAATCATGATGCCTGAATTCTTCGACAGTGTGTCTTCCAAAATCAAAACGATCAGGAAGTGTAGCTCCTTTTGAGATGTGCCAGAATCCACCCTGCTGGCCAAAGGTTTCGGCAAAGGGGTTGACATATAGGGCGACATTGAACTCGACCTCTCTTTCCTCACCGTCAACCTTAACACCAAGCTGGAGATAACTTCCGATAGCTCCTACATATATTGAATGAAAATTTATCTCTTCATTGAAATTCCTAATAGCCTCTTCCTTTTGAATCAAAATATTTTTGACTTGGGAACAACAATTTGTTAAACAATTCTCAAGTCCATATGTCTGGCTACTGACTTTTGGTGGACCCTCATGCTTGAAAACAAGTGCGGTAGCGAAGTAACCGACCTTCGTCATAGCAGATATAAAAGGTTCCCAGATTGCGTTGAATTCGTGTTTGTCGTCAGTCTCAATCAGTATTAAACATACTTTGGAGGTTTCATCACGCTTAAAGCGCTTTGCCCATTTAGTTCGAGAAATCCATGTTCCTAAGATGTCATTCAATATGTGATTTGGTCCCACACAACAACCAATTACAGGTGGCGGAACTTCGTTTTCGCGATGTGACATTCTTAGTAATTAGTAATTGAGGAAAATAAAGATTTCGAATTTGGTGTGACGAGGTGATTGCAAGCTTCCGTGACGCAAATATGGTCGATGATGGAATGATGAGTGGATGAGATGAAAAGAAATGTCGCCATATTCAGATATTCCCATTACTCTTGTAATGTGAGGAATGTCTTCTACCTAATTTGTAGCTCGTGAAAAACACACTCTAGGTATACTCGAGGTCTCCAAAGATCAGAGTCAGGTCTTCAAAATGCCCTCAGCCCGAATGAGTACTAGTCACCCCAGATTAGCGAAAGTCGGTTGGGTGAAAGATTGTAAACAAGGTTAATCTAGCGCCATCATTTTGATCCTTCCAATATCAAGCGATTTTCTATGGTCATATTGTTGGAAACCCTTTCAGGCTCCCAGAATATGAAATAGAATGGTTATGAAATGAAATCCAGAACACTCTTTCGGGGTATTTGACTACCGTTAACTAATTTCCAGGCATATAACCAGTTATCAGAAAATTACCTGGGCTCTCAAAGAACAAATCTACGAAATCGCAAGATACCGTTGGATTAATAATGAGAATCGCGAGAGTCGCAAAAATTGTGAAGTCACAAAGTGTATTCGTCTCGATTCTCACAGATCGCAGAGCTCAACGTTCCTTCCCTTTCTAGCAATCGTAATTGTCAAACAGCGGGGAGATGACGATGAGCTCTCTTTTCATTTCCACAGATTCATCTCTTTTCTCCTGATTTCCTTCCGAAATAATTGGAGCCATCTTCATCGTCATTCAGACCTTGCGATCTTGGTGTCGATTGCTTGCAACATCATGATCTGGTTCTGACTATCGTCACATAGCCATGTCGTACGATTTTTCAATGTAAATCAACACATTTCATATTGCGAGGAAACTGCTATGGAGTATATCTGATAAGTTCTTTGTAAAGTGCTTTCCAAGTTCATGAATAGCGAGAATATTAATATGAACACATCTACTTACGACATTTGCATATCTATGATTGCATTTTCAGCTCTCAGATTATTTAAGAATATATAATTATTCCTTACCTATGAATCCTCCAAACCCTCTTCTTCTCCTTTCCATAGATTGCAAATTCGCTGTATACCTAAGCATCACCATCCTCCTCATCCGCTATTGTTACTTCATCTACACAACATATCAATTCGCTGCCGAACCTGCACCTCTCCCATTGAAACATCCATAAAATGAAAGCAGTCGAAAACATCACCAGCCACGAATATGCCAACATCGTCACCATAGAACGAACATGTTCTGGAATTTCCCTGCTCGGTTGTTTCTTCATTATCATAACCTTTCTTACCACCACCGCATTTCGTAAACCTATTAATCGATTAGTTTTCTATGCGTCTCTGGGTAATATTTTCACGAATCTCGCTACGCTTATTTCTCGCTCGGCACTTGCGGCTCCAGATGGTCGGTTTTGTCAATTCCAGGCTTTTCTCATTCAGATGTACTGTTTTTCATTCTTCACAATGCAATTCCCAGAATTCATTTCTAACGAATAAAAGGTTCCTCCCGGCCGATGCATATTGGACATTGGCCATGGCATGTAACGTCATGTGTGCATTTTTCTTCCACTTCGACGTGGTAGAACTCCGCCAATTAGAGAAGTGGTACATACTACTATGTTATGGACTACCATTCATTCCCGCCTTCGTATTTTTCTTTGTACATACAAAAAATCGCGGTTACATGTATGGGAGTGCCGTATCATGGTGCTGGATCAAGACCAAATGGGGTTTGTGGAGACTCTGGAGCTTCTACGTACCGGTTTGGTATGTTTACACTTTTCACCACTGTGGACTCTTGGTTGACTAACTCAAGGATTACCATATTAATCACAATAATGATCTACACCTTCGCGGGAAAGAAAATCTTTGACAAGCGACGAGAACTCATGAGAGCAAATGAACGTATATCACCTGACAACCTGCCCAAAGCACGTAGAGAAAAGTCTAGAAGCTCTCAAACCGAACTTCTCCCAACCACCAACTCCGTCGAAGAAGCCCCCTCCGATAAACCCTCGAGACCGGGATTACCCCCAGCTCAACCATCATATACAAGTGTGCATCCGCATAAACAAGCCAACGCGGCTATGTGGGCCTATGCGAAAGTCTCGCTACTGTTCTTCCTCGCTATGATGATCACGTGGATTCCATCAACTGCTAATCGCATCTATTCCATTTTGTACCCGGGCACGGTTAATATGTCGCTTCAGTATATTTCTGTGTTTGTGTTACCGCTGCAGGGGTTTTGGAACGCATCGATCTATATTATTACGAGTATGGATGCTTGTAGGGTTCTTTGGAAGAAATTAGGAGAGCCGGTGGTGATTTTTAAGGGAGGTGGGGGGTGAGGGGTGATGTGTTGTGTTGTGTTGTGATTGGTTTTGCGGGATGGATGTGGTTGTGAGAAAGCAAAGCAACGCGAAAAGTTTGTAAAGAACATGCTCCGATCGATGATTGAGATAATGCCAATCTGGTCTTTGTTATTGTGATGTTTTCATCCCGGTTGACTGCGTACTGAATTGGAGATCTTTAAGTATACAATCCGCTGCACATGCGATGATACATTGCAGCTCTTCTCTAATCCAAAGGCCTTCCAACATTTTACCTATGTAATTCTATACATGCTATATTGTACATCGTCTATTCTGCCGAAGTGTGGTGTGTATATACAGTTTCCGTTGGGTCCCGAGGGTAAATAATCTTCTGCCGCGATGAGAAACATTGGCAGCGAGCCGGAGACTCAAATCACAATCAACGAGATTCCTTCTCCTTATTCGCCACTATATCAAGAGTCTTCCACGCCGAAGCCCTCGCTGCTAAATAGGTTTTACTTTGAATCGCCTTATAAATACCATGGAATCCACTAATAGGCCATGCTTTCAGGATCTTTTCCGAAATGCTCAGCGTCTTCGCCACATCTGTTTTTGGCGCCGCTTTGACTTTCTCATAAACACTTGGTAAGGTGGTAGCTCCATATTTCTCCCTCAGTCCATCGTACCATTTGCGATCATACATTTCCCAAAATTGTTCTTCGTTGTAGTAGGTTTGTGCGTATAACCATTTCATACCCCCGAGCTCTTTGAGTTTTTTCTCGAGACTGATGTTGGCTTTTACTAAATCTTTTTCTTTTCCATAGCCCCAGAGACCAATGTTCATAAGTGGCTTGAGAGTTTTACCGTCGGCTTCGTAGGAGGCGGAGTGAGGATGCATGGTTGGCATTGGGCTTTGCTTTAGGGGGCAGAGCCATAAGGGGTAAATACCGAAATATTCGTCGGTGTAGTCTACAAATTCCGTGGCGGTAGAATATGGTAGTGCGAGATCTTGGACAATATACCCGGGTGGCATTCCGGCGGTATGAAGTGCAGTATAAAGCATGCGTGTATGTAAAAAGTCGTCCAAGAACCAACGGGTGAATTTGTTGAATGGGAATGAGAAGTATTTGAAGGCTGAAGCACCTACCCAGAATGCTCCACGATCATATCGAAAGAAGTATTCTGCGAGAGGTATGGCGAACCTGGGGGAGAATTGGCTGCTGTCTATACTAGACTCTACATGCATGTAGAACCAAGGATCCGAAGCACTACTAAATCGTTGTACTGGAGTATTCTCCGTCGGGGTATCTGTCAAACGACCAGTAACAATAGCACCCTTCTTTTTCGAAAACATAATTCCGTCCACATAATCAATGGTTGGATCTGCAGTCATCTCTTCGATCTTCTTGATTGCGTCTGGCATATCAGACACCGGATGATATGTAGTCTCGACATATTTCTTCGCCTTTTGTAACTGCAACTCTACCAACGTCGTAACCCCCATACTTCCGACTGCTCCCGCCGCACCATGAAATAAATCAGGCCTTTCGGTATTCGAACATTGGATAATCTGACCATCTGCCAAAATCATCTCAACCCGATTGATCGTCTCATTGAAGAAACCATGTCGAAAAGAACTGCTCTCACCCGATGTCCCCGCATATCCTCCTCCAGCAGTAATTCCTGGAAATTCCATGACCACTGGCGGCACAAGTCCATATTTTAATGTCTCCTCTACCAATCTATCCATTGGCACATTTGGTTCCACCCATGCTGTCTGCGTTGTAGGATTGACTTCCAATACATGCGATAACCCGCCAATATTGATTATGTTTTTGCCTTTGGCATTGTTTCGTGTACTATTCGTAGAACCATGATTGATACGGAATTTCTCTTTGCGATCGTAGAATTGTCGTACATTCGCGGATATTTTCTCGACCGTTTGGTTGTGTAGAGTGAGGGCTGGGGAGGTATTGGTTGAATTGGAAAAGTATCGGGTATTCACTCTCGTTCGAGGTTGGTTTGTCTCTTCACGCCATTGCCTGCAAGGATTTGGAGGGGTTGTCGCCGTTAATGATCGGATGACAATATTCTTTCTTATGGGAAATGTTGAAGTTCTTATTGATGGCGCAGTCTTGTTAACTGCTCGCCGTATTGAAATCATGTCTTTCAATTGGTGTGGCTGATGTTTCACAAAGACATCCATTCCAATGTTACACAATTCTTTTTTCTCGATACCGCAAGGCTGGGTAGTCAGGCCTAGACCTACAGTGGGACGGAAAGTACCTGAAGCTATGATAGAACTCAATCACGACGACATCAACTTATTTTGGTGTATAGAACATAAAACTTACTACACCAGCGTCGATATCTGAAGCTGTTATCATGATACGTATCTAAGGATCTCAGCGAATGGCAGTCATATATCCTCATTTATCATTGATCTTGATGGTCCAATCGATGAGTTGGCTGTGAACCGGCGTTCATGATCATTCCCACAAGGTAATTCGAAATGCAGTACTTGGGTGAAGTTACTTTGATACAACACCAATACGATATCGTGGGTTGATTATTCAACGACTAATTACTCGTCGCCCTCGACCATACAAGCTCAAAACGATTAATCTGTTGATACTAGATTATACGATATCGTACCAAAGGTCTTCCTTTCAAGCCATGATGATTCCAGTCCAGAACCCCAGCTGCGGGCCATCCCTCAACATTCCCGTCATGTAGGGTTCAGGTTAATTAAGGTTAGACTCGGCTCTATTCAACCAGGTATCGAAATATTCTCAAGATTCATCTACGTGTCATTCAATATACACGCAATGAATTCTCCCATTGAAGCTGGAGCTGCGGAGGAGAAGCAGGTACCGTCAGGTCCTACAAGAATTCAAGATGTCCCTAGTCTACCATCTGCCGACCAAGATAAAGATATCGCCATCGCTGTGGTGGGAGAGCATCGTCATGAAATTGACCCCGCGGTAGAAGCTCGAGTCGTTCGGAAGATAGATCGATATCTGGTCCCTGCTATGTTCATTGGATATGGACTTGTTTATTATGACAAGGTAGGATACAGATTTCTCATTGTTTATATTGATTCCATACTTAACAATTTTCAGGCAATCTTAGGATCCGCAGTCCTCTTTGGCATGACGACTGATTTATCTCTCTCCATCACCAATACCAATGTGACCCCTCATGCTACAGATACCTCCCGTCTTAGTTGGGCAACATCCCTTTTTTACTTTGGCATGTTGTCGGGTTTATATCCAATGACATTTGCGTTGCAAAGATTTAATATGGGTAGAATCATAGGAATCGTGGTATGCTTGTGGGCCTTGATCTGCATGTGCACAGCTGCTGTAACAAATTGGCGCGGTCTATATGCACAAAGGTTCTTCCTTGGTTTTGTCGAAAGTATCATCCCAACTGGATTCATGTGTATAATCAGTTCCTTTTACACACAATCCGAACAATCTTTGAGGCAGAGTTGGTGGTTTTCCTCAACTGGGGCTTTCACCATTATTGGAGGTGCACTTAATTATGGATTCGGACAAATCGATGGTGGAGACCTTAAGAGATGGCAGTACATTTATTTGCTTGCCGGGTCTCTTACTTTCCTTTTCGGAATTTGTTGTTTCTTCGTACCAGATTCCCCAGTCTCAGCTTGGTTTCTTACGACAGATGAGCGTATGGTTGCTACGGAACGTCTAAGATATGGTCAAACCGGAGTTCGTTGTACGAAGTTCAAGTGGTATCAGATCAAGGAATCCTTCCTTGATATTAAAGTATGGCTCGTCGCTATCATGATGGCTTCCGCGTACACTGTCAACGGAGCAGTCAGTGGTTTTGGCCCTCTTATCGTTTCTACCTTTGGGTATTCGACTCTGGATTCTATTCTGTTCCAATTCCCTCTTGGGGCAATATGTTTGATCTTCATCTTACTCACTGGTTATCTTTCATCGCATATTCCAAATATACGAATCATCCTCCTCGTCATTTGTTGTCTGCCAGTCATTGCTGGATGTGCAATGATATGGAAAAGTTCTTGGCATCATCATGCAGCTACTCCAGTTGTCGGGTATACTATAGTTGGATTTTTTGGTCCTGTAGTGAGCTTGATTATCACAATTGGTATGGCCAATGTTGCAGGCCAAACAAAAAAGTGTTTCATGGCAGCGACTATTTTTGTGGCATACTGTGTTGGTAACATCGTAGGACCTCAATTGATCATATCACAAACGAAGTCGAGACATTATCCAGAGCTCTGGCTAGGATTAATCATTTGGTAGGTTAAACGAGTATATACGATGAGATTACTGATGTGAGATAGTTATTGCATTACAATTATAGCAGCAGTGGTGTTGTATGCTGTGCTGACTAGAGAAAATCGCAAGAGAGCATTAATGGAGTAAGTCTATACCACTTTCATCTAACTAGACAATATCAGGATACTTTCATGTTCGCCTCATTGAATTTGCAAAACAATTTGTAATTTCTACTCCATATATCTCGTCATCTCATTTCAATTCATATGAAATCGTGCTGATTGAGATCTTGCAGATTGGATCAAGTGAGTAGGGACAAAATGGCATTTCAGGATTTAACCGACAGGGAGAATCCATATTTTCAATATATGCTTTAGCTCTAGATGCAGGAGAAACGTTTGATGGATGCTAGCTTACATTATCGAAATGTCATTTTTCGAGTTACATCTCGACTGTTTTCGGTAATAAAGCGGCCGAAAATATTAACTCCACCAAAGTTGCACGTAAAATCCGTTATCGCCAGAGGGGGACAGCATACAAATAATAACACTGCCATTCGTTGGCTAATATTGAGGAAATACATATAAATAGTTATTGAATACCTGTTCTTGATCCTGTTGACCATTCTCTTATCCCACATTTAATAATACCTATAGAGGTATCAATTTCTAAATCCCTAGACACGACTCAACACATTCAGGCGAGGTTTTATTCTCCATCTTCGAAACAATTCTATTGAAACAAAACTACCGGTACCATCAGCAAACATGGGAGCAGAAACGCAAGCAAAGACTAAGATACCCATTGTCTTGGGTGCAATGACTTTCGGGAAACCCGGTGAGTCGCTTTGTTTCGAAATTGCAATGATCCGGAACTAACACTTATCAAGGTGTCATGCAAGCTCGAGTTCACGACATTAAAGATGTCTCTTCAATGATCGAACTCTTTCAGTCACATGGCCACAATGAAATAGACACTGCCCGTGTGTACGGAATGGGTTCATCGGAAGAATATCTGGGGCAACTCCGACCCTCGTACACCGATCGTGGTATCGTTATGGCTACCAAGCTGTATCCTAACAATATGACCGGGCTCAAGATCACTCATTCAGCGGATGATCTTAGACTTCACTTGGACAGAAGTTTGAAAGCTTTAGGAGTTGAAAAAGTGGATCTCTTTTATCTGCATGGACCAGATAGAAGTGTTTCTTACGAGGAAACGTTTGGCATGTGCGATGTTTTGTACAAGGAAGGAAAGTTCGACAGGTTGGGTGTTAGTAATTACATGTCATGGGAGGTTGCACAAATCCAAGAAATCTGCATCAAAAATAACGTAAGTCGCTTCGACCGTCATTCAATTGTCGAATAACGCAAAACTGACAACGAAAAAGTGGATCCGTCCCTCAGTATACCAAGGTGTATACAATGCCATTCAGCGCTCCATCGAACCAGAGCTCCTCCCCTGTCTTCACAAATACAACATGTCTTTCTATGCTTTCAACCCTATCGCCGGCGGCTACCTCACTTCGCGCTACCATCGCAACCAGGAATCCGTCGAAGCAACTTCTCGTTTCGATGATTCGCATCTGCAAGGTCAGATGTACAGGAAGAGATACTGGAATGATACCATGTTTGACGCCTTGGACATCATCAGAGAAGCAGCGAAGAAAGAGGGGTTAACCGAGAGCGAATGTGCATTGAGATGGTTGGTACATCATAGTGGACTTGAAGCGGAGAGAGGGGACAAGATTATTATTGGAGCAAGCAGTGAGAAACATTTAGTAGAAAATTTGGTGGATTTGGAGAAGGGACCATTATCGAAGGAGATTCTTGAAGCGTTGGATAAGGCGTGGGCTAAAACTAAGGCGGTCGCTGGCGCTTATTTCCATTAAGCTTAGGGTAGTTGGAGTGCGGGGCGATTTCAGTTCTTGGGCTACGATGCGTGATTTGAGTCTGAGTTTTCTGCGCAGTCTTTGGTCGACAATTCAGTGGGCGGCAGCGAACCGCATATAGCGAAGAAACTCGAATGATCAACTGTATACCAAATCCCGAAAATTAATCAGAAGAGATATCTTCAAAGGACGTCATTGCATTTTCAGAGCCACTAGTGGGTGTACGGACTAACAGGACACTACAAAAAAGGACTTATGGATATCTCTTGATATATCAACTCGCACGTAGATTTTAGGAATCGTTATAATTGTTTATTTGAGGCGAGACAATTAAATCATAACTTCCAATATCAAAAAATCGAAGAATGAATTTGTTTTAGATTTCGATAGTTGGGAAGTATCCCGTCAATCCATACACCAGTGGCTTGCGGTGAGACATAAGCACGTGGGTAGATTAAAGAGGTAGGAAGGTCACTATGATCCAATAGTCGGCGTAGAGAAACTGGAGAAGCTTGCCAGTGCAATATTTAGACTATTTAAACAAGTTATCATTATCTTCATTTAACATTGAATTAAAATATGTTTCTCTATATACCCAATATAACGCCTCGTGATTCCATCATCCATCCAAAACTACGCCATGCCAACCAAAACTCCCAATCATGATCATCACGTTCATGGAATCATCTTTTTCAATCCCAGTTACCCCTCTCAACCTCTCAAATCTAAAACTTTGTCTCCCTCACCCAAATACAATTCTCCGCCTGCAAATCCTTCACCACGACCATCCCATCCTTTCTCTTCCCCCACCTCCCTTTCCTCTTCTCCTTCCCCTTCCCCTCTTCCTCATTCTCAAACTTCAACTCCACCCCCTCATCACTACACTCCATCCCCGCAAACTTCCTCACATGCTCACACTCCTGTCTACTCACCCCGGCGTCATCCCTCGGAATCCACAATTTTGGATCTCGGCCCCTCGCCACACAGGGCGGAAAATAAGCATCCTCGTGTTGTTTCTGCGTATACTCGAAGCCTGAGGGCATAAGCGGTAGAGAAGCAGTGAGGGAGCGCAGAATATGGTAGTCAGAGAATATTTCTGGGTGGAGGAATTTGATGAAGAAGTTTGGAGGGGAGGAGGGATCGTAGATGGGGGAGATGAGCGGAGTGAGGTAGGTTAGGTAGGGGGTTAGATGGTGCAGGTGCGGTTGGATTTTGGATTTGAGAGCGTGTAGGAGGAAGGTGAGGGTTAGTTTTGAGAGGTGCGGGAGCCCTTCGATTCGTTTCGCTGCGGAGCGGGATTGGGGGTTGGGATCGTGGATATTGGTTTCGTCTTCGTCTTCTTGCTCGGAGTCGGAGTCGGAGTCGTCGTGGGGTGATGTGTTAGAGGAGTTTTTGTGGGTTTCAAAGCCGGGCTCGTTTTCTTCGGAGATGGTGGGGTGTGGATTGGGTGTTGTGGATGTGCGGTGGCTGATGTATGTTGATACTACTGGTTGGGATTGAGATTGTTCAGGTGTCTGCATGGGGAAAAATGAATTCTCATTTTCATCTCCGTCTGGGGCGTTGCCTCGATTCATGGTCGGCATGGGTGTTTGCAAATCTGAATTAAATGCAAGTCCGCGATATAGTTCTTCGACAGCGAGAGTTCGAGGGAGATTCCAGAGAAGTGGACCGAGTGCTTCGTTGAGACTTATATGGATCAATGCTGTGAAGATTGTCAATCCGAACATGATCACCAATGGCCCGAATGCGCTTCGTAATCCGAAAAGGCCGATGAGACAGATTTCCGCAAGATATACGCCCGTAAGGAGTTGCTTGAGAGCATGTGGATACAGCAGTCCTCGAGTCGATATTTCAGAGGAATAGGTGTAAAGGAGATTGTATTTTGATACGAGATATATGAGATATAAACCCATAAGAGCAAATACGATTGTCAACGGGCTTATTAGTGAATACGTGATGGCTATTACGCCCATATTTGTGAACACAGGGTAAACAGCTCCCCAATGAACGGTTCGAATTCGGTGCCATTTGTTGATCATTAATCTCGGATTTTGCTCATTCTGAAACATTAAGTGACGGATCAAAGCAGGTAGTTGTAATAATCTCGTGGCGGACATGGCGAGACCCTGGAGGATAAAATACGAGACGTAGAAGTTTGATGATTTAGGTAAATTCTGCGAAAGTAATGAGCGCACAGAAGTGGGATCTTGAATGATTTTTTCGAATGCTGCGGATGCGGCAGAAGTGATGGTTGTTACAAGGAACACTTGCACAACTTGGAATATGAAGTAAGTAGATTGTGTGTAGAGCTCAATCATCGAATAAGACGGGATTCCAGCTTGACGCGCACAATGTCGTAGAATGACAGGAACTAATGCCATAAGAAATGACAAAGCTAGAGCTGGCAATAAGCCCGTAATCAAACCCAGAATTGAAGATGGAAGTTTATTGATCCAACCCAAGAAGGGGATTTTTGTGGTTAAAAAATTGATGTTGGATATTATCCCTATCAATGCACAAGGAATGGACCAAAATATGACCATACAGGCCACGAAACCTTGGATCGCAAAATTACGCATAATCCGTTCCCACCATCTCATGCGAAGCGATTCCCATACAATTTCATGTGGTCGAATTCCATTGATATGTGGTGTCATGTGGAATGCTCGATGGTGAGATAATGTTTGATAGGCAGATTGAGCGTTGACTTGGGTATCGAATTCAACAAACGCGGCGGGTAATGGCTTCACTTTCCCCTGTCGATGCATTCTTCTCAATTTGTTGATTTGTGGCGCGATCTCCTTCAGTCGAGCTCGTGTCCATTTGATGGTATCTACGCTTCTTCCATAATTTGATAAGGGTCGATGCGTTGGTCTCCAGCTGTGGGGAATCCACTGTGCTGCAATTGATCCACTTACTCCAGGAGGAGGTCCAGACATCCCGTATCCATTATCTCCCCATTTCAAAGTCGGGGTTGTGGGGTTCTCGTCCGTGGTTGCTTGAGAATTCGCATGGGAAATTGCTTTCTCGGTCACCCTGGCTTCTTTTTCCCTTCCACTGATTGGACTGGAAGTTGACCCTACCAGTGTGTCTGTAGGTGACATGGGATCTTCCGAAATCTCGATGTCCCTAGAATTTACATCAGCTGGACTTCTGATTAAACTCGGTCTACGATTTTCGGTTGCTGAAGATCCACGCTTTATTTCTTGAACAGAATTGATACCAATGCTCGATTCAAGATCTGGATGGCCATGTTTGAGTGCTCGGTTTCTTTCTTTATTCGCAAGCTTTATTAATGCTGTCTCGGCCCTCTCCAATCGATAAGCAGTTTGATTTCTTTCATCCACCAAGTCCTGTAGTTCTCGGGTTTCTCTTGGGATCCAAACATGTTTGACGGAATCGCCAAATACCTTTCGTAATTTAGCTTCTTCCAAATTCTGTTGTGGAACGCACGTGAATAGAACAGTCCTCGATGACAGGCGCTTAGCATAATACGGATGAAGAAGATAAGCTTGACGGAGATTAATATAGTAAACGCACTCTCGTGAGACAGTATACATGATAAATCCTAACTATTCATTAGCAAAGTTCATGTACTTAGAAAATTATACCCACCGAAGAAGAGCCATGCCAGGAACGCGTGTACATAGTAGATTCTTGGGTTATCAACATTTCCAAATGTTAATTGATCAAGTTGTTCATTACCAGCACCTCCAAGTACATGCAAAGGTATCAAGACGGGAAATACAAGGCCGCATCCTACAAGACATATTACACACATAATCTTGAGGAAGCGGAGGAACAAGTACCCATCTAGCGACGACTGATTGAGAACCGCTTCATCTGGAGTATTGAAAAAGGGTCTGATCCAATTGAAATATCCAGATGGTAATTCCTTACCTCTTTCACTATTCTGAGGTCAGTTTAGGCTTTTGTCATGAAGCGCATCTAACTCACTGAGAATCTAGACTACTCAAAAACGTCCGTGGTGAATATACTCTCGGATATTTACTCCGTAACACCAGAAATGAGATGATACAGACAGCAGCGAATACGCCCACGGGGATTGAAGTGGAAAATAGTGCAGAGAATGACGAGGAATTGGACCCCGATGCTGCAGCTGCTAAGGTCGAACTTGTGGAATTATCTCTTGAAGAACCAACTCTTGGATCAGAACTCTGATTCTAGAAAACCAAAAGAACAATCAGATATCAGTAAAGATTGCTGCCGGAGCGGACAATTTGGAGATTTGATGAGACCTTACCAATTCCCTCCTGAATTCTAACCTCAGCCCTTCAGCAATCACACTCAAAATCGCCATCTCTCTCCAATTTCTCTCGAGCACTTCTCAATTGCAACACGCTCCATTCATCTACTCATGAACGACGTCTGCATCGATCCAATCCAACCGTTCATGCCAAGGAATATATGACGGATAACAATTAACAATAAACAATAAACAATATGAAGCAAAACGGTCGGGGACTCTTCGTGATTTTCAAAAGTGCCAGTTTTATCATTTATGGTGCATATTTTCACCGTAGATCATCAACTAGCAAAAATACTACCCTTAAGTGGCGCGCTGAATACAGGGCTAATTTCCGAATCGGGGAAAAATGATGCTTTTATTGGTTGGTAAGGTTTCGAGCAGGGGGGCGATCGCGATAAACGGGGGCTGGGATTTCTTTGATACTTTGCCATTTTATTTCCTCAATGTAGAGTAGCCGCTGAGAGTCTGCCGAAAGGAGGCACAGTCGAAGACATACTAGACAATTATCGAAAAAACGTTTGTCTCATGAAAATCAGGATATCAGGATATCAGGATATCAGGATTCAGGATTCAGGATTCAGGATATCTATAAAGAGTATGCTTGAACCGATCAGGGTGAGTGGGCCTTACCAAACCCCTGTTATCTTATCTGATCTTCTTCGGGATTTATCCGGATCATCCAGACCAGATATCAATATCAACCCCGCATCGTCTGCAGAGCTTCTGTGTTACGAATCCTACTATCAAAATATCTTCACTACACCGCCATCCTGTAGACTTCACGAAATGTCATACAGCGTCGACGACGTATTGCATATGATATCACATATGAGCTCGCCGATATGAAGATCATTGCCCCTAATTGGATCCGTCTCTTCGTATCTCTTGTCTCGTCAACCGTCGAATTTGGGGAAAATGCCATCTCTCGTGTGCGAATGACAAGTGGAACAGTCATTGGACATCCTGCAAGAAACAAAAGCGATGTTGTTGAATTCTTAGGCATTTGATATGCTGAGGCAACCAACAGCTCTTTGAGATTTCAGCCTCCGGTTCCATTCATTTCCTCTGATACATACAAGGCTTCACACTATTCGCCGTAGGTTTTGCTCTCTTTGGACTTTGTGTCTGTGTCAGGAACACTAAATCGGCGAGCGGATCCTTTAGGGTATACATGATGGATCATCCTCCACTGCGCTAGATAGCTTCATGCAATCGAGTCCCCACCTAACATCATTCCCAAGAGCTTGTCCCTCTAACCCCGCTCCACCTCTTCCCACCTTCCCTAAAAGAATCTTCCACGTTCGACCGCATATATGCCACAGCTACTGGTGGGACGGGTCTTGAATTCAGTGAAGACTGTCTGGCACTCAATTTATGGACGTCATTCATATCACCAAAAGAACTTAAGCCAGTTCTATTTTTCATCCACGGCGGGAGATTCGTATCCGGCAGTACCAACAACGCATTTTATGAAGGAAAATATCTTGCTGCCACTGGCGATGTCGTCGTTGTGACTATTGAGTATATACTCTTTTCTTCCAACCCATTCAAATGACGAACTAAAGTATTACAGTTACCGACTGCTTGTGTTTGGATTCCCAGGCTCACCATTATTACCCAGCGCCAACCTATCAAGATTAGATCAACGACTTGCCCTCGAATGGGTTAGAGTGAACATTGCACCATTTGCAGGAGACCCAACCAGAATTCTTATGTACGGACCATCAGTCGGTGGACTATCTATCATTACCATGCATTTGCCTGGCCGGACGATCCAATTGCTTCTTCATTCATGTCCATATCCGGAACAATCAATGACGAACCGAAAAGCCCAGAATTGAGCAAATCATATTGGGATCAGCTTTCTGTTCTAGGCGGATGCAAAAGTGGCGTCAAAAAAAACGTTGTGGGCTGTATGCAGGAGATATCATACCAAACCATCTTGGCCGCTATCAAAAAGTTATCCCTGACACCCACCGAATTTCTATCACGAACACAATTCGTACCAACAGTCAGTCAGTGAGAGGATCGTGTTTTCATATTATGCTACCAGAGCCGACGCTGAGAGATTCGCCAAACTTCCATACCTAGTAGGCAACGCGCATTACGAGTCAGGCTTCTACGCCATCTCCGCCTTTGCCCCAAAACATCATTTTCAGTCGCGCTCAGTGGGATCTCTTCAACTTCAAAACATTTACTTGCTCTGCGATCCAATCTGCCCTCTTACGCTTGAAGCATAACGTCACTGTTTATTTGTATAGATATTCTGGAGATTTCGATAACACGCGCCTTTATTCAACAAGTGGTGTGTATCATTTGAGTGACTTGTATATGTGGCACGGTGTGGGCACGGATGTAAGTGGTATTTCGAATACGATAGGTAAAGGAAGGTTGATTAAGGAGATGATGAGAAGTTTGATTGCGTTCGCAAAGGATCCTTTTTGCGGACTTGAAAAATTGGGGTGGAGGAGGTATGAGGGTGTGGGAAGTGGTGAGTCGACCTGCTTTCTTTGCTTCAAATCGCACTTGACCACATAATTTAGGGTCTGATTTATTGTCACATATTTTGGTGGTAATCAGGTCCAACAGCAAGTCTCAATGTCCTAGGACAACATAGTAGTCGCGAGGTGAATCACGTCGAATCTGGAGAGTATAAGGCACAATGTGCATCATATAATCCAGCAAGATTGGGTTATTAATCCATACGCTAATTTCTAATCAATCATTTCGCTGAGATTACATTACATTATCGCTCTGTAATCATTGCTTACTTCAATACCTCCATGTTTTCTCATTCGACCAATTCGAATTACCGAATTTTCTCTGTGTCTCTTCCCAGTCCCTGTTAAATTGCTTAATTGATCTTCCATTCAAAATTTTCTTCTTGTCCTCAGAACTAATCTGTATTGTGCCAAACCCTTGTTTAGACGTGAATTGTACTATTATCATCAATTTATAATGATCAGACATATCCATCTCTTCTGCCTTTGCATTATTTCCGCATCCGTTGTTTGTCTCTGTCCAGCCCTTTATTTGGCCCCATTGCTCCCGAAGATACCAAAAGAATCTTACATCCCGCGCTCGTTCTTGCCACTCTACCCACATTTGTCTCTTCTTGGTTAATCTGATCCTCCTTCTTTCGGCTGGTGTCGCATTCCAGTTGACATCCAAGTCGTCGCTACTGGGACACAATACGGGTTTAGGCTCAGGCCTAGAATTACCTGCTTGAAAGAATATAGGTTTTCCGTAAAAGTCTACGTATCCAGTTGGTATAGTCGATAGCTCGGGGGCTGACTGTGTTGACGCTTGTTTGAGTTCCTCAAGCCTTTTAAATGATTTACGAGTAAGAATCTCGTGATAAGGTCTCGGAACCCAGAGTTGTGAGTAGAACCAGCTTGCAGAACCCATCACATAATGTCTGCATGAAAGTTAGTTGCTAGTCTTCTCATCCTAGGGGCAACGTGTACTTGCATTTCTGGTAAATCTTTGTCATAGTGGTGAATCTCTATCTGGGGAAGATCAACCCAGGTATTACCTGGAAGGATACAGATCCTTATTCCTGAGCCGGACTTTGTACGGATGAAACAGATGTTACTAGGGATTTCCATTGGTCCCTGAGCAACAAATCGTTCTCTAGGGGATGGACTGCCTAGAGTGGATGGGCTAGCGTGAAGGGAAGGACTAATAGGAGTCAGTGGAGTCGACAAGTAGGATCGATTTCGCTGAATGGATCCCATGGACGGAGTGGATGTATTTGACGAGTTTTTGGTGACAAAAGGGTCTGTAAGTATCTTCTCATTCACAAAAGATACAGAGTTCATACGTGGACAGTAAATTAGAGCTTTTGCCGGTTCAGAATGACTCTTTGATAATATTTTGTTGTCTGTAGATACCAGAGGCCCGTGATCGTCATCAACACATGAAATTGTTTGATGACCTTCGCTCGCGGGGACAAACACCGGCGCACAAGGTGAAAGAGAACGGACTCGTGTGGAGGGTGTTGAAAGACTAGCATTAGGGTTTCCAGGCACCTGAGGAGAAGATGAAGAATGGGAACCTCCATCATTTATTGAAATACTAGGAGATTCCTCCGAACAAATATTAAAATAATCTGGATCGACGAGAGCACCTCCAGAGTCCAGAGGAGCAGGATGCTCTATGTCATCGAGCTCGAAAAGGTTCGGATCCTGAAGAACAGTGTCCAAGTCTGTAGTATCGATTGGACTTACTTCCTTATAGACACACTGGTTTCCATCAATTCCATCATTTGTTTGACTCTCTCTCTTGATTTTGTCTAGCTTAAACGGGATAGGGCTCGAAGAAAACGAATTTGTGGCCCGAGGTGAGGTGAGAATATTGGAGGCTGGAGGAGGAAGGTTGGTATACCAAGCGCATCCTCCTTGTAGGATATATTGCCCTAAAACAACCTTTTGCAGATTAGTATAAGAAGCACAAGTCTGGGGGATAAGAAATTTTACACACAAGGTAGAGCATAAAGAGTTCTTCGTCTCCTTGAGGTTGCACATGTTCTGAAGGTGCATTTATACTCTCCACAGTTCTTAGCTTGATCTCACGAGCTACCGAAATCAACTGAGTGCGCAGCTTAGATACTGGTATCCTGCGTTGCGGAGTATAGCCACCGTTAGAGTTTAGACGCCCGAAGCCCAGTCCATTATCGGACTCACCCTGCACCAGCCGAGGATTCGGGCTATATGCTGCAATGGGGGCCAATGTTCTTGAACTTCCATTGACCCATTGGTGTAGTTGGTGTGGTGTCGGAGCATTGGCTATTGTAGCTTGAGGCGGGATTTGACTAGCATTCATGTTAGGTTGTTGGAACCGAGCATTGAAATTTGATTGTTGTTGGAGAGCTTCAGGCCACTGCTGAGAATTCTGTTCATTTTCTTCGAGGGGAAAAGGTGTATTTGCGTTTTGATTGTAGGTTTCTTGTCTTGGATAGTGTGGCTCTGAGTGGTTAAATTCCATCGGTTGACCTCCTCCATGCGGTCCATTAGCTGTCATAGGTGAAGGTCGATTCCAACCATTTTCTATGATAGGATGAACCTGATTCGAGACACATTCTGATATGGGATTAATTCCTATAGCCTGCGGGGAGTTTGGTTCAGTGTTTGTGTTGTGCTGTGGGCTCTGGAAACTGAGATCTGTGTGGTAGTTTAACATTGGGTTTTTGTTGGCAAGACCCTGTCCAGAGTTTCCTTGAAATGGAGGAGGCATACTCATGTATTTTGCATATATATATATATATATTGTATGTGATAATAACCAAAAACTGGGATATTTAGATACGTGCAATGAGATCGATGATATGATATGATGTGATGTTAATGGAAAGATAAAGATTTTTTTTTTAATAATGAGGGTAAGTTGAGCGCTGGACATGGAGAAGGTACGACTTCCAGGGAATTTTGGAGGAAGCAGAGAGTAGCGACGATTAGGAAGACAGAAAGTTATAGCCATCATTTCGGGAAGTCACGAACGTGATTTGTATGCTTGTTTTATGTGGTTAATCAAGAGAATAAACAAGTGAACTTTGAAGATGTTTGAAGAGCAAAGGACAGAAATTCTAAGCCTTTCTCAAACATAATCTGTGCCTGCCAAAACAAAATTGCGAGTAGCTGGACATTTCAATTTAAGTGCTATCAGCGCGTCTCTTTATCTCACCTTCAATAAAGCTCCAGGCCCCGTTCAATTCTGGATCGACAAAGAACAAGACAAGACCTGAGCAATCGAAATGCTAACGTACGTCAAGCAGTTTGGAGGTGCTTGGACTTTGGCATTGAGAAAATTAGCCACCCTGTAGCCAGGTATCATTCTATGTTTTTCATACATAATGGATAGACCCAGATTTCTGACTTTACTTTTCCGCCAAATCTTTCTCCTGCATGTGGTGAATGAATCGTTTTATCTGAAGAGGTGAGGTGGACATTTTGTGATTTGGGACTTAATCGTGGTACAAGAAACCGCACATCAACAGACTCGCTTATTCGATATTCGAGATGGGGAGATGTAGATAATAGATCTAGGTTGTCTGTATCATCCAGCCTAGAAAGGATTTATCTTGTGTTTTATTCTGCTTTTTCAGATTCGAGCGTCTGTACGGAGCGAGAATTAGTGGCACTATCTTGCGATGAGTGATCTTTTTAGAGAAGGGGAAGCCATAAGTTCATGGTACTGATCTGGAAAGCTTCGGCTGCAAATTATTTCAGAAATTCTGCGTTTAGTAGCTAAAATTTCTCCTGCCAGCTTATTTTCTCCTATCTCTATCGTTCATATAACACCTCACTAATCATCGGTAGCTCACATCTCCGCAGCAGTTCAAGGCCTCTATCCTTCCGATAGTTTTGTGGCCGATGGCCTCAAACCTTCAATCCCTGGTCTTCTACTACGTTCTAGACGCGTACCTCACCTCAATCCTTATCATCTACTTGCCGCTTCCCAATATCGTGTCAATTACAGCATTGAAAAGATTCCTTTTCTAGCCCCAGTTTTCTGTTTTCATTTCTCCTGTTTCCCTACGACATCATCTTCGGTCTTCGTAGTATCGGTCACTATTAAAAACTTGGAGGATCACTGTTGGTAGCTATAAATTCTGCTGATGTCGATATTAAGATGGTTACCTGATGCAGACTACTCGATATCTGTTACATATATTCAAGCATTAGGATCGGTATTGGGTAGCAAAAATACCACGTGGTTCCAGAACTGTCGCATAGTAATTTATGATTATACATTGTGATTCTCTCCAATAATTAAATTCCTTAAGATAATAGGGAGTTCCTGTGAATCTCTGCTTTCCATTAAACTTCCACTACTCAATTCCCTATCATATAATACTGGCTGTCTCGGCGCACCTAGCAATAAAGCTCCACCATTCGGAATCCGTTCGACTCCATCTTTCAATAATCCTTATCAATCGAAACAATGCTCTGGCCATTATGTTATTTCACCTCGTCCCCAAATCTTGACAATTACCTGGAACATGCGAAGCTTATGCCCAAAAACAACAATCAGAGCTTGTGCAGGCTATCACAGAACATTCCACCATCCAATTTGATATCCCCGAAGAAATCTCAAGGGTTCCGATCGAGTACCATCTATGTTGTGGAACTCCTATCCTCCTCCTCCTCCTCATCCTCATTTTCCTCCTCATCTTCCTCCTCATCCTCATCCTCATCTTCTTCATCATCAGCATCATCATCGACAGCATCCATAAAAGAAGCAAAGTTTTCAATGGAAATTCTACCCATAAAAGCTTGGTACTCGTGCTCCTCCTCCGCCTTTCTCATTTCCCTCCTTGCTTTATTTCGATCGTCCTCTATCTCCGCCTGCTTTGACTTATAGAAAGGAATGATGATTGGCTCTGCTTCCATCTTCTCGTTACTTTTGAACTCATAATAACCTGACTCATTCCAAGTCACAACACCCTCGTAGATCACATCATCTTCCTGCTCAAGGATGAAATTGTCTCCTTCTTGTAGATCAGGGAAACGGCGACCAAATCTTACGAGCTTCAAGTTTTCCCTACGGATAAATCGATTGAACAATACACAGAAAAGACCAAAAATTGATACGAAGATGATCAACCCACTTGCGAGTCCATACATGAATATAGCAATCGGAAATGTACTCGGTATCTCTCCGTCTCCATCTCTGAATACGTTTGAGATATCGAAAGTAGGCTCGTTAAGAGGACCAAATTGTATTTGGGGATGATTGAATAGCGCAGGCATTGTTATGATTTTTTGGACTTATTATTCTTCGTTCATTAGAATAGAATGATGGATTTTTTGGGAAGTCGAGAAGTTTAGGTGCAAACATGGCGCAATTTATACGTGTTATTTAGTGAAAACTATCTATGATTCATTATCTATGACAAAAATCCTAGTTCAGAGCTTGGGAATTGGTCTATATAGATCGACGAAGTAAATCTACTTTAAATATCGTTGAGAATGACATTTAGCACCAGAGTCTTCCCACAAGCGGATGGTAGTCATGAAGAAATGTTTTCATTGGAAGCAGAATATGCCCGATTGAGAAATTCAAGAACAAGGCCGCACTATTAATGACACTTCTAAAATTCTTGACGCCGAAAATTCTGACATTAGTGCTAAATGGACGTCACAAATTTGACTCTTTCTGGTAAATTTGATGAGATCTGCAAAGCCAAATTACCCGAACGTAATCCAATAATTGCCAGACTTGGTTTCGAATTCATTGGTATCATATTGATCAATTTAAAGTCTGGAACTATTATCTGAAAAGAAACGATGATATTTAGGTAACAGAAATTTACAATTTCAGTCATTTAAATCTTTGAAAGTTATGGAATTCTATTTGGCGGAAGATGAAGGAATTACCAGACTTGATGAAAGTGAGCATAGATGTAGAATGATACAATAAATTATTTCGGTAGATCAATTCTAACAATTTTGAGACTCCTATCCAAATAGTAGTCAGGAAACCATGTAATGTCTCCAACAACAATATATATTCCCATCCTTCATAATAGAGGACGATCTAGACGCAAAACCCCAAGATTGGGGTCAGTGAAATGGTGCAAACATTGAACTCTGTTTAATTCTGAAAATGATATTCTCTAGCATATCAGATATTAAAGCCGAAAGACATTTTTCCAAAATTTAATGACACCAAACTTTTTCCTCCCATGAACTTCTGTCAAAGTCCTTTTTCTTCACATAGTGTTGCTTCAGGACCACAAAAACTTCATCCAATCCCTTTGTTATCCTCCAAAGACCCAATTCTCTATATTTGATAAGGATTTGACGACACCTTTGTCATCTCTTTAGACGCTGCTGTACTTTCCCAAACATCATCAGTCTCATGTCTCGGCACCTGTGATATCGTTCCGTAATTCGGTAATCCATCGCTGCTGGAGAAGTCCTCTCCCCCTCTCTCATCTTCCGACCATTTTTTGACATCCAAAAGTGGGCTTCTCGCTGCCTCATCATCTAGAACGAGATATATGCTAGTCGGTTTCGACGTCGGTCTCTTCTCGCTTACTGCCAACCAGCCATATGTCCAATCCTGTATTGCTTCATGGATGGAGGCCATAAGTATCGCAGTCCACGTGGTAATGATAAAAATCATACATATGATTCCTAATGGTGCGAAGAAGCCATATATGATCGTTTCCATAACTGTGAGCTCAACTTGTGTCATATCAGCGACATCTTTGATATGCCCTGTAATCCCGATAATATTTGGTATTGGTGACATTCTGAAACTCGAGCTTTTCAATGATTAGACCTCTTCATGATTTGGATAGGGGAAACACTTACGAAGTTGGATGATTGAGGATTAGTTAATTGCCTTGAAGATGAAGTGATTCGAAATTACGATTCTGATGGGGATCAAAAAAGTCATCATCCAAAGAGAAAGAATTTTCACTGGTGCTAACTTCTAGTTTAGGGCACCATTGGCCAAGTATAGTTTTTTTTGCACTCGTGTGTGATATGAATAATGACGTGTAATCATAATGAAGTCAAACTGGGCTTTCTAGCCGAGGACTTGTGTAATTTTGGCAGTAATCTCGAATTTCCACCTCACCTCTCAAAGACTCTCAATTGTTAAAAAGTTTGTACGATATTCAAGGACGGGGGAATCTTAGGGGATGTTGTTGTTACTCAACGGAGTGAGAATTGCGGAAACTACATTTCTCAATGTGCAAGTCAATCATAGGACGCTTGGGATTTTTGAGACCTCAGGCTAATTAGTTCAATATCAATCATCGAAAATGACGCGATTTTCCAAGAGTCCTCATCACACATGGCCTATAGCATTGAAACTGTGATTAATTCTAGTGGTAGATACGAGACCGATGGAAATGATTACAAGATCTGTTTTTTACCACAGATTAGCTTAAAGACAGTAGTATGAAATAGAGTATGACACCTGGCATCAAAAATTCCAAAATAACTACTTTAGAAGATAATCTGTCGCCTACCCAATAAAAGGCTAGTGCAGATTTAGACCAATTAATCACATGAGGAAACTTAGTCTTGCTCATGGTTACTGTACATTGAAAAGTCAAATCATTCTTCACTCTTGCAGAATCTCAAGGTATCCATCTCATCTTCAAACAATTTAACAGCCATGTCCCAACAAGAGAATCAGAGTTTTGATGAAATCCTCTACAGAGCAATACTTCTATTAATTAGTCATTTTTATTACATGTCATACTTTGTATTTTGGTGGTTACTTTATGAATTCGTCCAGTACATCTATTACCGATTGAAAGGTTGGAAAGGCCGTCATCAATATCGATTATATTTGATAGTCTTATATTGCTTGGGTATGTTTTTACAGAGCGTCCACTCAATTTTCATTTGGGGATTTTATAGAGAATGCTTCGACGTAGCCCTCAGTACCACTTTAATCACGGTATTCATTTTCGAATGTCTTATTCCTTTCAAATTGTTGGAAGAGGTCTACGAACAAAGCTTGTATATTTCAGTGGAATTTTCCGAATGGCCCCCTCGATTTGTGCCTGGCTATGAGCATGCCAGCGTTCAGCTACGTCTGGCTCGCGAGCTCGAAGAAGAGTTGAGATTCCGAGAGTTTGAGAAAAGACTAGCGAGAGTCTGTGCCAGATTGGGTGGTAAAATGGACTCTGAATTTATCGAAGCTTGGATAGCCCGGGATTTTGAAGTCATCGAAAACATATATCTGAGGAAAGTCCATGCTGGATTGAATATTTCCGTTGCCGACTATATTGAAAATATGGTATTGGGGACATATGGTGATGCTTTAAGACTTCGAGATCTTCGTTTGACTGCACTCGAGAATCTCGAAAATTATGGAATGATCGTGGAATGAGCTACTGAATTTCCGGAGAACGGTACTTTGACAGTGCCGAAAAGCTTTTACACACTATGATTATACCTTGAAATGATGGTAGGAATCTATTTAAAGGTCAGATACTTTCATATCTCTATCGTAATATATCACTGACATCCATTAGACTATTTTATGGATGTAGAGTCATCAAGCGATTTCTGCGAATTTAAAAAAAAAAATTTGTTGGACCAAATATCCTCAAGCATAGGATTTTGCTTACGATCATATGTGCCCAATGGGTTGATTGTTGGATCTAGAATTTTTCAAGGTATGTTGAGACCCCTCACTTGATTCAACAGAATGAATCTGGTATTATGAAAGACTTTCCTTACCAAAAATAAGCAGAGTGTTGAATTGATCTCTACAATTTTTCCCTTGGCTATCAGAACACAAGCGCGCAGTTCTGATTTCCATTAAACATCATTACCAATGTATCAAATATATTCTCGAAATATATGTGCGTCCTTTCAGTTTCAAGAACATCGAAGATCGGAAATTGGGGTTTTGAGGTTGGGCTTGTAGACATGAGATTTGAGTTTCTCGATTTTTTTTCTTGGAATCTTTGGGCTGGAAATTTTTTGGAATCAGAGAAGTTTGGCAGTGGTTATCATGGTACATGGAGAGAAAGTCGAGGTTTAGATCGGCAGAAGTCTCTTCTCAACAATTCGGTTTTTTATCAGTATATCTGGGTGACCGAATTGAAGCGTCACCAGGAAGGTGTCGGATATCAGGCGTGTTAGATCTGTAGGGGGAGTTGTATTGGGGACTCACAATCATAAAAGTTTAGCATTCAAACGTGCGCAAAATTAGACTTTGCCAGCCATAATCCGGCAATGGAATTTCGATCGAAATTTTCAAAGACCACATAAATAAAACCTAGTTCCCAATGATGATATCTAGCCCGACGTTCTAGGAACAGATCACGTGATATAGTTCGATCTAGCGTGGCTTCAGCAGCACTCATTCAAAGACTAAAGGGGGGCTAAGCGAAGGTAGTCTGACTTTTACCCCACAATTCTTCCCCAGTTTACCGATCAAAAAGATTGAAACAATGTACTAAACCTGACAAGCTTCTAAATTTCATCATTGCAATGACTGATATTCTGATATGGACCTCAATTATGACTACTAATAGTAGACTTGCAATGAATCTCGTCATTAGTATCGTGCTTGACAGATACCGGCGCATGTCTAGAGTGAGAATTCCAAAATTGGTTCCCCCATATTCGCACATCGAAGCTTTAATTAAAATAATTTGATGAACATGTATTTTAACAATTCCTGCTCCCAAGAATATTTTCCTACACATCGCACGAAAAAGCATCGCACAGAAAATTTCGTCAGAGTATCCTGAGCATTTCACAACATCATATTCATCTCACCGCACATTATATACTTACTTATTGTCATATAACTATCTCTCATATTTTCTGAACAGCTTAAGATCATCTATCCCGACATCACCAAATCTTCATCAAAGAAATACCATCTAAACACCACTTCAACATCATTAAAATGATCACAAAGATGATTATCAATGGCAAATTCACCGATAGTACCCTGCCGCCAGGAACCACCTCATTGGATGCTATCTTCATCTCTCCACCATTTTCACCTGCATATGCGACTCAACTAACCCAACCACTCTACCATCCCGCATCCACACTATCCACCCAACTCCGCAGAATCCACACCCGATCTTTTTTCCCAAACCAAACTTCGAGCACAGTCACCGCACCCCAAGAGACTCTAGACACAACAACCAGAATCACGTTGTACACCCTATTTTTCATCATATCAAGCTGCGCGCTCTTCTCGCTCTGCTACTTCCTCAACCATATTTGCAAACTGCACATAACCAAGCTTCAACAGCGATATAACTACGAAGCATACGGCGAATTTGAAGGCTTGATAACGCGAAGAATTTTCTTTCGTTATCGCACGTTTGATGCGGAGGAAAATGGTCGTCCGGTTTCGTCAACTAGGAGTACCGAGAATTGGGAAGCTACTAATCCGGTCAATGATACCAGGGTGACCAAAGCTATTAATGCTGTCAATACTACTAAAGCTGTCAGCGCGATCAATGCGATCAAGGCTGCGAAAGTTGCCGAAGCTACCAAGGCTGTCAAAGCAGCCAAAGCAGGTAAGGCTATCCAAACTGCCAAAACGACCGATGGCCATCCCAGCGAGCCCGAATGGGAAAGCGCCCACTCCTCCCACCTAACCACACCCAACCGTCGCGGAGTAGTATGGGCTGACCTCCCACGACCCAATCGTCGTCTACCCACATCCAAACAACCGGCAGCAGGCGGCATAAAATTCGCAGCACCCCCCCCTCGACCCCCTCGCGCAAACCAGGCCAGGCATGCAAACCCGCCCAAAAGACTCCACAGCCCCCCTCTCCCCCCCGATTTCCTGACCATCACCAACGCAACCACTGCACCGATGGCAATACCAGGGCAGGAGGCCTCCTCGTGGACAGTCGGGATACCGTGGGTAACGACGACAGATCAGGCGCATATTGGGGATGAGGGGAAGAAGGATAGGGAGCGGGATGCGGAGGATGAGGGGTGGGGAGAGATTGATAGGATTATTGGGAAGGAGCGGGATTGGTATGCGGATGATAAGAAGGTTTTGGATGAGGCGAGGAGGAGAGATATGGAGAGGGAAAGGGAGAGTGGATTCGTCCAATCTTGAGAGGAACGCAGTAAACTTTCGACTGGTTCGGAAAGCTTTTGGGCTTCTTAGCGGGTTGAAAAGAAGGTTGGAGTTACTGAATGGAGGATTTAATAGCAAAAGCATGGAAATATAGACAATAGGATCAAAAGTTGACGTTCATAATTGTTTTGGATGGGAGAAGAAATATGGCGATATTTATGAGAGAAAACAGGCAGCGATCACAAAAGTTTGATAGATTTGATGATATGGAAAATCATCAAATATATCAAAAGATTGTTATATATAGATCGTAAAAATAATTAATTTCCTGACAACTGAACTTTGCAAGTCCTCGCGCAGTGGAGTGCGTTTATGTCTGATGAATTCTATAAACCCTTCATCTTTGTGAGTACATATATATATGTCTCCTGACTTATCGAACAAAAAACAAAATATCGTATATTTCCGAAAAGCAGAGCCTCATAATCTGCAGGGTCGCGATGCTATCCCGCATTATGCAATCTGCTTCGCCGCAGGCAACATTGTTGTTGTATCTCCCCTCCTTGGGGAGAGAAAGAAAAAGAAAGAACAACTCAGAGATAAAAGATCAAGCACAGTTCATCGCAAACAAATAATAAATATGAAAGGAACAGTATACTATTACTCGACTACTATTCCTCATTCCGGAAAGCCCGTACAAAGTCCTTTCCGCGGCCAAATACCCAATTACTCCATATGTACCACTTTCGTTATTCATAACATATATACACAATAAAGTTCCGAAACGCCTGGGATGTATGATATGACATCCGAATACATTCCGCATTGGTATTATAGACAAAGGGAAAATTTGTGGACCAAAGCGCTACGGATTATTCCTTCTTTGCTTTTCTGAAGAATTTCGCGAAACTCTTCTTCGGTCTCAATTGGGACGTAGGGGCAGCATCTTCATATGTACTGCCGATTTCAACCATACCTGGAATTGCTGATGGAGCCCATGGTAATGGTTTAGATCTAAGAGTGGCATCCGACAAGGAGATTTTGGTCATTCGACTATTAGAACGTGTTGTTTTTGTAGTGCTCACGACGTTATTTTTTAATGTATCACGACGACGGGTTTGGTCTTTTGATGAAGGAACCTTTTTGCTCTCTGGAATTGGGGGAGGTCGCCGCGAGGGAATAAATCCACTGGGACCGAATCTGTTTGGCGTAAGTTCACCTTGATGTGAAACTAGTGATTCTGATGGGAATGAAGATTTCCTTCGAGGCAATGGTGTGGGTGTGTCATTAATAGGAGGTGGTAAATACTTAGCCTCCACATGATCCATCATAGTGTTGAAAGCGGATAAAGGTGTTGTGCTGTATGCAGTATTGCGCTTGCGTAAGTCTTGTGAGGTTCTCTGAGCCGGTGCAGTCTTCGGTCTATGTTGTTCCATACAATAGTTGACTTTTCTTCGGAGATCGATATTTTGCTCCTCCAATAACTTTGCTGCACTTTCGGCCGCAATAGCCCGCTCAAGAAGACGCTTGTTCTCTGCCTCGAAGTCATTGATAGCATCAATGGCAGTAGCTGCATGTAACTAAAGGTATGAATGAGTATGATAATAAAATAGCATTTCATAGACAACTTACGGAACGTGTAGGACTGAGTGGAGACTTTGAATCCATATTGATCTTTTGGGGTTTGGCTGCCCCAGGAGAAGTATCTTCCAGCTCGGCAATAAATGATGATGTGGCTGAGTTTGGGGAAGCATTTGTAGCTGCCGAAGATAATTCAAAAACGGAATCGACTGCAGATATAGGTGTCATTCTATCAGGAGAAAATTGTTTTGAATGCTGTCGACCTGGTGTAAAGTTACATGCACCTTGTGGGGTAACGAGCAAACTCAAGGTGGGAGTTGGGCCATTTGCATTTCGACGACCAGGAGTAGGAGATGGTCGAAGGTTATCTTGAGAAATTGCATTCTTAATTATTGTTCGTTTCGAGTTAGACGTTGGTTGGGGCCTCTCCCTTGGCTGCATTTGAGAGACAACATGAGGCATGATTCCACGCCTTTCTTAGGGGTATTCACAAGTAACTAAAAAAAGTGCTGTCCCAAGGAAGTGATAGACCTTGATGCCAAAGGTTTAGAAAGAGCTTGACGACAGAAATTCTGGTACAAGTAATTCACCCGAGAAACCCAGAAACCCGAGGAAATATACAGTTGGGTAATTTTCAAAGAAATTATTCCCATACGACGTAAAATTTAAACGACAGTTGAGTTTTCACGTTGAAAACTGGCCTCGAAAATATTGAATTGTAATCAAGGCAGGCTCAGATCCGAGGGCTGAGGCTGGGCCATGGTCAAAGAGATATATAAATATTGTAGGATTGGACCCCATCTCACATTATTTTTTCGACTCGAGCTGGAAGCCTCGATCAATCATTTGAAGTGTGCGAGTATGCGGCAACGACGCTGCGGCCTGGTGTCTCAATGGTAAGAGTCACTATGAACCACTCGATTTAACACAGTAACCTGGAACAGATAAAAAAGCGTCGATTCAAATTATGCAGACGAATCATAAAAGACATTAAAACTTTCGTAACCGCCATGGGGGCGGTCGCTTATCTGGTCATCACTACATCCAACCAAACGCGAGAACCAACGCTTACGGCGCAGTGGAAAGACTCGGAAGTAAAGCAAGAACAAGTAATACTAGAGAAGAGAAAAGGACGCGATTGGAAGCGAATGATAACAGCGAAGAGATCAAGTAAGAGAATGTGAATACGGAGAAAAGATACCTCGTAATCGATTTTCGAGGGGAGTTTCAGGTCCTGCAATGCACCCTAACTCACATCATAAGTGTATTCTTCGTCTGAGCATGGAATAATCAAGTATCAATGACGGTTCTTACACCAATGATGAATGTATCGCGAGTTTCGAAAATAGAACCGGATGGATCAGGAAGCCTTGGAGTTGGATGATGGCGTCCACATGATCCTATTCGCTGCATATGTATATGTATAACTGTTGGATTTTGCATCAACCGGGTTTCCTTGAATCATATATCATTGCTTTTGGTGAAGGAAGAGAAGCAAACAAACATTGTAGAGCACAAGAGAACACAGACAAACAAACAAACACATCACATCACAACCCATCGTATCGTATCATATCACGAAGTGCGTGACGTGAGTCAACAGTACCCGGCACAACTTGATATGAAGAAAACCAAGATGCGGCATCTGGGTAAGTACCTGCCTAGGTGGTCAAGGTGGTGTTCAGGAGAATTGTCATTTTGAAGGTCTGAAGGATTCATGGTCAGAATATATCAGCTAGTCTGAATTAGGTATCAAGCAGAAAGGTTGAAGTTCAGCCATGGACGCTCCCACCAATCGAAGATACGGTAGCCGATAGGTGCAAATAATGGTGGTAAGCTTGATTTACTGGGTACAGAGGTACATTCACAGTCACTCGCATTTATCAAGTACTTATCGCTATCTTCATTATCTATCAATTAATTTTGTCTTTCGTTTTTCTCTCCAACGATCAATCACTCCAATAATCAAATAATATGGGCTCACCTGAAACCTCGAATCGTCAGAAGGATTATTCTTCACGGCGACATTCTAGGTCCCCCTCGACAGATTCCGAAGAAGAAAGAAGGCGGAGGAGGCGCAGGAGAGAGCGAGAGGCTGACCGTGGATCAACTCGTTCCGACAGGCATGATGATCGTTCCAGAGGCACGAGAGATAAACATGAAGATAAAGTGAGATATCGCAGAAGGTCGCGTAGTCCAGTTGATTCGGATTCTTCTCGACAAAAAGACAATCGAGATTCACATCGCAGAAGATCGCGCAGTCCTCGACGAAAGGATGATCGAGATTCACATCGCAGAAGAAGAGATAGATCTCGCGACCAAAGACGAATTAAGGATGAAAATGATAACGACAATACCAGGTCGCTGGAACCACCCACGAAGTCGGTAGCATCTCGAAAACAAAACGGTCCGCTACCATCCCAAGCTGCATCGTTTCAGTCGAAGAAAGATCCATCCTCAACGGCTCTCGTAACCACCGGAGACGAGCCGGTACCAGAAAAAGAGAAACCGAATTTGGGGCACACGGGAGTCTTAGCAGCAGCTTCCAATACAATTACACAGGCAGATGGAAATTCTATTGTTCTAAAATATCACGAACCACCTGAAGCATGCAAGCCACCATCTAAAGACGACTGGAAACTTTTTGTGTTTAAAGGCGCCGACATTATTGAAACAATTGATTTGAGTGCGAAGAGTTGCTGGCTTGTTGGACGAGAACGTGCCGTGGTGGATTTAGTTGCGGAACATCCAAGTATCAGCAAACAACATGCCGTCATACAGTTCAAAGCCACCGAGAAGATGAATGAATTTGGAGATAAGATTCGCAAAGTCAAGCCATACTTGATCGATCTTGAATCTGCGAATGGTACGATGATGAACAAAGATTCGATCGACGCGAGTCGATATGTTGAGTTAATGGATAAGGACATGATACAGTTTGGTCACAGTACAAGAGAGTACGTCCTAATGTTGGCACCGAGAACTTAATCAAAAGGAAATTCTTGAAAAAGGTGGTTGTCATCTATGGTAACATGCTTTCGGAAGTTCCTTTAATACTTATCATGCTATACGATTTGTACCATATCAGAGAAGCAGAAGTCAGCTGCAACTCGTCAGCAGATATTCAAACCGTGCGGAGGTATGAAGATCTTTGAAGGGCAAAGAATATGCATGTGTTCAAAAGTTAAATCTTCACAATCCTCACTAATTCTCAATGTCTCACTTGACTTTGGCGCCAGTACCACCTATCAAGGTCACCGCGGTAATTTCGCCGAGAAACGCAGATAGAGTTTAAAAGCTTGAATGATTTAGGGCAGTTAGGTAGAAAGCAAGAGTGCCGGTGCTAAAATAGATCCTTCGTGACAAATCAAGCGTATTGAAATGTTGAGCCTCATACTCGTATATAATTTATAATTGTCACTTATCACTTGTGAACAACCTTGGAAATGCATAGGTAGGTAATTAATGTGAAGACTGTAGGGCAGATTTAGATGATGGAGCCCCAGACTGCTGTGTGCCTTGATTACCTAGGCAGGTCACATTCCTTCCGGTAGAACTTTATAAGCCCCTTTCACGTGATTTGTTTCCTCTACGTATTGGCTCTACCTACCTAGTCTACCTAGTATCTCTCGAGATCTTCAAAGCATGCGCCTCGATGAAGATATTTGGGGCTCAAAATGTCGTGGTAGGAGGATTCGTCGTGTCATAGATAGACCAGGTAGCCATTCGAGAAATTCCACAAAATACTCTCTTGTGTTACAAGCTCACTCAGCTTACCTAGGTACCTACCTCTAACAGAATCTATATACTAAATACTGAATACCACCAGCGAGTACTTACTGAAATGATTTATAGATTGAATATAAAATTCGAAGCATCTGCCGTTGTTCTAATAACAGAGTAGCTACTTAGAATATGAGCATCCATAACCGTACGACATCTATCCGCTACTAATCTGCGATCCGGAGATATCTAGCTACCTAGCTAACTCGTAGAACCACGTATCGAGTATTGGGGCGTACCTACCTCCCTCGTACTCTGTACTCGTCTTGAAGCGCAGCATTACAAACGCGCATATATCGGACGAATTGTATGACTGACGTTTTGATCATCTTCATGAGCCATGCAAGCCATACGCAAACGCGTCCCGTCGATGAGTGAGAATTATCTGAAGGGGAAGAAAGACCTTCTTCCTCTGTATCCACATGATCAAGATTGCATCAACTGTTCTATATATTACTAAATTGACGTCAGAATGGTTTTTAATATCTGCCGGCGTCTCTACTCGTCGTGCTGTGAGTGCAGTGAGTGCTACGAACATGTATGAATGCTTCGGATGGATGGCATCTCCACCTGGTAAATGGTTCTCTAAATTGTATTTGAGTTCTATCGTAGGTAGGGCACATATTTTATAGATATATTTAAAATTGAATGGTTATATGTATTGATACGATTTTATATTTTTATATTTCTATATGAATCAATGTGACAACGAGAGTCGGAATATATCATCTCGAATTCTCATCATTCATGTTTCCCCTGATACAATCATACAAAGTACCACAAAGCTCCCCTGATACTAATACAGATAGGTACTGACAATGATGCTGCTGCTGACGCCGACGCTGACACCGATATGCTAATGCGGATGCAATTACGGCGCCATCCCGCAGGCAAAGAATCACCCTCTAGGATGGATGGGATGTACACAGTACCTAGCCGTACCCGTAATAAACCCTACAAGCGTCGTTCATCCCCTCCACCACATTCGCCATTTTTAGAGTTGAAGTTGTGAGACAGCGAGGATGGCTCGATGGATGGTTTGAGAATGGGGATAATAGGGCGAAATGACTGGGGAAGGGCGTTTCGTAGGTGGAAATATAATATATAACATAACTATATCTACTAGGTAATATACCTGGGTATATGTGGAGTGGAAGTTCCTCAATGGTTTTAGTAAAAATGCTAACTTAAGCCTTTCAAGATTCTCTTAATAATAACTCTATTAACCCTTTTAGCCCTTTTAACCCCTTTTAACCCTTTTCCACCCTATGATGACACCTCAAATTGATTTCATAGCCACCGGTAGCCCTATTTGATGAATCTGATGTCCCCCAAAACTTATACCCATTCCATCTTTGTTTGACCCTAGTAATAAATCACTCTCCCTGGTCTTTCTAGTCCTTCATCCCCATGTCACCAGCTGACTTCAATATTCCTCCAAAATGTTTTCACTTCCATCCCACCATCCCACCATCATTCAACTTCTTGCCCTCTTTCAAATCGCTCACCACGACTTAACTATCTATCTATTACGACATTGCTTCACTTTGCTTCACTTTGCTTCACTTTGCTTCACTTTGCTTCAATCATGTCTTGAACTCTATAAATATTGTTCTTGTGGCGTCGTATATACTTTTCGGCCCCCGTGTGACTAACACCCCAACCTCCATTAGCGCGTGCCACAATCTTCACGGGTACATTTTATATTCAGATACACCGAGATCTTATATGCCCTGGGTACGTCAATCGAGTCAGGCAGACGTCTCCGATACTTTGCGTCCGCAGGCTTACTTTCCCCAGTCTTCATGACACTTTACTTAGCTTTGCGATTCCATCCTTCATTCGTCTATATAAGTCTTCACTCTTTCATGCTTATTTATATATGCAACCATACGATTGAACTCGAGCTTCATCGCGGACCAACGAAGATCTCGACATGGTAAGTGAACATTCCTTTCCCCAGATTCCAGCGCTCTTCCCGTCGGTAAGGGTCCAGCAGGGATCTCGGAATTCTTCGGCTGATTTGGTGCTTTGGCAGGATGGATCCGCTATAAACCCCAATGAAATCAATCGCTTCGAAGTCACAGAAGTCTATGCACATCCCCAAGCTGAAGTAGACATCGTACTGGTTCACGGATTGAACGGTCACCCACAGCATACGTGGACGGCTAAGAATGGTATATTCTGGCCCACGGCTCTTCTCCCAGTGACCTTCAGCTCCAAAGATCCAAACAAATCGGCAAAGGTTCGAATACTCGTCTACGGATACAATGCGGATGTGGTAGCTTTTGCAGAGAAATCAGCCTCGCACGACAGGATACACGAACACGCACAAAGTTTGGTTTCTAGTTTGGCGCTAGAGAGGAAGAGTGAAGAGGCCGAAGAAAACCCAATCATTTGGGTTGCGCATAGTTTGGGTGGTATCTTGGTAAAACGAGTAAGTAGCACCATCCACTGGTTGTCCCCACAAGTTTATTAATACTTACGCATCTCCCAGGCACTAGAGATTTCCCACGATTATCAAGGAAAGAGCAATGACGAGATTCGTTCCATCGCTGTCTCGACCTTCGGTATCATATTCCTCGGTACTCCTCATACGGGTGCTGATCCAGCGAAATGGGGATTGATTTTCCAAGGGATGGTATCGGCTTTAATGCCGAAGAAAGCTATGGACTCGGAATCGATTCTCATCAAAACGTTGACGACAAATAATGAAACGCTTGCCAATATCAATCTTCATTTTCTCGACATTTATCAACGCTTTAAGATTTGTATGGCACATGAAAGTTTGAAGACGGATTTTAAAGGAACAAAAGCTTTTATCGTTGATCAAACTTCCGCCAGTCCTCTACTTCCAGATGTTTCCTACTTTGGTATTGAGGCTACACACAGCGGCATGTGCAAATATGAAAGCAAGAGAGCACCAGGTTACATGAATGTCTCTACCAAGATTAAGACATGGGCTTTGGAAGCTTCCCCGGTAATTCGTGCTCGATGGAGACATGAGATCAAGAAACGAGCCGAGGAAACAGAAGCGCAAATCAGAGAGCTTAGAGGTCAATTCGAAGATGTACGCCCTCTATGATCTTGGCCCAGGAAATTCACTAACAAATTCGTAGCCAACTTTAGCGCCTGGAACTCCAAAACAACCACAGGGTATGTACCATGGTAGCTCGCCGAGTCATCATCAACCTGTGTTGACTGAATCTCCACGAGCAAGACCTATTTTTGATTATGAGGTGTCGGAAGTTGAGGAGGAAGATTTTGAGATGGCGGATCGTTGGAGTTGATCGCCACGGTTCTCTTTCATCTGTACCTCGGGCGTTGAGATTGATATTTTCTTATAATATTTTCTTTGGTCATGGGAGCTTTGCGTTGTGCTTTTTTATATTGTTGGCGGGAAGCTGATTTGTTTGGTTTCCGTAGATTTATCGAATTCAGTACAAACTATTGCAAGTTTTGAGCCCGATATGACAGACGATAGTGCAGAATATTTTATCAAACCACCCGGATTTCGTCCCAATTCCATATTTGTTGGCCGACGAGAAGAGTTGGCTGAAATGCATAGAATGCTTTTTGATGAACAGCGAAGATCTCAAGGTTCATGTGCTGTTTTGATTCAAAGTATGCCTGGTGGTGGTAAGACTCATTTGGCTCGACAGTATGCATTTGAATACCGACACGAATTTCCCGGTGGCGTTTTCTGGATTCGAGCGAAAAGTAAGCAGGAAATCACAGCAGGCTTTTGGCAAATCGCGAAAAAGGCAGCGTTGAAACCTTCAATGGTTAATGAAGATCCAAAAGTTCTCGACAATCCGGATCAATTTATTAAATTGGTCAAGAAGTGGTTAAATCATCGACATCACTGGCTTTTAATCCTGGACGGTATGCACTTTGATGATAGCTTACGAAGATTCATTCCCGATAGTGTCAACACTAGTATTATCTATACATCAACGGAAAAGTCTGTCAGTGGCGATCATCATTTTATGAACCCCCAGGTTTTGAAATTACCAGCACTTTCCGCAAGAGAAGCTCAGCATCTTTTATTACGAGAACTAGACAAGAAGGAGCCGTATGTTCAAGATGACCTCAGACACTCCATGGAACTAGTTCAAGCAATGCAATTCTTACCGGTAGTTATTCACGTCGTCGCTCAACGATTAAAAGCCACAGATGAACCACTTGCAAGATATGCTAGATCTTATGCATCGGCACCAAAGGGTTTAAGGGAACTTCAGGCTTTCACATCAGTGGTTGAACAATTGGAAAAGTTGGGTGCTTATGAAACTCTCAATCTAATACATATCTTGTGCTTCTTCAGTCAACATCTTCCGGTTGAGATGATTGCACTAGGTAAGTGCATCATACGCATATCTATTTCCTCAATGGGTATCTATCTATACTAACACCATCATTAGGCCTGGATGCACTCGATGTTCCTATTAGAGCCAGCGAACCTATTACTGGTAGATCATTAAATAACACCTTTAAAGTATTGAACAAATTCGCCTTAATTGACCGGAACGAACACGAAGCCTCACTCGGCTCTTCCCAAACTTCAAAAGGTAGCAGAGATTTGTTGTCAGATGATATCGATGTTATCAGGCTACATAGTGTCGTTCAAGGATTCTTCGTGGATACTTTGCATGCAAAAAAAGAATTGCCAATGTGGCTTGATCGAGCTATCTCAGTTTTCTGCTACTCATTTGAACAAGCAAATGATCGCATCACACAAAAAACACGCACTGGTCTCGTGGAAGACTATCGACTTTACGAAATCCATGGCATGAGACTTCAAAGTCATCTCGAGAGACACAAAAAGGAATACATCAAGCATCACAAGAAAGAGACTTTAGATCCGGATGCGACTTGTATCATGTTAGATGATGTATTAACTGCAATTAGAAGTGAAATTCAACGACGTACTCCGGAATCTTCTCACGTCATTGCTGGAGGTCAACCGGAAGCATTCCAAACATCGATATTCGATCGGACGGGTAGCTCATCTGATACTGGCGCCGATGCTGAAACACCTGCAGACAAATTCTGTGATGGTTCTCCTTGGGTCCTTGGGCCTCACATTGAATCCCCCAAGAGTCTTGTTCATGATCCGGATTTCCTTCAACAGGTGGAGAATATCAAACAAATTCGATTCCCACCTCAACTTCCCAAGGAAGACACGGGATATGATAGTGAGTTAGAAGGCTCTACCATGACACTACAGCCACCAAAGTCTTTGGCCCCTTCGGCTGGTTCTCCTGAAAGTCCTGGGGGTCCATGGGAAGTAGTCAAACCTCGGCGTTCAAGGGTTACGGCTCCGAAGCTCGATCTTCATAGAACCATTCGTGCTCAGGAATCAAGAAGATATCGAAATCGTGCGGGTTATTTTCGTTCAATGACCCCCGGAGGGTTTTCCGACCCACGTGTGACTAGTGTTACAGCACATGGTGAATTACAGCAACCTGCTATTCGACCACAATCTCGTGGTAGTTTGTCTGGTCAATCTAGTGCCAGAGTAGCACTCGCTCATATCAGTAAATCGAGTCCACCTCCAGTTCGAGGAGGTGGTCCTATTCAAAATCGAAGAGCCCCCACGCATAAGTTGACGGAAACCAATCTTATCACTAGGACACCAACTTATGCATCGGCTGTTTCTGGCCCAACGAGAGATACAGCTTCGAGACATGGCACGGAAGAAAACTTTAGTGATACGACATCAAACCTCGGATACCCAGAACCAACAACAGCTGTTGCCGCCTTACAGCTTATTCCTCATGATACAGAGTCTCAACCACCACAACCACACGTACCTTATACTCGTATGCCACCATATCCTCATACACCGGATCTGTATTATCGACAACCATATTCTACTACGAGTAGCAACATGTATAATACGCCAAACACGAACAACAGTCAAGATGGTTTCAAACCGATACCAGATCCCTTTGAGAATATCTATCCGATCATGCCAGGTCCACCTCCTTTGACAAGATCTTCAATACCATACACATCATTGTCACCATCACTAAAGAGGGACCTACCCCACGATTATCCGAGTTGGGATTCACAATCTTATCCCAATTCATTACATAACTCGATGCACAATCCAATCCCACATCAAGGCAATCCCCAAAATCCCCATCATCTACTTCGACCAACTCAATTCCAATCAATATCCTCACCAAACCTTCTTCCTTCTCAGTATCGCCCCACCCCTTCAACATACTACCCCGGCCGTCCCGAATTCTCCCACTCCGATACAACAAGTATAACAACCTCGCGCACCTCCCCCCAAGAATCAGGCTACACATCTCAACCCCTTTCCCGCAACCCCTCTGGTCAATCAACGCACTCCACTATTTCTCTCTCCCGACCTTCCGCTCATCCCAGCTCAAACTCCACCTCCGCATCCAAACAACGCCGTACATCTCTCGCCGAAACTGAACCTATCCCCCAACTTCCCTTTTCTCCTCGAGTAGGTCCGCAGGCCATGAGTCCACAGATAAGCTATCAAATCTCCTCAGCTCACTATCTCAATCACGCACCCCAAGATCGCGAAAGGGGAATGGTAAGGAAAAGTCCGAGATTAGCATTCGCGCGGGCGGTCGTGGGTGATGATGCAGCGAGAATTTTGTACGAAAATCAGGAGAGGGAGAGAGATATGCAGAGATTGGTACAGGGACAGGGACAAAATCAGAATCAATATGTTTCGTTGCAAGCCAGGATTCCGAGGACGTTTAATCCTTTAGCGCCGAATTTTAGTCCGAGGATGAGCGCTGCAGGGAATCAAAGTCAGATGGGATATTTTGGGCAGAGTGAGGAGAGGAGAGCAGGGGTCGGGGCTGGAGTGAGGGATTTGAGTTTTGTTTATCCGAGTCCAGAGATGGGTAGTGAGGGATTTGGAAGTGCGACTGCGAATGGGAATTCAAGGGGGATAGCGGAGACAGAACTCCAAGCCCCGCTCATGAAAAGAGGTGGGAGTAGTGGGAGTGGAGGTTTAGTGGTTGGTGGGGGGAGAGTCGTCGAGTTTGGAGATTTGGGAACATCGCAGAGATTTCAGGCGCAGAGGAATTGGAGTGCGGAAAGAGGGGGCATGATTGAATTCGGGGAGACGGGATTGGGGATTCGGACGGGTGGGGAGGGGGGAGTGAGGGGGGATGGGAGGGGTTGGTATGGGGAAAGGAGGAGTAGGAGTCGTTGAGGAATTTGATTGGAGGTTGGGATTGGGGATCATGTATTCTTCTTCTTTTTCTTCTTATATTTTATCGATTGCATGGATATTATCATGGAGTTTTGGGCAACGCACGGCACGGCACAACACGGCACGGTACGGCATCGCATAGCGTTGGGCGCAGGATATACCATATACCGTAGATATACCACGGAGAGAACTCAGGAACGAGGTTTATGGGTTTACATGTACGGAGATGTACACATATCGGAGAACATAGATGCATGATGATTGCACGATAATGGCATTAAAAAGAAGGAATGGGCTGCTGGGGGTTTTTTTAGCATAGAATAGTATAGCTTGATACGACGGAATGAAGATGAAGAAAATGAAAGAAGAATAAATGTTAGTAGGGAAAGTGGGAAGGGGGACGGCTGGTTGGCTGATGGTGTATATGTATGTTATGTTGATGTTTATGTCTTTGTTTGTGAGGATTCTGTATGATATTAGATGATACCCTGGGATGTGGAAGGGTATGTGGATGCGAATATGGATATGGGTGTAGATTTTATTTTTTGTATGGGTTGTGGATGGGTAATAGATGGGGGGAAGAGGGGAGAGAGAGAGAGAGAGAGAGAGAGAGAGAGAGAGAGAGAGAGAGAGAGAGAGAGAGAGAGAGAGAGGTGATGAGGTATGTGTAATTATAGATGTTGAAACGGTGAGGGGAGTAGGCGGAGGAGGGAATGGGAGTAGGTGCATGGAGTGGGGGGATGGAGTGGGGGGATGGAGTGGGGGGTGAAGTATGTATGTAGGTATGTGTGCAGGTATGTAGGTATGTAGGTATGTATGTAGGTAGATATCATTTGGGTGTTTTCAATGTTTTTTAGTGATTTTTTTTAGGGGGGGCTGTTTATTGAGATTGGGATTGAGATTGAGAGTCTTTACTGGAATTGAGATTCAGATTTAGATTCACATTTCATGCGAGAGTTGAAGTTGGGATTGGGATTCATTTTTGTATTCCCTATTAGAGTTAGGAAAGATGTAATTCGATATGATTCGATTATAGGATAAGAGAGTGAGAGGGAAAGGGGGGAGAAAGGGGAAGGAGAGGAGAAGGAGAATAAATTGATAGATGTGGTTTATATAAGATTTAAGAGATGAGGTTGGGGGTTATTGAATGATGAGTTGATTAGATTTGATCAGATTAGATGGGTGGTTGATTTGTTGTGTGGATGGGAATGAATGGTGAGAATAGTCGGGAGGATATGTTGGGTTAGTTTCGGTGTGTAGGTAAACTTTTGGATAATGTGAAATGAATGGATGGAATGAACAGAGTCATATCATAGCAGTGATTGGGATGGGATGGGACGGGATAATAAACTCCTCTAATCTAGAGTATTGATTAACCGTTTTAGATTTGTGGGATGTGTGGAGGTCACCGTCGGAATTAGTAAATGAATTTGTATGATATTCTAGACTGGATGAAAGACCAAGGAAAGAGAATAATAAAGCTCGAGTTTGTGTATTGTGATTGTATATGAAGGAATCTATTTTATGGGTGTGGAAAGGGTGTAGAATCAATGATGCTATGGATCTAACTTACAGATATTAATCCACCCGCACCTTCCAGATATCCCTAACATTTAGTGAGATGAATCTCCTTTATTCTTCGTCGACATATCATCAGATTAAAATTGTACGGTACTATATGTACAGGACACTTTGATATAGATGTATGAAATGCATTACTCATAAATCTTCATAACCTTTGGCAATCGCGCAGTAAAGTGACTCCGTGATGACGAGTGGTAAATATTTAGTCTCGTCTAGCCTCGCTAGTGATGAGCCTAGCTGGAGATTCGATCTACTTTGTATGCTATTCTTTTTGGTGACCAACCAAATGATACTTTTTGGAACGATCAACCTCCCTACCATGATATTCCTAGGTTGAGCATGGAATCATTTCGTACAGAAAAAGCTTCTTTGGTGGAATGAATACCTCGTACTATTCTAAGTAGAATACTGATGTTTTAGTCCCGAAGCTTAGATTTGACAGGTATATAAAACAACTCCACCTCCCCAAAATTATCTTCACATTTCCCATTTTGAGAAAAAAAAAATCCCACCATCCAACCACGAATCTTCCAACTCCGTACAAAGACAAACCGCTACACGAAACCATGAATACCCCTACTTTTCCTCCCAAATCAAATGCAACGATCTGGGAAGCCACCTGGGAAGCCGACGCCCTAGGATTTGCAATCTCTAACAACTTCAAAATCCAGTACAAAGTCAACCCCACACCTTGGTTAATGTATATGTGATGTTTTTATTTTGTGATATGCGCCACCGCTATTGGAGTTTTCACGATGCTTTTTCTCTGCTATGCTTCTGTATATGGTGGGAGAAGTAGGAGGAGAAATCGAAGAGTCTTGCGGAGATGAAAGTAGAGGAATGTGAATAAGATGTATTCTCTCGCAATGATAAAGCCGCAGAGAAGGATTTATATGCAGATGATATGTCCACTGAGAAGTTATGATGGTTGGTGGAAATGCCTTTGTGGATGGGACCGCGGCAATTGATGCTGAAAAGTGGAAGTCATTCGGAGATTTCAATGGTAGCGAGTCTCACATATATATTGCATTCTATCCAGTTGATATCTCTATTTCGCACTATTCGTTCAGACATAAAAAGAGCTGTGAAATGCGAAAAAGAACATTTCCGACTGACGGCGAAGAGTTCCACCATGCATCGGATCTCATGTAAAAGAAACCACTTGATGATTCGGATATCTAGTCGACAGGGTGGCGAATCATAAGATTATGATGGGGTAGATCAATATGTCATTTTTCGGGTCAAGAGAGTCCAAGTGAGGCGTGGGGATCAAGCTGTGCGAGAATGATAGAAGAGACATGGGATTTATATTCAGGCCCTCGAAGTTCCGGATTGCATTACATCATTTCGAAGTTTTCGATACTCGGAAACAATTCAAGATTCGAGGTCTCTTTGGTATTTTTGGTCATTTGAATATTCTATTATGATTTACGATCTGAGAAATTATAAACGATAGTCATATATAAAAAGGAGGTTACGCGGGAGATCTTTTACGAATACGGTGGTTTGGTAGAGTCCTGTTCCTTTTGCCGGCTTTTCCCAACGCTACAGACCATATTGTCATCCGAATCTTGTTTCAGGCATAAGAGGAAATTCGGATTTTGTATACCAAATATAGCGATTCAAAGAAACGGTATCTATTTGAAAGTAGTAGAAGCTTATATAATGTAATCATAATTCAGTAAATCCATCACCCCCGAGCTCTCTAATAGATGGCGGTCTGTTACAGATCCAGGGAATTCAGTAGTGGGAACTACCGTTTAACAATTAAAACCTTTAAAATTCTCAGTCTCCCTCAAGTATTAAGTCAATTTAAGTCAATGAATTCATGAACTCGATAATCGTATCTGCAAAATCTCAAATCTAAAATGTTAAAATAGACTACAGTCCGGAATTTCGAGGAAGCTGTCTAGGTGTAGTGTCCAAATGGGTTTGATGCTTTTATACATCATGCCTCTTTCAAAGTTTGAATTTGGATTCGGTATCACGATATAGCCTGTGATCTATGCCAACGACCAAACTACATGGGACTCAAGTAAAGAGTAGAGTATATGAATATAGAGTGATACTTACCGAAGACCGATTCTGGAGGTTTGGTGAGGAATAGAACTAGATATTGATTCCGGCTTTGGGCGATTCCTCTATTGATTGACCATATGGTCACACCATAATTTCTACTGGAATACATCATGCCGTAATTCCACCAATTATCTAATAATATTCAGATGGAAAATAAATGGTATCCCACGGCAAGTATCTGACGCGATTCTTCGTCTTGAGAAATTAATGTAATGTCCCACTGAGAGATCACAGATTTCCAAATTCATAAATCCATACCTCGACGTTTCCCTACTAATAGACTACGGGAATCGGGATTGGTACCCAACTGACTCGGTCGCTCGAGAGCTTTATACCCTCTAAATGAGTCAAAAGACATCAAAAGAAGCAGACAGAGAAAGAAATCTCGGAGAAGGATTCAATTATGCTTGAAATTTTCTTTTCTTCGAATTCACCATGTTGAAGGGTATGTAGGATTCGGAGCTCCTCTCTGCACAAAAAATCACCTAGAACAAATCACCAATCAACTTTTAGGCAGTATATGAGTAGCCAAGCAGGATTTTATAATTTGAATTTGAAATTAGTTGATATTGGCTAAGCCAGATACCTGTTACCTTCATGTATTATAACGCGCTCCTTCAGTTGAACTAAATCGTTTGAACTTTCGTACCTCTAAACACACGTTTCGACACCCATAACCTATAATTCCCCCAACATCCTGTCCTAGTTCAACTCCCTGGATCAGCTTTCATCTCAATTCTCATTCTCGTCAACATCAAGAAATGCCCAAGCTCGCAATTTCACCTTGCTCATTAGAATTTTGTGCACCAAGTTTGTATGAGCACTTCCACCTCATCTTCACCTGATCACCCTTCCCGTGCTCCACACCCTGAAGGTAAATTTTCTGAGTGATGCCCGAATTTTGATGGGGATTAAGCCTTCGTCCACTTTGAGGTTGTAGTCGGAGTGTATAGCCCTTTTATAGTGTTAGCATTCTTGCATTATACTGAAGATAGATAGAAGAACAATACCTTTGTGACTGCGGCTTGAAATGTTAAGTCAGATATTGGTTCGTTTGAATTATTTGAGAATGCAATTGATAAAGTAATGACATCAGGTGTAGTAGGTTCGCGAGTAGCATTTAAGGATATTTTGACGTTGGTATTACTAATGGTTAAATCGTTGGTAGATGGAAGACCTTCGGGTAAGGCAGAGGAAAATGCCCATTCATCGTCATCCACTGCAGGTGCTGGGGCATTCGCTGGATGTGATACTGGGGGTTTAGGATTCGCAAAATCGAAAATGGAGCCAGATTGTTGAGGGGTAGATTGCCTTGACGGGGATGTAAGAGCAGCGAATGGATCAATATTTGATGGGGGAGGTCTCGCGGCTGCAGCTTGTTGCTGTTGTTGTTGTTGTTGAAAGAGGGATGGTTGTGGAGTAACGGATTTGGAAGGGGGTTGTGATCCAAATGCAGAGAACGCTGAATAATCAGGTTTCACGGGTAGATTTGAAGGTACCGGAGATCTTGTTGGCGTTGGTCCTCTGGCTGTACTATTTTCAGTTGTTGAAGACATTAAAGCAGGACCAGGAATATCTAGAGCTTGTTAGGATGTTGAATTTCAACCATATGTAGACAACTCACTAGTATTGTTACCAAACCCAAGGGAGATGCCACCCTCTTGACTGTATGAGGAATCTCCCATAGACAGCCCCAATAAGTCATTTTCTAAATCACCTGGTTGGGATGTGCTCGCCGGAACATTATTCATAGACGAACTTCCATTGGTCTCCGGCTCTCCATCAAAATCGATCAAGGAAAGTTCATTTGCGGAATTCTTGCTAACCCCTGTACTGGTACCAAGGGTGCCCTTGGCAATCTTCGAAGCTGCATCCACATCGCCCTTCTTCATCAACTTGTACCGCTCCACAGTACGATGGATACTATCATTAATTTCAAGAAGCTTTGCGACAGCTTCATGATCATCCGATTCCTCTTCGCACATCTTTTGTATTTTGGGGTGAGCACTTTGAAGAGCTGATGCAAGTTCTTCGTAGACATCACCCTCCGTCATAACATCTCCAGGCTTGAATTCTTCCAGACGTTCTTCCAGCAATCTCGCTTTCTGTTGTACTTTTCCAACTTCTTCTGCTGCCTTGGCTCGGTAATCCGTTTTCGACCTGGTATCGTATCCAGCCATAATTTTCATTAACCTGTTGGCTTCTTGCAAATCCTCGGGACCACCACGACGAATTAATTCTTGCAATTTCGCAGATTGTGCCGCCTTTTCTTCTTCCTCCATCTCTTCGGCGGATTTTAAATTCTATGATATAATCAGTATCCCATCGAAGTACTCCATACATATATCCATCACTAAACTTACATCGCTTGGATTGAGCACCGCAGCATCCTCTACTCTAACTTCCGGAAATACATATCCTTTGTAACTTAATAACCTATGCATATCCCTTATGAAACCTAAATCCTCTTTGTATCTCGAAGTCTGACATATCGTTCCCCTCCATTCCTCGATAGCTTCCAAGATCTTCATCTGGACTTTACTCGGTCTGACAGGTGGTCGTTCCGGGAACCTCCTCACCAATTCATTCAAAAACTCTTTTGTGCTGATCTGCAAATGAAATGGATAACCGCAATTCTTGACACAAATGTCCAACAAGACAAGTGCTAATATCGCAACATTTGGATTGCGATGATTAATATAATTGACAATTGCAATAGCTGCTTCCCGTGGCGCATTTCCCTTTTTCGAGTTGATAAGGTCGGAAATTTCGAGGTTCATAGCAAGATTTGGCTCGTAATTTTCAGGGGAACAAGCTTGCTGGATATATCGTTGGAGAGGGGAGGGTCCTGGATCTCCCATCATAGAGAACCTGTCTCGTGCCGCCATTCTTGCGGAAGCTGCCTCCATTAGGAGGTATATTCTCCTATATTACCAAGCAGAATGGTTATAGACTGTAAAAAAAGTGTTGATTGTAAGAACTCCGTCGATGAGCTGATGCGGCGCGATAGAGAGAGTTGTAATGAGCTCAGTGGGGTGGACACGATTGGACTTTGGAATGATGAGAGGGTGCTTAGTCATCACTATTCGCAAGGCTGGAACATTTCTTGGCTCCCCACCTCGATTTTTATATCACATCATACATTTACTTTCTCTTTGTAAACAAGTCGCCACTTATTAACGTTCATTTGAATAATCACATTATGGTTCGACACAAGAAAGATAACTTCTCTTCTCGAGGCAAGAAGTATAGCAATCCTCCACGAACTCGAGGCCCTCGCAATAACTCCGACGATGAATCACAACCCCGCTCTTCTCGCCCTCCATTCAAAGCCGCATGTTGGGATCTTGGTCACTGCGATCCAAAACGATGTTCCGGAAAGAAACTCATGAAGCTTAATCTTATGCGAGAATTACATGTTGGTCAGAAACATCAAGGTGTTATTATATCTCCAAATGCGAAAGCTACAATATCCCCGGCAGATCGTGAAATTATGCAACAGTACGGTGCGGCAGTTGTGGAATGTTCATGGGCTCGTACAGCAGAAGTTCCTTGGGCTAAGATAGGTGGAAAATGTGAGAGACTATTGCCATATCTCGTCGCCGCAAACTCGGTCAATTATGGTAAACCTTGGAGGCTAAATTGTGTAGAGGCTTTGGGAGCTGCGTTTTACATATGTGGATTCGAGGATTGGGCAGAACAAATATTAGAACCATTCAACTACGGCAGATCATTCCTGGATATTAATTCGAGTTTATTAAAGCGTTATGCAGCATGCAAAGACGAAGCAGAGATCAAGAAGGCTCAGGAAGTTTGGATGGAGAAATTAGAGAGAGAATATAAAGAGAGTAGAGAGGGTGGAGCTGATGGTGAAGATGATATTTGGAAAAGTGGAAACACGAATCATAGATTACCTGAAAGTTCGGAGGATGAGGATGACGATGAAGATGATGAAGATGAAGAGGGAAAAGACAGTGACGACGAAGTGGATGGAATTTATCTCGGTAAAGAACAACCAAAAAAGAAACCCATACCTGAAGATGATGAGGAGAAGGAGGAGGATGAAGACAAGGATCCTTTTGCCATCTCAGATGATGAGGATGATGAAGAGGAAATGGCAGAACTCAGACGAAGGGTCCTAGCCTCCAAACCATTTGCCAATCCACAAAATTCCAGTCAAAAGGTCGCACCAGAAAAGATTTCAAGACCAGTACCATTGAAAGAAGATTCTGAAGTTGAAGCGGATTCGGATAATGGAGAAGATGATGAATTTGACAACATCATTGATGCTACTCCTGTCACCGATAGGACAGGTATATTAGCAAAAGAGAAAGCCAAGACCGTATCTCCAACCATTGCCAGTGCTACATTTTCAAGGATGGTCGTTGGGGCACCAAAGAAGTGGTAACTAAGAACTGGTAGGTAGCTTTATCACAAATTCAAATAGATCCAAAGTTCTCTTCCTTTTCAAAGTCTAGTACCTGCTGTTCTGGTGGCTCGATGTCTATTCCAAAGCTAAGAGTTCGCTTTACCGGCCGGAATTTTAAAATATATTTAATTCCGCTCACAATTTTTGTAGTCAGCTTAAATCTGCAAATGAATCAGCCTTGGAGCAATACAATACGGTCTGAATTATCTGAACATAAAATCTGGATTGAATATACAGTAAACATATTACAGCCAGCCATACATAAATTCAACATTAATACGATTTCCCCTAACAAGAGTGTTCCAGATGAGAATGATACAGCTGGGATTACTCCATTCTGTAACCAGCAAGAAGATAATCCCCAAAGTTGTAATCAAAAATACTTTAGAACGATCTAATGGTACGCCGGAAGAGACAGTAGACCTAAAATGGTTTAGCCTCATTTAAACGAGTTCTCCTATTTCAACCGGATTCAAAACCATAGCATCATGTACCGACCCAAAATATCTAGTCTATCACTAACTTTACAGCCTTAAACGTCCCCCAAATACGTAATTGTTCAAACTCTTACCAGACAATATATTCCTCATTCTCTTCCAATCTTAACCACAAATTCGAATTAATTTCACTTCTCAAAATTAGTATAACGACATCCTCGCTATCTCAATTACTATCGCGCTCCAAAATCTAAAATCTCAATTCTTTATAACATTTAAGTCGCACTTTTCTCACTCACAATCATGAATTCGCAAAATTCAATTTCGAAAGTCATTTACTGGTTTTGGGCTTTATTTGCTACATCTAAGCCTAAGCATCAAAATTCCACAGAAATAATTGTGAATCAGATTAAAGAACGCTATAGAAAAGATGTCATTGAAAGCCGCCGTCGTATCATGAGTACGAAACAGAGAATGAATGTATTCGTAGAAAGAATTCTGCTTTTCTTGACTAATGGGACTCTCCCTGAATGAATGACGATGGATTGATTGGAAAAAGTTCGTGGGTTGGTTGTACTTGTCTCCTGATATCTATGCATAGGTTTTCGCTAACTTCTCATGCCGCAGATTAAACCATCTTTTGTGGGCATTAAAGGCGCTTGAAGTTATATCGCTGCGATTGGGATTGGATTTAGTATTGGGCTCAACGATTCCAAAGGTCCGACGATTCTAAAAATTAGAAGTCTAGTGTGAGATGGAGTTATGGGGTTTATTTGAATTGCGCATACTGAGATATAATAGTCTCATATTCATAATGTACCTGTTGGAGAAATATATGATAGCCTCTTTTGCGAGAATGAAATAATTTTATCTAGACAATCCCTCCTAGAGTAATCATCAGGAACAATTCGACTTGAAGATGTGATGTATTTAATTATTATCGAACGACTGAATGTCAAATCCTGGTGATGCGATGACGGAATATCCAGCATGAGAAGATGCAGATAATCATAACTTTCCTACTGACCCCGCCCCTGTCAGAGACGGAATCAAACCCATACCAACTTTGACATCGATTCATGATCACATGATTTTGGAGATGCGAAGCCGTAGATTCGAAGGTGAGATTGTCAAGATCCGGTACGTCGCTAATCCTCTCTAGTACGGTCAAATTTTAACCACTAATTCTGAACGTGTATCAAGCCAAGTAACGTATCTAACTCTGATGGATTTACCCATATAAATAGATCATCTAGATAGACCCCTCAGGATTTCAGAGATTCTTGCCTCAAAAGTTCGACAAGTCTACACCTAATCACCCAAACAGTTATCCCAAACCACTCAAACAATTTATCTACACATAACATCACATCCAAGTTATCGACATGGTCTGTTTCTGTATCGGAGCCTTCTTTTCGAAGTTATTCCACAAGCGACATCAAAAATCTATTCAGAGACAGGCTGAAAAAGATGCTCAAATCAAAGTCGAGGAAGAAACTAAGCTCAACACCGGAATGAATGCTCGAATTGAAGCTTGTACCGAATCGGGACCCTTGATGAGAGAGATTACCAAGGAGGAATACGACAGAGGAGTCATTAACTATAGAGAGCACGAACCAATCACCATTACCGTCAATGATGTCCATGGAGTTACGCATATTCAGGAAGTCATCAATTTCAATCCTTCAATCCCCTCAAATGAAGTTGCAAACCCAGAGAGAATCGAAACGACGGGGAAAGAGCTCAGTAGTGGATCTCAAGAAATGGTAAAGGCGGTTGAAGATGGTCGCATGGCTGTAAGCAAGGAATTGGGTGATAGAAAAAGTCTACAGATGGTAGAAGAAACGCACACAGCTATCACCAAGAAATTGAGCGCCACGGAAAGTTTAGAAATGGTAGCCATAGATATGGATGGGACGGAAACGCGCATCAAATGGCAAGGTGTCATTACACCAGCGTGAAAAAGAGCGACAGATGTATACACTGGTTTCTGGGGGTATCTAGACATCTCCGACAGCACGTCGGTACTGAAGCATCATCGATACCATGGTTGGATTTAGTTAGTTGGTAATGAAATAAAGTTCCACGCTTCAAAGTACTAGTGCAGTGACAAAAGTGACATATTATCCCTAGATGGAAGTATTTATTGAGCTCTCTTCCTTTGAAATTTTTGTAACCCATAATTCGCACCTCACATCAGATCACTACTTTATCCCACAAATCCTCATCGGAATATCTTGAAGTACAAATATAATTCTAATTCATATCTCATTTACACACTATTTCCACCATCTCATTCCACATTTACCCCATCTAAATCCCCAAATGCCTTTCTCAATCAGCTCATCCATCGAAAAGCTTTTCGGCCACCGCTGTTGGCATCCTCCTCATTGCCACATCTGTCGAACTGGCATATACAACCGTAAACTCCCCAAAAAGACCCCTAAAGAAACCATCTCCTTCCGATCAATCGTCGACGAACACTTAACCTCAATCATCCGCGAGGATCCCCGATTTTTCCAACGAAGATTTTTCGGTTCCTACATGGGACCTATAACTCTCCATCTCGCCGTCTCGGAAAATGAACACGTGCATGAATATCTTTGTTTCGATTGGGGGAGACCGGAAAGACGGAATTTGGATTTCCAGGAGAAGGTAGTGGAAACTCAACAAGATCTTGTCAAGTCTTGGGAGCGGGCGGAGAGAGGTTCGCCGAAAAATGGAAAAATAATGGTGTATGAAGAGCGTTTTGTGGTTACGCGTGTCGATACAGAGATTTGTCGCCGCATGTATCCAATGAGTCCTACGAGATATTGGAAGGCTAAACATATTTTAACGAGGACATATGTAGATGTGTAATATTCAAATCACGACGTCATTCTTATATATATGGAGGGGACTTGGAAATTCATCATTTTGGCGAGGCGCCGAAGCGGGCAAGATAATGTATCGCTGGAGTTTTGGATATTATTGAGGGTGCGAATATCCACGTCAGATCTGAACATTCAGTTTCGATATCATTGACACATATGCGCAGCGTTTCTAGGAAAAATTATAATATCACGAAGTTTAAACTGACTCTTTTCCAAGCTCGAGAATATGTGACTAAAATGCCTAGCTTCGAGCTAGATGGGCGCTGATCGATGTACTAAGCGAACTCCGTCAAAACCTCCCCTTGATTTTCCGACTTATTTCTTGAACTTTGACTGGACAATAAACTTTCGGCCAATGTCCGATTTGTTTTTGAGTCATAAGCTCTGAGTAAAACTTATCAGATTGTGACAATCCGTCGATATGCAAGATGTAAAATCCGCGTATGGTTAAGATTCCACAAGGGAGATGTGCTACAAAGAGTGCTGACTAACCGTAGACTAAACGAGTTGATCCTAATTTCTGGCAACCTCTATTTCGGGCTATCTTTTCACATTTCAATGTCATGATGAGATTTATATTTAATAACGAGAAGTTTGTTCTAGATTTGAAAAGAGTTATTCAAAACTCGAATATCCATCTGATGATTGGATACGTTCGTGTACTATCATCCCCTCTAAACATCTTTCAATGTTCTTTGGCCAAAGATTCCCCGAACATCTGTTTGGTCCAAATTCTTCCTGTTCTTTCCCAAAAATTAAATACACCCAAGTAAGTGACCACAAAATTTATCTTCTCCGAATTCCACCGCCCAAAACTGACATCAAAGCTCTCGATCATGGATTTGCTGGTAGCTTTCAGCGGATCCGCGAACAGAACCCCAGCCATCCTTTCTATGACTTTCATCAGACTCGCCCCGCCACTCCCACAATCCCAAACTCCTCTGCATCGCACATTTCGTCTCCATCAACCTCTTAATTATCACCGCCCTATCTCTCTCCTTCACAGCCCACATCTAGTCCTCCGTCAAAAACCTCACATCCACATAATTCGAAGATTCCACGTCCGGTACACCCACCCAAAATGGTCTACTTCTCCAATCTCCATACCTTTCAACTGGACAAGGAATTCCCGTTAAAGTTTCTTCTGTTTTTGCCATTTTGATTCGATCTTCTTCTGCTCTCATTTTGGCTTCCTGGATCTCTTTCTTCTCTTGTCTTTTGTAATGTCCTGCTTGAAGGTGTGCTTGACGTTCATCTTCCCTTGCCCTCCTTCCTCCTCATCCCCACCATATTATATGAGTGACATAAGACTCAAACTCAAAGCTCAAATATGATTTATGAATTTAACGCACACATGCCTGCCTATACCCATACCTATACCCATGCACTTACACATCGCCTCATGAATCCCACAATCTACCTTAATATTTAGCTCGCTCACTCGCTAGTGCAAAGAAGATTAAAAAATAAAATAACATCAACATCACACTTCAGTCACCAAAACAAAGATCAAAAAAATGAATTCTCTGATATCAAAGTCCGAATTATCATTTTCATCCCCTACTAATCTGATCTCATCAACCCCCTCCCCCTTTCTCATCACCCATCCTTCCATTCGTCGACCCCATCCCCATTGTCCAATGCTATGCACGCTAACATGTTTGATCAATCAAAAAACGAGAAATAACAAACAACGAAAATCATTATTTGAAAGCCATTCAAGCAATCAAGAAACATCTTATTGCGGACCAGAGTCGACAGACAAACAAACGAAAAAAGAAAGTAAAGTAAAGTAAAAACTCTTTCTCATCGCTCCTAGCTATCACATTCATGGTCTTTTGCATTCTCATATCATACACCTTTTTTTTTGTTCCTTCATGTGCCTGTTTCTCGTTCGTTATTTTGCCTTGACTTTTGATATCCGGTCCTCATCCATCCTGATTATCGTAGGCTAATACCCCTATGGTCGTACGTTCGTTTTCCAGAAAAGCGAGTCGTGTCATGAGTATTTTGATCCATCCATCCAATTCCATTATGTCATTATCGTGAAGACTCGTTCAAGATTCCATGTTCGTTTAATCCAATCCCCCCCCTCTTCAAATTGCAATTCTGTCCCCTCAAATAGCGTTTGCACCAGTTGCTTTGAATCCCTTTGGTGGCATAGTCTTCATCTTTCCACTCGCAAGTTTTTGGGCGGCAAACTTTTCTCTTGCCAACTCGATAGCACTCTTTTGTCTCTCTCCTCCAAATTCCTTCTCACCACCTTTACCCTTTCCGTGTGGCTTGCCAATTCCATCTCCAAGAATTTCCTTTCCAACCACAGCATTTGCATTACCATCTTGACTCTTCAATACCATCTGACTTTGAATGTTCGATTTTCCTTGTGTATCACCACTCTTAACTCTCTTTACCCAATCCGCTCTTCTTCTCTTGAATAAATCCATTGACCAATTTCTCCAAACAATTCTTCCAGTCCAGCTATCTCTAAGTAAAGGTTCGTAAGGCATGAGTGACATGGCGATACGTTCGCAGAGAGAGAATAGGGATGCTGACGAGGTAGAAGTTGGAGTAGTCGTAGTATGTAAAAGGGAATCCAAGATGTGTGTTCCTGCAGACGACAAGGATAATGTGATGATCGGAGGTTGAGGTGTTGGAGTAGCTCCGGCTGAAGGTGATATAATAGAATTGATGAGTTTGCGACGGAACAAAAGGTTTGAAGGGGTATTAGGTGGAGATGGAAGCAATGATGCTTGAATAATGTGAGTTGTAGTTGGGTATAAAGAGAGCGCAAGGATCGTAGAGGTGGGAAGAGCCAATAAAGAATTCTGAATGAGTTGCGCAGGTGGTCCAGGAATCTTAAGCATAGCCTGAGCAAGTAATGATCCGTGAAGTTGAGATGGGCTAGGTTTTGGCAAGACAGGAACCGGAGCTGGTTTATCATCATCAGCTGCTGGAGGTGGTGCTGTAGCCAATGTAAGAGTTTCGAGAGAAATGTCGGCCATCTTCAATATCAACTCATTTTTATCGGATCCATATGCATCAGCAATACTCTTTGTGAGAGCCTCAGTACTTGCACGTCGTACTTGACAACGTTCCAATAAAACCTTGATAATGTTTGTACGTTGTCTGCCAACTAAACCTTCAATTTGAGGGGAAATTTCCGTTATCGCTTCCTCGAGGTCTTCTTTGCTGAGACGATTCAAAACTCGAATGACAACGTAAGATGCGATCTCGTTTCGTGCCAATCCTGCGATTCGATCCTTGAAGATTGCTCGATAAATTTGTTTAAATAACTTTCCTGGACTATGTGTCATGATTGTTTCCAAAACTCTGGATCCAATTTGATCGTAGACAATACCATTAACGAAGATGGCAGATTGACTACCTTCGACGGTAATGTCATCCGGTAAAAGTGTCGAAATGAGAGTCTTCTGTTCGGAATTACCACCCTTTTTGGAGCTTGGATTTGTGAGCTCTAATTCGAGTAGCAATTGTAAACAAGGATTTCCAGTGGGGTGTCCAACCAAAACCTGAATAAAAGCTCTATCCATAGAAGCAATGGTATCCGAAATGATCTTCTCAATTGCCCATAAGAAAGATTCTGGCACGGTACGCTTGTTGAGAGAAAATTCTGTAGGAGCGGTATCCAATCCATTTATGCCAACCTTTTCCTTCTTCTTGCTTTGTAGTAATGATTTTGTCGAAGATTTCTCCAAAGGTCGCCCGGAAAGGATGATGAGTAAAACTCGAAGCGTGTGAGAAGCGAATCGATCGGTGAGAAGAGAGGATAATTGTCCTTCGAGTTCGTCCAACGTGGCTAGAAACAAACTTTCCATCGACTCAGTAATCTCATCTTCTTTTGCCTCTTCTCCATCCTCTGCATCTGCCTTTGCCTCTGCCACTTTCTTCTCTTCCTTCTTTTCTTCTCCCGTAAGTTCCTCGGTAACAATTGAAGCGGATTGAATGAATAACGTTTCACAACAATGGCTTGCGAAACGATGTGACACCAAATGAGGAAAATTTCCGGCAAATTGAGAGAACAATTTCTTTTTTTGCTGAGGTGTACTCAACAAAATCAATCTTTCCATTAATCTCGAACATGATTGACTACACGCAATCTTCAGCTCCTTTCCCTTTGCTTCCCGATATACATTTGCGAGAAAAAGACTTCGCTCTTCATCGGAGGGGAAATCGTTCAATTCGAGTAATTCGTCTGCTCTTCGAAAGTATTCTTGCTCTTCGTCCTCAAGTAATCCATAATAAGGACGGTCCGCAACTTCAATTGCATTTGTACCTGTAGCCGCTGGGAATGACGATAGACTTTTGTCATTATCCAGACCTATGAAAGAAACCTCGTCTTCGATTTGGGAGGATCTTCGCTTTTTCAGATCTTGAGAATCATTATCATGATCTTCTTCCCTATCGGTATTTTCTTCCCTCTTTCTCTTTAAAGTGTCTCTTCTACCTCTGGCATGCTTATTTTCCTTTGGCATTTTGGAAGGATGTGTGGTTTTGGAGGGGGGATTGGGGTCAGTCGAATCGAATTGAGTCGGATTGAGTGGGACTGGATTGAGTCGAATAGGATAGAATTGAATGTAATGTCAAAATGAAAGAATGAAAGAATGAAAATATAATGTAGAAGGAAGATTGAATGTCTATTTTCTCGTCTTGTATTTTCCTTTGAATCCGGGGATATTGGGAGGAGGATGGAGGAAGTTGATGTAATTGAAGAATTCGAATCAAAAGTTTTGGAAATGTGAATTGCGGGCGCTAGCGGTTTATTTTTGTACGTTTTACCTATGAAGTACTGGGTAGTACTGGGTACTGGATAGTGTGAAATAACCTTGTAACGTAGCTGAACTTTCTTGAACTTTCTTGGCAAAATGATGAATGAATGGAGTGAATGGAGTGAATGGACCTTTTAATGGAGACGATCGAGTGATGGATAACGAGGGAATGAACGAGTGAACCAGCGAAACTAGTCAAAGTGTTGGATCGAAGTGGGCTGTGAGCCTTGTCGTGCCTTGTTGTCACATACCTAGGAAGGTAAATAAGAAGAAAAATCCCAGCGTTTATCAAAGCGGTGAGATCTTCAGCCTTTTTTTTTTAATAGAAAAAATCTTTTTTTTTTTCTTTTCTTTCCTTTCTTTGCTTTGCTTTAAGTTTCCGTTTCTCCTTTATGAAGTACTCGCTTGATCCATATATATCTTCACTTCACCTCACTCCATACATAGATGATGATATACACACACACAGATACCCAGGCCTAGGTATATATAAATCACCGCTGTTTCCTTTGGTCCGATATTCTGCCGTTTTTCTTACTCTTCGGGTTCTGCTATGGCCCAGCTCAGGTAGGGTAGAAGGTAGAAGGTAGGAGGTACGAGGTACGAGGTAAACCGGTAGCGACTAGGTATAATGAGTTTATGGCTTTGACAATCCCAAATGACTGATGATGGTGAAATCTTTGCGTCATGGGAATCGAATATATTTTCATCTGTTACTAATATAATCAGTTAGTCATCGCCAGTAATATGTCGTGGATTACGGTTTTGATATAATATTAATCCATTCATCATTGACTGCGTGAGTGAGGTTATAATTTCATGTTGCCGGTACCGGTATATATACATACCTATTTAGACTTATATATCTAAACATATAAACATCTACATACAACTGGTAGTCAATTACCTATCGACTAGTTCTTCATCATGTATTAGTAATTTGAATTCTCTTTTGGAAAGGTTCGGAATTCTCTTTGCTCTATTGATCCTCTACTACCGGTATTGAGATTCTTCTCCCTATTTACGACTCAATTATTACTTACATTGTCACCTCTCCCTCTATCAAATCCTGCCTCACAATGTCTTCAAATGTAACATCACCACCCGCTTTACCCCTCCGGGATAACACGCTTCCAACTGGGCCAGACGCTCCAAACACATTGAACCGCGCCGATGAAGTAGAAGATGTGAGAAAAAGTCCATGCATTCATTCATCCATTCATTCCAAGTTATCATTATCATTACCCCTTCAATCTTATACACATACCAAGCTACATACACATCCGAGCTACACATACCAAGCTACATACACATCCGAGCTACACATACCTACACATACCGTATACCTCATCTCAATATCAAAAACCGTAATCCAGCCAGCCAGCCGGCCATGTCTTTCACCATCTCCATCCTATCATCTCCATGTCACATCAAATCATTGCAATCATAGCATTCAAAAAAGTAACCACAGTAACCATCAAAAGTACACCTCATCTAACAGATTCAATCATCCTAGTTACTCAATGCCGTTCAATCGCTCATCATTCCATTCATCAAATCGGCCGATGAAGATGCCATGACCAAACACACCGGTCATGGAAAAGCCATCCCCGGTGGAGGTCCGCGAACCACTCTTCTCGAACATCACAAACCAGAGAAATTACTCCAATTGCTAGATTTCAATCTTCCCATCAACGGAAAAGGAAAAGAGGGTTTATTATCATCCATTGAGCAAGTGCTCAAATACAGTGTCAATACGTGGGATCAAGGATTCTTAGATAAACTGTATGCAAGCACCAATGCGGTACGTATTCATCTGCATCTCGCTGCATCCACAATTGAAGCGGTGAATGTTGCACATTCAACAAGTACCTCAGCTAAAAACTTGATCGATAGGTAGGAATTATTTCGGAATTGATATTGGCCGTTTTAAATACAAATGTAAGATTAATCCTTCATGGGTCATGTCTTGACGACTGATAACCTTGCATGTCATCCATCATGTCAGCCCTATACTAATTTCATCAATAGGTTCATGTATACCAAGTTTCCCCAGCCTTGACCATTATTGAAAAAACCACGGCAAAAGCCTTTGCCAATCTTTTCGGTTTCAATGGTCCTCACGCAGGAGGTATCTCAACTCAGGGTGGTTCGGCTTCAAACACTACCTCCATGATCATTGCCCGCAATACTCTTTTTCCAGACACAAAACAAAATGGAAATGGAAATCATCAATTCGTCCTCTTCACTTCGGCTCATGGTCACTACTCCCTGGAGAAGGCCGCTCAAATGTGTGGTCTGGGGTCCAACAACGTGATTCCCGTCCCCGTCGATCCTCAAGGTCGTATGATCCCCTCCGAACTCGACTCCCTCATCAAAAAGAGCATTTCCGAAAACAAAACCCCCTTTTACGTAAACGCCACCGCCGGAACCACCATCTATGGTTCCTACGACCCCTTTACCGACATCTCCGCCATCTGTAAATTCCACAACCTCTGGTTCCACATCGATGCTTCATGGGGTGGTCCCGCCATTTTCTCTCCCACCCACGCCTCCAAATTGAAAGGATCCCACCTTGCCGACTCTCTAGCCGTGAACCCGCATAAGATGTTAAATGTCCCCGTCACCTGTTCCTTCCTCCTCGCACCTGATATCTCAAAATTCCACAAAGCAAACACCCTCCCCGCAGACTACCTCTTCCACACCATCGAAGACGGAGCCGAAGTCTGGGACCTCGCAGATCTCACTTTGCAATGTGGTCGTCGTGGAGATTCTCTCAAATTAGCCCTCTCTTGGATCTACTACGGTACATCGGGTTTCCAGAAACAAATCGATCATGCTTTTTCCGTGGCGGAATATTTTGCCCAGGTGGTAGAGGACCATAGTGATCTAGTACTTGTTTCGCAAAACCCACCGCCCTGTTTGCAGATTTGTTTCTACTATGCGAAGGAGGGGAAACTAGGGGATAAAGAACAAAATACAAAAATCACACAGGATGTAGCGCAGAAATTGTTGACGAGAGGATTTATGGTGGATTATGCGAGTGGGGAAAAGGGGAAATTCTTCAGGGCGGTGGTGAATGTTCAGACGAGACGGGAAACAATGGAGGGGTTGATCAAAGCTATTGTGGAGATTGGTGAGGGTGTCGCTGTGTAGATTTTGTAAGAGAAGGAGTTGGAAAGGAAGACGGGTATGAGAAGTTTTCATTGTTCTTCGAGAACTAGATGATTGGAACGAGTAATTTTTATCAATTTTATTGTTTCCAATTCCACAAATCACAACGAGATAACATCAAACGAATTATTTCTATCAGAATCCAGGCAAACCCCCATTAAGTAATAGCCAACAAACGAACAAGACGACCATTTCATACATGCATCACAAAACTCCCTCCCTCTTTCTCAAACCCCATGCAAAAATCTCCCTCTTCAAAAACCGGTTGAAACTGGAAATAAACTTTTTCTCCACACTGCATTGTCGCGTTCCTTTCTCTTCTCCCACATTCTCAGTCGAGATTCCTACTTCTCGTCATCTTACCCCATCCATTCCTCAATTGTAATCAATTATCATCTCCCTTCCCCTCCCCATCCCATCCCATCTTCTTTTCCTTTCTTCTAACCTCTCCTACCTCCTCCTTTCCACCCCATATTCAATCCCCATCCCCAATCCCCCCATCGTAAATCTCCTCTCTTTCTCCTTCTCCTTTTCCCTCTCCCTCCTCCTCTCACTCACATCCCCCCTCTCTTTCCCACTCCCATTCCCCAACCCCCCAATAGTAAATCTTCTCTCCCTCTCCCTCTCCTTCTGCTCCCCAAACCCCAATTTACTAACTCGATACCCTCCATTCCCATCATAAGTCCGTCTCCATTCTCGATTTTGCGACCGTTCTTCCGCGGCGTTTTTGGTGCTGCTGTAGAGGTAGGTGAAGGCTGATTTCATAGTTTGTTTCCCGAAGAAGTGTTTTTTGAGTGTTTTTTAAGAGATACTTTTTGGGGTGCGGTTTATGGTGGGATATGATGTGGTTTAATAGGGTGTTTTTGGTGATGTAATATGTATCTCTCTTCCTAGCGCAGATGAATGAGTATCACTATGAAGGTCCACGGTGTGAATGTGCAGATCCACAAGCTTGAGATGGTAATAAGGGTTTGTTTTGTATTGTCTCGTATTGTCTCGTATCGTATCGTATCGTATCGTATCGTATCGTATCGTAGAAGTTTGAGGTGTCGCTAGGTACTGAGTAATTATATGGTCGAGGGCTTGAAGATGTGATATTTAATATAGATCCAAACCCAGATCCAAATCCAAATCCAGGTAATCCGGAAAGAAACAAACTCAGTTAAATAGCCAAATCAAACCTCCAATTACAATAACATACGACACTCGGATAGATAACCTAGAATAACCTCTCCTTTCCCATCGTTCAATACCTACCTACCTAACCACCCACCTACCCCGTCCATCCATCCGATGCGAAAACATCACAGCAACACACACACGCAAACCTCGCAACGAAATCTCACTTACCTTACCTTCCTCACCTTACCCTCCTTATTCTCCGTCGATCAATCATGCACTATGCATTATGCAACGAGTATCGAAACCGTACAATCAACACTTCACAAAAAACACCTCTCATTCCCACGAAAAGAAAAGTAAAGTAAAGTAAAGTTTCACCCCCTTCGCACCTCTCTCCTGAAACAACCATC